GGTATCATCTGATGGAAAATTTGTCCATGACTGGCCACTTCCGATCAATATAATAAAAGTATCAGGCACCGGTACACCGGTATACCGATATATGTGCGCTTAGATATGGCGGAGCAATACGTTTGTTTAGCAGTACAGTCTCAACCGAAGCCATGGCTGAAAGCCCGGTTCACGTCAAAAAAGGTTGCCAAATAGGGTTGCATGTGAGGTTCGCGGAATCGTGTGTGGACAGTGGACACTGCCCAGGTGCTGCTGCTGGTACCTGCGCCTTGGGTTGCAGCAGTGCTGGAATATGTTCATGTTGCTTTACTCGACATTTTTATTACATATGTAGGCCCAAGCAAAATGCTAACCTGGAAGTTATGTAAACCAAACGATACCGTTGAATTCCGGAATCGCATCAGCTGTCGCCATACTTGGCTCGCCTCTTGCTTAAACCCCTTATGCGTTAGTTGACATTCAGTTGTCTATCTTGCATGCCAAGCTTTGCGATGCAACCTCGTCCTCCATCACGACTCGGTTACTTAATACGTACCTAGTCCCTGACTAAATGATTTTGTTGGTATTGTGCCAGGTTCAGCGTCGCATCACCGGCCGAGTATACTACAATAATGGAACTTCCGTCCGTTGGCTCTTCCTTTTCGAGCACGGCTTTGTCAGTCGTCCATTGTGGTTGGTTGTAGGATGACCCTTATGTTGCTCAGTGACGATATGATGAATGAAATTCTACCTGCCTTGCCTACCCACCTACCTGACCCCCTTACCTACCTAGGTTAGGTAGGTAGGAACAAGACTTCTTGTACGTACATTAGGTTCTGTACATATGTACAATATAATCCACCTGCACAGGGCATACATGCAATGAATGCGGCACTTGCCGGACAAGCAACGATGTAGGCATGTAATTGTACAGTAAGTGCACATGTGCCTGTCTAGTTACTAGCAGGTATGCATGGTGAGATACATGGACGACCTACTCTAATCTACATAGTATGTATATCATCAACCTTAGATTTAACCACAGTGGTCCTGGTAATATCAGATAGTTAATTTTTTTTACCTATTTAAAGACTTGAAGACGTACGTAAGGACTTAAAGCTATGGTGGGGATTAATAAGATCTACAGATCTACCTCGTGTCAAATACCTGATGGGGTTGGCTTCTTCTGTAATGTACATTTGTCTATTGGTCCAGCTATTATTCTCGGAAACATATCATCCATCTCGTCCATGCTATGTTATGTTGTTATGTAGTGTAGTGTAGTGTAGTGTAGATATCTCATCTCCATATGTTCGTTATAAAGCAATTTCATATGCTTAGAAATTACAGAAATGCGCCGGGTTAAATGTCGTTGATGGCACGACCTCCGAATATGTCTACAGGGGCACCCCTCCGGCATCTCTCTTTTGGCTCGGGACCCGAATACCTTGCCCTTGTTCTTTTGACCTTATTTTACTTTGGGTACGACTCTGTACGAGGTGATGCTAATAAATTTATACATGTATAAGTATGGAGGTAACTATTCTAAAGATAGCTATCCCTATATATCTATATCCCTACTAAGTAACCTAGCTATATATCAACCTATATCACCTACATAGTATGGATATCACCTGTGTGGCCGAGAAAGCTTTCCATTGATCAGAAAAGAAAGTTGCACCGGAGCGTCCCCCGCGTGGAAAGCTCTACCTAATTTCAACGATGCGCCCGGCCTATTAGACCTTATGGAGGACGGAACCGAGTTTAGTTCCACAGGTTGAGAATGGGTAGGCGTGTTTTTGCGTTACATTACACGCACGCACAAAATGTAGTAGTAACGCTGCTCCCCTGCATTGATAAATGGTATCGTGCTGTGTGCGCTGCTGGGGTAGGTAGCTTCGCTCCCTACTAGGTAAAATTCCTACTTGCTTAGCTACCTACACAGTCCTACATAGTACATACATACCTACCTACCTAACCTAGGTTGTCATAGTAATAGAAGCTCTCTCTTTTAGGGGACGACATGGACATGTAGGGGATGGTCCAGCGCTAACGATAGGAGGATTGCGTTAATCCATAGCACCTGCATATCTCCCTTGCGGCCGAGTCCTAGCTATCGTCCGGCCGGTATAATGCTTCCAGTTCCGCTCCTGATGGTGACTAAAATACCCTAAGTCCGCCCCCCCTTTTTTTAACCAAAAAAAAATCATAGCTTTAGTATCTATCTATCTATCTACCTACCTACCTAAGTAAAAGCAATATCAAGAATAACGCCGTAGTCTAATTCATTACCGACAGCTACTCTTTTGAGCTTATTAATACCGGTGATACTAATTGTGTATTGCGCAAGTTCAATACCTAAGCAACTATATAGGCTAGGTACTGGGTAGGTAGGTACGCGTACTACTAAGAGTAGGGCAGGTAGTTCAAAAAGAGTGTAATTCAATGTTTGCTGTCGCATTCGGTCCCAGCAGGTAGGCCCTGTTTACCTTCCCCTGCGCAAATCCGCAAATCCGTGAATCCACATGGCTTAATCCATGATTCGCATCTTCTAAAATAAATAGCGACGATGAAAGTACATTGATACCTACCTATTACCTACTAACCTTGGTAAATTGATGTATTGTAACCTTGATGGATTTGCGAAGAGTACCGGTACCTCTCGATGTCATTTTATCCTCAATGTCGTAGCACTAGCAACCTACCTAGGTACCCCAGGGTCCCGTGGTCCTAGAAGTGGAAGGTAGGTATAAGCTATTATACCTGCTAGGTGGTAGACGGTGGTAGATGCTAGCAGCAAAGTTCCTTTAGAAGATCAAAAAGTTCCAATGCCGCAATAGAAGGCATGCCATGATGTTGCCTCGTCGCGTCTCATTGACGCGCACATGCCTTACCACCAAAGGATCATCGTCAAGGCGGCGAATCGCCAGAATGCAAGATACCTCGTGTCCAGCCGCGAGCTAGACCCCTATCCCGTCATCCCGTGGTATCGTTCCTGCGCCGTAGCCCATCCCATGCGCCTTTACATCATCCCGTAGGCGCCCCGGGGGGCACGCAATAAGCACTGCCACTCCGACCACGAGAACCGCACCGCCGATCATTGCCCGTTGAACCATATGGGGGCCGGCGTGTCTGCCGGAACGGTCCTTAGGGTCTCCATTTATTGGGAGATCTATTGATTTTTCTTCGTTCCTTTCCTTCTGGAACTTGTCTTTTACTCCGTAATCCTGGGTGCCATCCCGCAGAAAAGGGTCCCTTTCGCTTGTACGTGCGCTTGCTCACCCATTACTTTCCACATTCCCCATCCCCACCCCTATCCCATCCCTATCCATCCCTATCCCTATTCCCTATACCCCATCCCCCAATCCACATCTACATCCACATCCCTATTCCCCCATCCCATCTTATCCATACATATACATACATAGTACATGCATAGGGGATATTAAATGTGCAAAGTTGCGTTACTATGTAGGGATTTTTAGTTTGCTGGGCCCTGTGCTGATCGTACGATGTAACCATAGATTTCGGACAGTTCCAAGATAAATACTCGTTGATTATTACTACTCCGAGCAACCCTGCCCATATCTTGGACGTTATATAACAGAGATCTGCACAATTGATGCTATTCACAGCTCCGTCAGCTTCCCGTCCCCGGTGCAACACGAGATACGTCGCTGTCACTTTCGCTATTTTCTTCCTATCATTTTTTTGGCAGTAGCATCGGACCTTGATTTTCTAGCAACTAATATCACAACCTACAACAACCTGTTTATTACTGCCGGCTGGCTTGCCCGCTGATAGCTGCCGGCTCGTATAGCGGACTTTGGGAAATTCGGCCCTTGCGGCGCTCGAAAGCTATGGGTGGGATGACCCTGTAGGTAGGTAAGGTAGTCGACTATACTTCCGATGCACGTACCGAATACAGAGAGAGCTATACAACCTCCCTAGTATACAACCTACACAAACCACCTACCTGACCCACGGAATCATCCGGGGACCCAGGGTCACTCGCTCGCTACCATACACGGTTCCTGAGCTAATAATTCCCTTTTCCCCAGCCAGCCGGCGGCTGTTGATGATGGGGTGTGTCTGTAGTCGAGGCCTTGGCCAGTTGCTTGTTTCTATTGTTGTACCTGACGATCACTTCGTGTCTGGCCGGGGGAAACTTGTATATGGGAAAGTAAATCCCATGACCAAGTTTGCCAAACTTGGTTTTTTTTGTTTTGGTCCCCTTTCCTTTTTGGCGAGTAGGTGCCTACCTACCTATGTAGGTACCGTGACTACGAGCCGCTTTCCCCCATCGAAGCGAAAGCGTGACCCCACGGTGATGCCTAACGCGAAAAGTGAACCAACCCCCCCTATCTATCCCCTATTCTGAATCCTATTGAGTAAGATAACCAAAAACAGCCTGGAGCGAAAATCGCGCACGAGCTGTGGTTTGTGCGGAGAACCATCGTGGATTGGGCATCGTGCCTTGGAGGTTCTTGCATTTGCCAAGAGGGGACCACGCTAAGAGAAGAAGTAGGAGCTTACCTAGGCATACAGTAGATATTATTCGGCATATTGGATCTAGAGGATCGTATAATAGTAATGCTGAACTCGTCAGCAAGTTTTGTTTTGGGGCCGCAGGAAATGAAGACGCGGAGATTGGTATGTAGGACTGCACGGTATACGACACGTAAGATAGTAAGTAATAGTAGTATAGCTGGCTGATGCTCGGTGTACCTATTCATACTAGATACAGTGTCAACACATAGGAGTGTAGTCATATATCCCCTATACCATCGTGGACATATTGCCTCCTGCCGAACTCCCCCCTAATATTAGTCCCCAATAGAATGAGTTCCCCTAGATCCAGTTACCAGTTGAAGGAAATACTGCTGGTAGATAGCAATGTATAATGATGTACAAACAAAATAGAACACAAAATGATCGTGACAAAAAGTAAGTCAGTAGTAAGTCAGTAAAGAAATCAATGAACGAGGGAATGGCATCCCAGTGTCCTCGGCGCGTAAAAGCTACACCAAATCAATACCCCCATCGTCATCCTCGTCCAGAAGCCCCAGCCCGCTATCATACTTCCGCTTCTTCTTCCCCTTGCCCGTCTTCGCGAGAGCGCCGGAGAGATATGTTCCGGACCGCCGCAATGGGCTGCCATCAGGCGTTGTAGTAATATCTCCTTCTTCATCGTCATCAACATCAACATCGGCAGCGGCAGCAGCAGCAGCATTCCCAGCCGCCGACGACGACTTGGCCCTACTCCTCGTGTTATACGGCCTCTCCTTCTGCCCCTGCCCATTCTTCTTCTTCTTCGGCGTAGCCAACAACTCCGCGCTCATCCTCAACATCCTCTCCAGCTCCCCCTTCATCTCCTCCACCGCCCCCTTCGCCCTGCTCTTCTCCTCCTCCACCCGCCGCGCCAACCCAAGATTCTCCACCCGTAGCTGCTGCACCGTCGTGTTCGCCTCGTGCAGACTCCGATTCACCTCATCGATCCCGCGCCGCAGCTCCACGACGCGCGCGTCGCGCACCGCGAGCGCCGTCCCGTGGTACTTGTTCAGCGCCCTGATCTCGAGGACCCTCCTCTTCTGAAAATCGACCAGCTGCCTCTTGCACGCGTCCGCCTGCTCCCTCACCACCACCAGCTTCGCCTCGAGCTCCGCGGCCGCGGCCCGGGTATCGGCCAGTTCTGTCTCTGCGCCGTCGACCCTCGTCTGCAGCGCCGCCTCCGCGACCCGGCTCTCCTCGTCCATCCGCAGCACCAGGCTCTCGAGCTCGACGACGTCCCGCCGGTACCCCTCAACGGCGCCCTTGAAGCGCTCGACGCCGAGCTCGAGGTCCGCGATCCGCGCGTCCTTCTCGACCCGCTCCCGCTCCCTCTCCTCCCGCAGGGAGTCCATCGCGTCGACGCGCGCGCCGAGCTGCTGCCGCAGCGAGAGCTCGAGTGCGTGGTACTCGTCGATGGCGGCCTCGTCGTCCTGGACCTGGCGCGCGAGGTCGCGGAGGCGGCGGAGCACGAGGTCGAGGACTTGGGCGCCGCGGGAGGAGAGGGGCAGGGTTAGCTCGCCGGGCGTGAGGTACTCGAGTTCCAGGCGCGCGGAGCGGAAGGCGCCGGTGAGGGAGGTGACGACTTCGCTGGCGTCGGCGCCGCGGAAGCCGAGGGAGGTGAGGGAGGTGTTGAGGTGGGTGAGGGTGGCGGTGCGGTCCGAGAGGGCTTGCAGGATGGTGTCGAGGTGCGCTTCTACGTCTTTGGTGTCCTGGTTATCGTCCTCGGGCTTAGTAGTAGAAGTAGCAGTTGTAGCAGCGGTAGTGGTGGCGAGCTTGTTGGCAATGCGCATCTTGAGATCCTCGTGGCTCTCGAGGACTTCCGTTAGCTTGGTCAGCTCGAGACGTAAAGAGCAAAGCTCGGCTTCCAGAGCTTCTTTCTCTGGATCCGGGAGCGAGGCTTGCACACCGGTGTGGTGCGACTCAGGCGTGATGGGAGTTCTGCCTCTCCGCTCTGAACAGGGGGTGAAGGGAATGGTTGGGCTGGTGGCGGGAGGCGTGGGAAACGATGCTGATGCCCGACGCTTGGACGGCGTGCTAGTTATTAGATTTGCCATTGTGGCGTTGCCGAAGTGATCATCATCGTCGTCGTCATCCACGCCCATGTCCATGTTCGTGTCCACGTCCATATAACTATTAGAGAATGGATCACGCGCGGCCAAGGTCCAGTCGTAGTGCATCGTCTGATCAGGATCCGGCCTGGCTGAGCGAGTGCGTAGGTCATCTCTAAGCGCGTTGATCTCCTGCTCCAACTCTAGGATCCGGTCGGTATCCTGGGCCACGGTGGTATTGGTGTTATTCTGTAGCCTCTCGATCTCTCGGTCCTTCTCCGTTAGTTGATCCCGTAGTCGTTGGAGCTCCTGGGCCTGGTCATGTGCACGTTGCCGCTTCTCCTGGCTAATGATGTTCATCTCTTCGCTCAAGCCATTCCGTCGAATGCGGCGCTTGGTGCGGTCATCGAGGACTTGGCGGAGCGAGAGAAAACGGATTTCTTGGCCTTGGTTGCTGGTGCTGCTCAACTCATCTTCTTCTTCGTCTCCTGGATGTGCGCTGCGACGAAGTGGCGTTGAATGACGCCTACGCTTTGGCGAAGGTGCGGCGGGGCCTAAAGAGGTGCGGCGGACAAATGGTGTTAGGCCTGTAGAGGCGGAGGACCCATGGTGGTGGCCGTCAAGTTCGGGCCCTGGGTCTGAGAATCGGACTCTCTTCTTAGATTTTGGTTTACTTGGTGTCCTTGAACTTGTCGATGTGTTGGTACCGGGAATTTGCAAACGCGAAGGATCTGGTGATGTTGGCCTTGGTCTCGCAGTACTCCGCGGCGTGCGGCGAAGCGCAATGGGCTGTTCCCCGCTCATCTTATTTTACTTGCAGGGCTTATTGTATGTAGTATCTTTCTATCCTTCTTTTTGGCGACGGCTTATGGTGTAATTGCTCGTACTTAAATAGGTAGGATATCAGGTGCGTCGCAACAAAACACCATGCAATGCAGCAAGCAACAACTCCGATAGGATGTTTTATAAATTATCGGCATGTAATCAGTATAATCAGTGTAATCAGCCTTGAGGAGGTCGCGTCTCTGATCACCCAGTCACGGTATCAGTCACGGTATCCAGAACGCATCTAATGTGGATAAACAAATTCCGCGTGTGTAAGTATGTAGGTACTGTACTTCGTACCCTTTTGAACCCGAACAGGGCCGAACTTCTTGATCTATTGGATGTTTGTTGACTCACAGCTCCATCGTGAGGGGCAACCACCCCCTTGTCACAGCCAATCATAGTCTGTTTCTAGGGATCTTCCAGAACAAAGTAAACAAGGTCTCCACTTATTCTGGTAAATAGCACTTGAGTCACTACATTACATGGGTACTAGGTACCTATTCAGTACATACATACCTAACCTAGTAGGTACTGTACAATACTAGGTACATAGATACTACAAGAGTTGAATTCAAAGACATTTCGATATTATTATTATTATTTACAACACCTAGGTAATCACCATCGTTGCCTGTTTATTGCATTCCATCTAATACAGACATCTCCTGTTGTGTTAGGAGAGGTTAGGATACGAAGTAGTTCAGTTCAGAAAAACCATAAACTGTTTATTTACCATTGATAGGAGATGGGAGATGGAGATGGAGATGGAGATGGAAGCATGCAAACAATAGTCAAGAATGAATGAGGGGCACGAGGGGCACGAGGGGCATCCTTTTGTCAATATTTAAACTCACGTGTTTGTCATCCATTACTCGTTAGAACCCCCTATTTCCCACCATAGCCGTAGCAAGCTAAAATTTGCCCATTTAAACTCTCCCTTCTCATTCTAATCATTCTCTTGCTGCAAAGTACTTGTATATGTAATAAGGTAGCAGACTGCCGAAAACAAATAACCAAAACCACATGATTAGCCTAACATTGAATCTCTATCATAGATCAATTGAAAGGTGGGGGGTGGCGGCCATGGCGAGTAGTACACCTGCCGCGGCTCTGCCGATACCAACGACGATAATGACTCGTGATGACGAAAACAGCTCAAGCTATATTTTGGTGGTGTAGTATGAATGCCCACGGGACTTTTACTTCCAATCTTGAATGACTTTTGCCAACTATCATATAATACCATATATCGCCAAATTTCAACAGTTCGATTTCGGAAAGTGATTATCGTGGTCGGTTAATCCTGATATCTGTCTATCACTTACAAAACAGTACTTGAGGCCTGGAAACAAGTCTTCATTCTTCCATCACTCGTTTATAACCCCATACACCTAGCTCCCAGTCAGCCACATGGTTTATCATGACCCAAGGACTGTTCATACCCCCCTGGTTCCATGAGCAGGAGACCAACACCTTCGAGACAAATGTCGCGAGCATTTTCTGGGGGATGACCCTGGCGGCGACCGTGTTTTCTGCCACGAAGGCGGCGCGTTGGACCCGAGTTACCTGGAAGCGCGTCCATCGGTTTACGCCGTACCTGATGATGATATGGGGAGAGGTATTGACTTGCTCGATCATGGGTGTCCTCTGTTGGCTGTATACGTACAATATTCTCCAAACAAGGTATATACTATCCTCTCACCCCAAACTTCAAGGATAACCTCGACTAATTCCAATGGGCAGTTTTTGGATTCTCTTTATGTTCGGTACGTATATGCTACGTAAAAAAAAAAAAAAAAAAAAAAAAAAAAAAAAAAAAACGTTGCTCTTGAGTCATTTGACCCCCTTGGCGCCTCATACTGATTACAGTATCCTTTCCGCAGTGTTTCTTTGGTCCATCCAGATACAACTTCTATTACAGATATTGGTGGCGCGTGTCGGCCTCCTTTTATTCATCAAAAGCCACGCCACAAGGTTGAAATGGGCGGTCTTCGCATTCGTGCTCGTCATCAACATCTCGGTATTCATCGTCTGGATACCCGCAAACCTCCAGATATCAGCTCTCTGGATTGAGACCAATCGCGTCTGGATCAGGACTCAGAAGGCGTTGATTACCGTTGTTGACGTGCTGCTCAACTCCTGCTTCATCTATCTTACGCGGACGAGTCTGATCTCCGAAGGTTTAGCAAAATACACAACATTATATTGGTTTAACATATTCTCGGTGTTTATATCCATATCTCTCGACGTAAGTCATTTTTGGTACCTGCGCTCGAATCGCGTTAAAGAGGCTAACGTTGATAGTTTATTCTGATTGGATTGATGTCTCTTCCCGCCAGACCTGTATATCAACAGTTCCAGTCGCTTGCCTTCCTGGTCAAACTTAACATTGAGATGAATATCGGTGAGATGATCTGCAAGGTCGTCCGCGCTTCCAACGATGAGTGTTGCGATCACCAATCATGCACTGCCAGCCAACAGAGCTGTCGCCGGACATCGACAAAATGCAACCGAACTACGCGATCCGCGAGCTATTCCACCCAGGATTCGATGGAGGTGTCCATACCTACATGTTCGAACATCACTGGCCAGCAGTTGGAGATGGACGTTGAGAGAGGCGAAAGAGTGACTCCGGTTCATCCTGGATTACCGCCATCTCCGCCGAGGAGATCTGAATCTCTGACCGCGGAAAGCCGTCCGGAAATTATTGCCGAGGAAGATACTACTAACGAATTTATGAACGAATATAGATTTCCGCGAATGCGACTCAATAGCCAGTTTCGCTCTATAGGTTGGAACAACAATAACAGCAATCAACGTTCACCACGAGCTTCAAGAGGAAATTAGATTATTAAATACAAGAAATCTTATCATATTGTATATTGTACATTATATATTGTATATTTATTACGTCTACAATATATTATAATATTTACCGTAACCTACCTACAGTTGATCAAGGCAATGACGGTATTCGGGCCAAGCAATGAGTGAGTCATGGCAGAAAACTGGATCACCAACTATCGAATCTTACCGTCTCTCCGCGACCTCAGGTAATCACTAGGCATCGGTTAGGCAGGAAACCTACTACACATTTCTTACCACACGTTGCAGTAGTTTAGCGGTAAGGAGTGCGCCCTCTCACCTCGCAGTCGTGAGCCGCGCCGAGACCGACGCCAACGTACAGCTCGCTATCGCCGCAGTCGTCCAAATGCGCCTGCATGACGTTGATCCACTCTTGGTTAAAATCGGAGTAGTCAGCGTTAATTACCCCGTGGATGAAGTGGAAGTGGATCTCGAGCTCTGGCCCGTCCCCAGCGTTTCCGAGGCCCGCTGCGCTGCGGAGGAATTCCTTGGCGATGTAGATGAGGCCGCTGGAGACGGGGGTGCGGATGCGGTCGGGGTGTAGCTTGTTGGTCTCGCAGTGGTAGAGGCGGACCATTACCTCTTTATCAGAGCTCGCGTTTTCGCTCGAAGATAGCTGGGCATTGCGGCGCAGCCATTCGCGGTCGGCCGAGTTGGAGCAGTATTCGTTGGTTTGGGAGTTCATGGGTGCGTTCTGAGTACGACGAGGCATTTTGTTGATGTTGTGGAGTGTGATGGAAAGGTAATGTTAACGGATTGAAGAGATGCAACTCACTTAAGTAGGTGTCCGCGACATTGTTGACAATCGGCCTGTATTCAACAACATGATTTTGTACTGGAACAGTCTGTGTTGCTGCTAGAGACAATAGCTTGTATCAATTCTTTGTTTCGTGTCTAGCCATGAACTTCATTAACACTACCTGTTTAGGAAAGAATAGAGTTGTTCTTGTAGCATGGTGATACTACCTAACATGTATTTTACCTCCCTAACGTAGGTAACTTGGATGAGGTTATAGATATGAACTAAAATACGTACATGAACTTCCATCAACAGATAAACTACTGTGTACCTAGAAACCCCATCCAGAGATAGTTACTACTACTAGTAGCAGCCAGTCTAACAAGTAGATTAGATACCCTAGGTAGGTAGGTTTCTTCAGTATACATTGCTCAATGTCACTTACAAAAGCCCTAAGCAACACTTCGATGCAACCCCAAGAAAGCTTGATGGTAACATAGGAAGCAAAAGTTCGATCATTGATGATGATGGAATCATCCCAACTAGCCTCCTACGTAGTCCCATCCCATGTGTATTGTCTATACCTACCTAGGTAGGTATAGCACGTGTGGTTGCGGCGCAAGTATACCTACATATGTAGTGTAGTTCACCGGTGTAAGGACCTAATGCATCCGGCCTCGGTTAAGCTTTCGACTTTCGGCTCGCGCATTTCGGCCTATTCTTCTCGCCACTTATTATTCAACGAGAGTGTGGGTATTCCGCGCAAGGGTTGAACCTGGAGGGACATCAATTGGTGGGGGGGAAGCACCCTAGAAACCGGGCGGGAGACAGTGGCTCCCTTTTACTATTTGTCTTCTAGAATTCTACCAGAAACCCCTCCTCCCTTCTTCTTCTTCTCCTTTTCTCTTTGCATATCTATTAGCTAATTGTACATATCTAGCACGCACACACGGCATACCATCCATCTGCCGCCCAACCTGACGGAACGAGCACGGCCTCAGTCCAAGGCACACACACATGCACATGTGCTTTGCTTATATGCTTCTGTCACAAAGGTGGGCCTGGGGGTAGATAACAACCAATGAGTTGCGCTCGTATATACCACGGCCTTTTGCTATCTATCTCCTACGTCGTAGCATTTGATCTCTCCATGCGTTGCGTGCGTGCGTGCGTGCGCTGACTGCAGAAAAGGATCCATGAATTCCATGCATTGCACGATACGGCGCGCCTTAAAAATGTTTACTAACAGGGGTAGCTAGCTGCCCTAGCACACTACTGTTGCAGTTCTATATACCCAGGGTACGGGATAGCTTCCTACCTAGTAGTTACAAATCACTTATGCCTGCCTACTACGTATTGTGTATGTACCTAACTAGTAGATTAGGTAGTAGTGATTCGGAACTCTCACCGTAGAAGCTTTGATCGTCGATAGTGATAGGAGCGGCGGACTGCCTTGCCCACTCCCTCCTCGGGACCATGCTGCTGCTTTCTCCACCCAACAAACATGGGATAGATATTCTTCTGCTCACCCAAAGATTTTTTTTTCTTCAGCGCGGTGAGATCTTTCAGCCTGAATGAATGGGGTTAAAGAATGCTACATAAAAGTTATTTTTATTCTATTTTCCTTGGTCCATTTTCCCGGTTTTCTCTCCTGTCCAAGACTTGTTGTGACACTTGCTAAGGAACGATTTCGCTCCAACACTTCCGACGTACGGAGTATAGTAGACGTACCAACCTATCTACCTATAGGTTTAGTCACAAGCGTGCCGAGCCGTTCTGAGCGGGCTTCTTTTCCCCAACATTCCTGCCTTACCTAGGGTGTAGCCTACCATTAGATTTCATTTTTGGGTTAAAAAAATATCCGCAAAAAAATGACAGGAGAAAAAGATCTAGAACGTCAACTAGACGTCGAAGAAAAGGGCGAGGTGGATCCGATAGAGAACCGCGATACCCTGTCGGGCGAAGAAGAGGACGTTCCCGATCCAGAGAAGCATCGCCATCGCCGACACAGTCGCCAGAGCAACTCGAGCCACGTCTCGAACCGCTCCAATGACACGGACCCCCTGGAGCCGTTGGAGCTAGCGCTGTCTCGCGGCGCCGAGGTGTTCGAGGAGATCGCGCACATCCGCACGGCGACGAGCATCGGCAGCACGGCGTCGCGGCCGCCGGACTACGAGGTCGTCTTCACGGAGAACGACCCGGACAACCCGCGGAACTGGCCACTCTGGTACCGGTCGTGGATCATCTTCGCCATCTCCTTCACCACGTGGGTCGTCGTCTTCTACAGCACCAGCTACACGACCAGCATCCCGGGCCTCATACAGGAATATGGCGTTTCTTCGACCATTGCGACGCTGGGCGTAACGACTTACCTCCTTGGGCTCGCGGCGGGGAGTCTGCTCGTCGCGCCTGCGAGTGAGCTGTACGGCCGTCGGAAGGTTTATATCTTCTGCATGATTGTATTCACGGCCTTGATACTTCCGTGCTGTCTCGCTACGTCGATAGAAGAAGTTATCATCGTCCGGTTCTTCAGGTGAGTCACGTGAGGGTTCATCGAAACACCTCCCCGGGCACCTACCTATCTACATAGGATAAGAATGCCCAGTAGATACTGACTATACCCCAGCGCAGTATTCGGCGCCGTCATGGTCTGCAACAGCTCCGGCACCGTAGTCGACATCTCGCACGAAGAGCACCGCGGCCTCGTAATGTCGCTCTGGAGTCTCGCCCCCCTCAACGGGCCCGTCACGGGCGGAGTCATCGGCGGCTTCGTGTACCAGTACCTCGGCTGGCGATGGGAAAACTGGATCGTCCTCATACTGGCCGGGGTGGGGACCATCTGCATGACTTTGACGAGAGAAACGTACGCGCCGACGATTTTGCAGAAAAAGGCCGCGCGGAAGCGCAAGGAGACGGACGATGAGAGGTGGTGGTGCCGCTACGATGAGAAGCTGTCGAAAGCCGCGCTCGTGAAGATCAGCCTGCTGCGCCCCTTTGTGCTCGCGCTCACGGAGCCGATTTTGTGGTTCTTTAATGTTTGGTATGTACCTATCAGTGCTTCCCCTTTCTCCATTCCCCATAAAATCTTCTTTTCTGCTAATGAATTCCTCTCCCCAAAAAAGGATATCTCTAATCTATGGCATCCTCTACCTCTGCTTTGTCGCCTACCCCATCGTCTTCTCCCAACACCGCGGCTGGGGTCCCGGATCCTCGGGGCTGGCATTCGTAGGCATCGGCATCGGCACCATGGTCGCAATCTGCGGCGAGAAGCTCTTCCGAAAGATAATAAACACGCACCCCAAAGACCCACTAACGGGCCGTGTGCCGCCCGAGGCAACCGCGCGGGTCATGATCATCGGGAGCATCCTCGTCTCGATCGGCCAGCTCGGGTTCTCCTGGACCTGCCTCCCCGAGTCGATCCACCCGCTCATCCCCATCGCGTTCGGGATCCCCTTCGGCTGCGGCAACAGCCTCAGCTTCATATACGGATCGAACTACCTCGCCAGCGCGTACGGGATCTACGCCGCGTCGGCACTGGCAGGCAACGCCTTGACGCGGAGTCTGTTCGGCGGGCTTCTCCCGCTGGCCGGCCCGTCCATGTACGCGGCGCTGACGCCGCAGTGGGCCGGCACCATGCTAGGGTTGATGGAGGCGATCATGATACCCGTGCCGATCATCTTCTACAGGTACGGCAAGGCCATTCGCGCCAAGTCGCCGGTGATTCGGCAGATGCGAGCCGATCAGGAGAGGAATGAGCGTCGCGAGAGGACGCGGCAGCGGAAGGCGAGGCCGCAGCAGCACGAGGTAAATAACGCTGAAGCAGGGTTGGCACAGGGAGTTCGCGAGAGTCCGGTGAACAGGGACCCGGAGAAAGGGGTCGGTGGCGGGCCGATCGTGGGTGCCTGATTCACTGGGCCTGGAAGATGAGATTACTTCGTGAAAGGACTCGATGCCTTACGATTTAGGTAATCAACAGACGAATTAGATGAATAATGAGAGTATGTGATAAGAGTCTTTGAATACCTAGGTAGGTACCCAAAGAACCATTTTAGATTTACGATTTATGGCAACGTAAAAAAAGGCTATCATCTACTTACCTAGGGGCCTAGTAGTAACCTAGGCCTCTGGCGGATAGACAACGAGCTTATCGATATCCGCCCCTTTATATGTAAATCCATTGAACAACCCACCCACTGTGATGGTGTTATTTACACCCTCTTCCAAAGTCAGTTGCAGCGGCGTCGAGAGAATTATGCCCTTGTGCGTGTCCCTCTGGTACAGCGTCTCGACATTTTCCACGTTCCCGTTCACCACAACGCTGCTGATGCGTCTTAACTGCCACGAACCACCGATGCGGTCCGGGGAACCTCCGGCTGTTGGATGTTAGTTGGTATCCGACTGGACGATGACGAAAGAAAATAGAATAAAATGCACAGGCACTGAGACTTACGCTGATCTCCATACCCCATATCATCGGTGTTCTGGTAGTAGAACGATACCCATTGCGGCTTTCCGGTTCCTTCTATCCCGCTGAAGGTGACAGTACTGTCGTTGCCTTCGATACCCGTCGCGATTACTCCGCCGGTGGCGAAATTCTGCAAGTGGTTTTAGCGAGGCCGCATTACAAGTAAAGACTGGGAGGAACTTACGGCTTCTTGCTTGAAAGCGTTTCCATTCGTTATAGCATCAGTTGCCAAGTACTCTTTGCCCTCAACAGTCTTGTATTCACCGGTTTTGCTAGTGTTGCGCGTTAGCATTCTCATATGAAAAGCGGTGGACGGGTATTAGATGCATACACGTCCAAATCGTAGACATCGTGCCATTCGACTGCAAGCGTCTTCTTGTCATCGTCGATTGCGATGGGCAGCCAGATATATCGGCTCTCCCAGAGAGAATTAGAGTCCCACTATTTTATTTTGTTAGCCACACTCATCTCTTCTTTAAGACTGTCGGGAAGGGCCCCTATACCTGATCGCCGAGATATAGATACGTCGTCTTGACAGACCCGTCAATCCTCAGCGTGAAGCCAGATTGGGAACTGAAGGTCCGCGTGTTAAGCGGCGAAACGATCCATGGCTGAGACCAGGGGCCGCTCAAGCTATCCGCACGGAACGCAACCACGTCTATGGAGTATCGTTAGCTTAATTGCCTCACCACGAGAAGGGACATCAAAATACTAACTGTTAGGCCTGTATCCCGTCTTGTGGCTCATCAGCGCATAGTAGCTCTTCTCAGTCTGCAGGATCGTCGGCGCCTCCAGGTCATACTTGTCGAACCGATGGACCACCTCATCGAGCGCCGTGACCTCTTCGTTGTACGAGGTCAAGTACACATCCCGGCCCTCTGCTCTGTCACCGTTTGAGTACAGCGCGTAGGTGCGGCCGTCTTTGTAGTCGGTGAACATGCCGAAGTCTTGCGACCAGTTTCCTAGAGGGCTGGTCGCGTCTACGAAGCTGTACGGCCCTTCGATCTTGTCTGAAGTGGCGAGGCCCTGCAGAAGAAGACCGTAGCTGGAATTGTCGGCGTGCCACCACATCTAAATGGATATAGGTAAGCATTGGTTTATACGGGGTAGGTTAGGTATGTAAGGGGTTAGAGAAATAGGAGCAACGCACGTGATACTGGCCCGCTGCCTCGCTATATATGACTTTGGGTCGTTGGATAATGCTGCTAGGGGAGATGTAGCGGTGGCCTTCAATAGGTTCTGATAATCTCGGTTAGCCTTAGTTCATTGAGTCCAATCGCCTCCTCGCCTCCTCTCTTTTATTTTGCAACAAAAACGAGACTTACCCAAAGCAAGTCCGTGGAACGTCCAGGTAGCCAAGTCGTCAGAGCTGTAGACCGACACACCACCCCCTTCCACCTGGCCCTGGACCTTGTATTCGCCAAATAACCAGAACTTCGACGTGCTGTTATCAAGAACGACATTACCCGCGTGGGCATTCACAAGTTCGCCATCCGTGTCACGCCATCTTGCGCCTGGGACGATGTATTTCGCCTGTGCCACAAGTGCGCCAAGCAATAGCAGGCTGCTGGCAACCTGCAGCTTGAGACCGAGCATGATTACTTTCAAGAGATGCAGTCTATGCTTGAATACACGATAGTCTCGGTGTGCACCTGTTCAGTCGGCCAGTAGTTTACCTTGAAGTAGGTATTTATAAGTTGCCTGCCAAGAGGGTATTTCGGGTCAATTCAACCCTCATCACTGCACCAACGAGGTAGTTTCTCCGCATCGCTTATATTCCGTCCCAGTCATACCCCAAAGAGTACCAGGAAAAGTCTGGGGTAAAAGCGAGGAAGAGCTTAATTAGTCTTCCGGGAGAGCGATGGTACTGGTTGGGGTAGTTGTAATCCGTTTCTGCTGCAACCATCCCATGGGGCAGGCATTCGATTCGTATTTCGCGATGGGGAGGTAAAGCGATTCTCCAACTCCAAGGCTTGGCAAACAACTGTCTAGGTAGCCTACCTATATAAAAACTTGTTGTTATTAAGACTAGAGGACGCGGTGGGCTTAGTGCTGAAGACGACATCAATCTATTTGCTAACCTTGGGCGCTTTTAGATAAATACATGACTCTATATCTTGGCTTCTCGAGAAGGGGGTTTGGCCTATGATGGTGTCATCAAGACATGGCCGTCTTGGTAACATGATTCAATTGCTGCTCAATTGCGCCGACATCAAGAGTCGCCCTCCCGGTGCGGATATGCTCTATTTCTGGGACAGAAGATTGTTTCTTGTCCTCAAAAAGAGCGTCTATCTCTTCTAGAGTCTTGCCCTTGGTTTCAACCCAGTATACCGCCTTAGTGAGTGGAAGATGGGAAGTTAGCAACGTGAGAAGTATTAAAACTTGCTAGAATGGGGGAATTCTCACAATAAGTATGGCAATAACAATGTCCCAGGATCCATTGATCATGTACATTCTCCATCCTATGTTATGCAGGCCTATCGGCATGATGAACACAAACACACAGCTGAATATCCTGGTTAGCGTAAAATGATGCTTTACATCTCCAAGGTGAAGAAACGTACGCAAGGGAGTTAAGCATTAACGATGAGAAAGCAAGGCCGTTGGCTCGAATAGAGTACTATCGAGTCTTGTTAGCGATCTCCTTTTAGTTTCATACCTCTCCAGTCGTGAACCATGCTGCACAATACCCAGGTTCCTATGAACGAGGTCGACTCAAAGATGAAAGATAGAAGGCCACGTACTAGAGGTTATTAGCATACATACTCATACTCAGACAACAAATTAATCCTTTGAGAGTCATACCTGAGAATACCTCCGGGGGGTAAAGGTATAGAAGCGGCGTCCAAGCCACGGAGTAAAATCCTTGAAACAAGAACATGACCCCGACATTTCCGTACACGAGACTGCTGGACGCATGGTCTGGATCGTCCGCGTACATCTTGGAAAGCCCTCCAATGATGAAGAGGCAGATCACGAGAAGGGCCTCCGACACGAGGGCAGTTGGCTTGCGTCCCCATTTAGCGGCAAGGTTTGTCCCGAAGATGGAGCAGGCCAGACACCACACATTCAGTACCACGTTCTAGAAACAGAAAAGTAAGTAAAGTTTATACGTCTAGGTAGACATTCTCGAGCATCACCTACAGCCTTAAGCTGATCCGTCGAGTCCGTGATCCCCGCCGTCGTAAGCTCGTCGCCCAAGTAGTACGACGCGATGATATTACCAGCAACGCACGAGAACGGCCCGGCCGACATGCCAATGAGCAGGCGTTTCCTCGCCGTCGGCGTCTTGAAGATCTCCTTCGGGCTCATCGTCCGGCTTTCCTTCTTCTCGAAGTCGAGCGCGTCGATGATCTCCTTGTACACCGCGACCGTGATCGGGTCTTGGAGATCCCCGTTCGAGTTGGCCTGCGCCACCGAGTTGCGCGCGTACTCGAAGTGGCCTTCGTGGACGAGCCACCTTGGCGATTCGGGCCTGGTTTGATTTCGGTAAGTACGGGTATGAAGGGACTGTGGACTTACGGATACCGTGAAAATAAGGCGCCCGGGACTCACACAAAAGGGAGAATGGCGATACAGAGAATAGAGAATATCCCCTGAATTAGCGATGGCAGGCGCCACGCCCACTAAAAAAAGTCGATTAGCAGAGTGAACATTTATAAGCTCATTCAATCCTAGAGTCAAAAGACGTTGCCTTACCGTTGATTGCCATTGCCCAGTTCCAAGCGTCACGCCAGCTGCAATCAGGGCCCCGACACTAGATATCAAAACCAAATTAATTCTCGCAAAAAGAACTAACCGCCTTACACATGACTCGGTTCCTAACAGCTAGGTATTAATGAAGGTTGGCTCCCTTACTAGTAAAAGTCATTCAGCAGCCCGACCCCCCAGGCCCGCCACTGGCTAGGAAACGTCTCAGACAGATACACGCCGGACGAGACACCGGAGATACCTGTTCCCAGGCCCAGAACAATGCGGCCCACGACGAACATCGCAACGTTCTGCGCCGCCGTCTGCAGGACGATTCCCACGAGGGTGATGACGGAGCTCCAGAAGATAGCTGGCCGGCGCCCCAGTGCATCGGTCATGATGCCCGAGACGAGGGTCCCGACCGTGCAGCCGATGAAGACGGACGCGGTATTGAGGCCCGTCGTCGCGGTGGTCAGGTTGAAATAATCGGTGTACGACGGCAGGATGTTGAGGCCGTTCAACATGGAGCCATCGTATCCGCTTGTCTTTTCCGTGAATAAGCCATCAGCAGGTCAAGAACGCGGGGTCAATTTTGTATTGATTTGGGGGGCTGGGTTTTGGTTCTTACGGATGACTGGACAAGTGAGCAGAGCATAAGCAGCAAAGATATCACCAGCGATGACTCCGGCACGAAAGCTGGGAGCCAGGTTCCCGTTGGCGTTTGCTTCAACATGGTTGCGGACTCTTCTCAAATTTGGAAAACAGAAAAAAGTTGCGTAGTAGAGCAATATGCACACAGGAACAGGAGTGGGATTCGAACGGCTATATACCTATCTAATTATTGTATGTCTTGTATACTACCCACATATCATTGATTCAAGTACGTAAATAGATACGAGCTGCGAGTGGCGTCTGCATCTCGCCGGCTTACATATAAAAGACATCGGAGCAAAGCCGCTGGAAGGTATGTAAACTGTGCAGGGCTAGATAATGTGCAGATCCAACGTTACACTCATGGCTGGAAAGGTTCGTGTGGTACATAAGACATAGGTAAGATTGTACAGCAGATAAGCCACGGCCGTGTATTGCATGTACATCTTGCCGGTACTATGTCTCTGGGTAGGGAGGTACTCGTAGAATTCTATAACCACCGACGACACTTGGAATATCACAACTTGGTGTTTTCCCAAGACATGGCTGTACCCAAACAGGCATTATACGGGGCACCTCTTTAGCACCATATTTCCAGCTGAAAAGTATGATGTAAATACCAAGGCCGACTAGTTGACCGTACCTGAATACCTACATGGTGAATAGGTAAGCCTTACCTTTCATCTTACATACAAGATAGAACGGGATCGTCCCTCTGATTTACCTATCTAGGCATAGATAACCGCTCGCATCTATTATCAGCTTATCAGGCACCGTCGAGCTTGTCAACAATACTACTACAGTACTACTAGTAGTAGATTCGGATAATACACCTACAAGGTAGAAGCGTGATGATAGTCCCTTGGCGGTTACTGGGTAAAGCTCCTTGCAAGATAAGAAACCCACGCCTACATACAGAGTCCGGACTGTCGGTAAGGTAGGGAATCATATAGCGCCTCTTGCAAGCACCCTATCCTAGCATGTAGATGGCCATTTTCGGGATATATGGGGAATATCACTGCTGTGCTAATTTGGAGCTACAACAACTCGCATTATATCGCGGTACTACTAGTAGTACTAGCTTATCTATCTCGTACCTGCATAGGTGCCATACCGAGTACGCACCTGGGCAATACGTAGTAGATGTAAGCGGAGGATACGGAGCCCATAGAATTGCAACCCTATATAAATGACTTTATTCGCATACTTCTGTTCAGCCTCTCTTCCCGAATAGGATCATTGCTCTTCAATAATATTATCACCATGGGTTTAATCAATTTCTTCGCTCTGGCCTCGTTGGCGTCTATAGCCCTAGGGTCCCCCGTACCTCTCCCTGACACTTTCCGTCTCGTGGTTCGTGAGGATAGACCGTATAATGCAAGCTTACCCAATGTGACCATCTTTGCGACAGGTGGCACAATTGCAGGTAGCGCAAGCTCGAGCGACCAGACTACGGGTTACCAAGCCGGTGCTCTCGGTGTCGATATCCTAATCGCTGCTGTACCCCAGCTGTGGAATGTGTCAAATGTACGCGGCGTACAGGTAGCAAATGTCGGGTCGCCTAGCATAACGCCCGAAATCCTGCTCAATTTGACGCAGCAGGTTCAGAAGGAGCTCGACAGCCCGTATTGCCAAGGCGTCGTCATTACCCATGGCACCGACACCCTCGAAGAGTCCTCCTTCTTTGTCGACCTAACCATTCGTTCCGAAAAGCCCGTGGTATTCGTCGGTGCCATGCGCCCTGCGACGGCCATCAGCGCCGACGGCCCCATTAACCTCCTCGAGGCCGTGACGCTAGCTGCGGACCCCGACGCGCGAGGTCGGGGTACCATGATCGTGCTGAACGATCGCATCTCGAACGCCTACTACACCACCAAGAGCAACGCAAACTCTCTCGACACATTCCGCGCCGTGGAGCAGGGGTTCCTCGGCTTCTTCATCAATATCAAGCCCAAATTCTACTTCGCGCCTGCCCTTCCACTGGGAAAGCCATACTTCGATGTTATGAACACGACATGTTTGCCCCAAGTCGATATACTGTTCGGTCACCAGGTATTGAACCCTACCCTGGCGTCAGCTGCCGTGGAGAGTGGCGCCAAGGGCCTCGTGCTTGCTGGTATGGGAGCTGGAGGTTGGACCACACCAGGAGATAAGGTGATCCAGGATGTTATAGAGAAACACAATACGGCCGTTGTCTATTCGCGACGGTCAATGGACGGATATGTTGCACCTACCGGCACATTTGGGTACGGAGGAGGCTTTCTAAATCCTCAGAAGGCTCGAATATTGATGCAACTAGCTCTTGGTGCGGGATACGAGAACGCCCAATTAAAAACCTTGTTTGAGTTTGACGCGTAGAGTACGCGAGTGACGATTTTGGGAATGAAAGGGGGGAGCTGGTTATAGAATAAACGATCAAATACTGAGTAATGATATACTTAATGATAGCATGTTAATATCATGATGCCTGTGCCGCCTTGTCGGATGCTTCTAACAGTATTTCGAGTCTGGCACTATCTTAATGAAAAATGTTCGCAAAAGTGATGGCCAGTGTCGCAACGTGAAATGAGAGCGGCAAATCGAACAAACCAAAGACAAGGGCAAACTTGAGACTCGTGCCTATAGATTCACCATCGGAAGTGCTTGAGTCGGCATTATCGTGTAATGTCAAGGTGCTGTTCGCCGCAGGAGCCAAGGAATTACTCACGAAGTCTGGCGCCCTCCAATCAGACCAATCGTGAACTAATAGACCCCTAAATGCTCATCTGTTAGTATGTCTTCTAGAACTCTACATCATGGTAGACACTATGTTCCTCCATGACGTGTAAAAAGACGGGAAGGGAAGGTTGGCACACTGACCAGCTTTCGTCGGCATCTGTAGAGTTCTCCCGAATATAGTAACTACCGCCTAACTCCCAAATCATCCAGCCGGCGTTATGGGAGGAAACATAATCCAATAAGCAAGATATGTAAGGATCTTGTACCGCTGATTCATCTTGTTCAGTACCAAACTCTGTCAGGACCACAGGGAACTGGTTCCGAGCATCGTTGGCCAAAGCCTTAAATCCAGCACTGAAGAGCTTATCTTGCACCGCGCTACAGTTACTCGGGCTACTTCCAAAAATATTGTCATATGCATGCAACTCAAGGACTAGCTTATCGGCATAACCAGAGAAGTCGTCTCGGTTAAACGTGGCAGTTCCAGGGGTGAGGGCGGTCCCGTCGACTACAGGGCTCAAGTCCTGGTCCGAGTCGAGGCCAGAAAGGAATATCAAAACATTTTCGTTAGAGCCATGGATGGCATCTGAGCCCTGCTTTACATGAGTGTACCAATTTTCCCAGTTATAGACCTGGCCAGCAAAAGTAAAGTTCGACAGTGGTTGACGCAGCTCGTTACGCAGAGACATCGACATGAGATTTGACCACGTCTTGCCCTATTTACTGTCAGCTTCTCATCTCATCAGGAGTCGAGGTGGGGATATGCTAACATGATCGGCCATAAAAGACAAGCCTCGAGTCCAGTGCTGGATGTCGAAGTATTGGTCTCCCCACCAGGCGTTACCATCTAGTGGACTACAGCACCAGCCCGATTTCGAAATATGATTGTCTAAATGTAAGTAGATTTGCTGTCTCGCAGTTTCAGCTGCAATGGCATCGAATACCTTTCCATTTATCAGTCTCTGTACGTACAAGCTGGGTGAAGAAGAAGAATAAAGAATGGTATCAGACTCACTTGTAATCTCGTGGTTTCATCGTTGAAGGAAGGATTATTTTCAATGATACTATTATAAACCGTTGTCCCATGTTCCTGGCCTAAAGCATCTGTAAGAGCTCTCTGTATGGTGATATCTGTCTCTCCGTTCTCATAGATCTGGTCTATCATCTCAATAGCATACGTGAGTCGGACAGAGTTGCCCAAACTCTTTATACGTGAAACAATAGCTTCGATTGATTGGTATTGTAAGCCCTCCGGGATCATGGTGTCGAGCGATGCTGGCCAGTTAACACCGACGTATGTGATAGTCGAGCCAGCGGCATCGTGTATCCACCGTCCGGAGGTAACGAAAGGACCGTTAGGCCAAGCCGCCCTTGGCGTATTTAATGAAGCGAATGACCCTGTTATGACTAGGATGAGTGGCAGCCAGTACCGATATCCAAAAGTTGCCATGTTAAACATTTAAACGAGTGTCGTTGACGAAAAGTGAGAATGATGGAAGAGTTGATTGTGTCTGCGACAGCCCACGGAACTTAGGCGAACATTTGATTTATCGTAAACGGAAATCTCGGCGCATAAAATGGGTTTTCAACATCGTTTCGTATTTCTAGTCCATTTTTCGTATCCAAAGCCAGACATGTAGGTGTGTGTGTAGGTATTGTACGTACTGTAGTATTCGTCGGGTCGATCTGTCTGGTGTGGCGTGTTTCATTGGATGACAGTTCTTGATTTTCAGCTTTTGAAACCTTGAACTGTTAACATAAGTGCTAATCAGCGCCACAAAATCCCGTGATGAATGATCTCGGTAGCTCCAATGACGTGGTACTACTATATATAAGCATGTACCCAGTCAATAGCCCCTCTATATATGCATACCTAGTAGTTATGTAGATATGCATCACTGGCTTAATGCAAGTTACCTACATATGTACCTAGGTAGGTTAGTATACAGCTCCCAATCTCGAATTCGGAGTTTAACTCAACCGTGACATTTCCAATTTCAACTTGGGAATTGTCAACTGTCAACTCTTACCTTTACAGTCAGACGAGCAAAACTTTTCTTACTCAAGCTGGCCACTCTATGTCGAAATTGATTAGATTCAAAGTCTCAGCAGTTACGGAGAAATCGATGGGCTCCGAATACTCTGGTAAGACTGTGGGTTGCAACGTAGAGGGAGGGCCGGCTGATTCTACAATATCGCTTCGGCTGGTTTCACTCAGGAGGCCATCCGACGGTATTGCTGCGCCGTCCATTACAGACTGTGACGGCCCTTGTTCAATTCCATCTTCGGCTCCGAATCTCAACCACGGGCCTTTAGACTGCATGAAGGCCTCCAACGCATGTCGCTGTTCGATCTCATTATTCGTAGACGAACTATTCTTCTTGCCTTTCTCCTCCACTGTTTGCAAATGATCAACCGGCATCGCGATGCCCGAGTCCAAGGTTAGGGATGAGCGACGACTATGATCAACGCTGCTCTGACCAATCGCCGTTGAACTCGCACTCGCATTGTCGTTCGCCCACTGGTCTATGATGTGCTGCAGTCCCTCTCCGAGTCTCTCTCGCATAAACGAAGCTAAGCTCCTTTCTTCTTGAGGAAGGTTTGCCAAATCCATTCCCCTGGCCTCAATGACTTCTGTTAAAATCGTTGGTCCTCGAGCGGTCATGAAGTCTTGAAAACGGCACAACTCTTCGGACAATTCTCTGTCACGGTATGGTGTTCGAGGACGCGGGTGTGGGTGGAAAAGTATATCATAGACAGCAAACCACTGCTGCTCTTCTCCCATCTTGGACGATATTCGCTGGCCAAGCTCCCTTTTCTGCTTCTCTGAGATGCCCTCAATGACAATATCAGACCTCTCAGTACAGCTTTGGGATCTTATGTGCGAGTCCCTATCGTCTTCATCCTCAAAGGTCTCGTTGCATGTTGGACAATAGAGGGGTTTGCGATGACAACGTGTCAGATGTTGTTTAACGTCGCGAACCCTACCAAGAAAGTACCGGTAACAATCACGATACTTGATTGGATCCTTTTTGGCGAACGGACAAGCGAGCCATAGCTTGCGGTCCTGTGCTCGCCGCCTTGTAATAGATTTTTGGCTTTGCTTATCTTCCGATGGACGACCACGCTTTCGTGGACGATCCTCCCCATCACCCTCGTGCTCTGCCGGCCCGAGGTATATCTCTCTGTTATCAATTGTTTGGTCATTCTCATCCTGCTTACGGCCCCCAACCTGCTGCATATACGCCGCCATGATCGCCTGCAGGAACGAATCCTTCAACTGAATTAACGGGTGCTCTTCTTCTAAATTTGGTGAATCTGCGGAACAGATTGAGTATGGCGTTTCGGGATCTTCATCTGTCCATGAACCTGTTGTATCGTATCCAGACCGTCCCATCGTTTTACGACAAATCCATAGTGTTGACTACTAACATTGAGCCATGCTCTAAAATCGTCAAATACTGAAAGGTCGAAAGCACCACATAACATCCATCTACTTTGAAGTGAAGCTAATGATGAGAGATATCTCGTTGAAAAAGCCTTGATCATGCAAAAGCCACCAGTTGGAACAGCCGGCTATAAGTCGTGGGTAAGCATCTTCTCAGATGATGCGGCTCAACTTTCAACTTGATGATATTGAGCACTACAGTGCTCTGTAGCTCTGTTGATCCGGCTCTTGGCTCTCGGTCATTGGATGATATTCCGTTCGCACCGCATAAGCACGGTTGCCTTCCGCCGCATCTCCGACGAGCACTGCGACCCATTCATTTAATTCGTCATTACTGGGAAGGTATTCTTATATCATCCAATAAGCACCTCCGGGGGGTCGGCGCTCTAGATTGTGGATCTTACAATGACCGAATCGGGATGCATCGAACCAAGTCGAGTGGTAAGTAAACCCGTTTGACATTCAAAGTTCAAAAATTTACTCATTCAATGGCCACGAGCAACAAATATCAATAATGCATTCACGGACGTTAATGATCTCAAATCTGGATACGAGAAACTACCTAGGTATCCATCTATCAACCTACTAACTAGGTAGTCATTGACTTAAGCTGGGCCTTATCGACATTGCTCCCGCTTGCTAGCAATCGCCGACTTATGAAGCCGTACTCACTGATATCTGTACTTCATCAAGGGACATCATGCTCAAATAGTTGGCTCATAATACCCCTGTGGCAATTTGAGTCTATTGATCTAAAAATTCAGGGTTAGCATATACTGTATATTCCACAAGGAGTCAACCACAAGATCTGATATTTGCTAGAAGGGTTGGTGCGGCAAACATTGCTTGTGCCTACTCTTGCGACACATGTCCATTGTTAGCAAGCTTGGTAGGTACATGCTAATTCTGACATACATGTAAAATACAATAACTGGCGTCTACATTATTGGCTATCGTTCTATCTACGTATGGTTCCCCCGCACTCACTGGTATTTCAGATGCATAGTACGCGGCCAGTTTGATGATCACATGCACCGTCGTCAAGGGATACACTAGGCAACCATGGGGATTGATGCCGGTACATGTAGTTCGATTTGTAGATGACTAGATTTGGTCATCCACGAGCGACTCTCGGAGCTAAGTGGTTGTCGGCCCCCCCCTTTTAGCTGATCAACCTGAGAGGCCGTTCCTCCACCGGCTTTTTAACTCTAACTTTTCTTCCGTACACCGTGAATTAGCCTAACAAGGGAGATCATATAAACTATATATGCAACCTTGGTCGTTCATTGACATTGTCGGATTAATCTGAGTTTCACATAGGGTTTTCATAATGCGCAACAAATGATCTGTAATGCAGATATGTATCCTCCCTTAAGTGTATGAGTAGGTATCTACCCAAATAATAGCCTACATAATATGGAGCTATCTATCTATGTAAGCTCCAGGATTTACATATCTTATGGAAGAGAAGCTTTAAAACTACTCACTAATTTATAGATACTACATGTTTTTTAATAGTTGACTAGTAGCACTCGTGGGTTACATCATATAAATGTTCATATACTACTAGCAGTAGACCTAGAGCGCTGCCATTCGTTATACGTACCCAGCAGTTTGGACCGGTACAACTATATTATATTGTGTTTGGACGAGCTTCTGTCAAATTGGATATTCACATAATATTGAATGAATGATAATTACCATTCAAAGTTACATATGTACTTGGACATGGCACCGGGAGATATCTATTAAATGCTAAAGTGGCTTAGACACATACATATCAGCAGCTTCGAAGCTAATGATGTCATTTCAACTCAAAGTGCACTTAAGGTGCAATAATCAAGTGATCCGATGTCAGATGCCGAATTGCCGTTGTTTGACAAGCGTCGGTATAAGGCTGTACATATGTATGTATAAGATGCATGAGAAGAAACCGAGTTACGCTACCTAGGGTATTCACAACTCGTGGTCAAATGATTGGTCCATGCAGGCTACTAAAATGCTTGGGACAGAACATTGAGGTACAGACACAGAATAAACAATCTAAAATTATCTCAATCTCAAGCCACGAGATGAGATGACATCAGTTAAACATTACGCTAGTACCGTGCAAGTACTACATACTCAAAGTAGTACTGTCTATATAAACCTTTAATTTATGATTGATGCCAAAAAGTCCGTATTTATGTACCTAATTTACTTTATTGTGGCTTAGATCAAAGTTCACATGCCATCATACCAGTCTGGTTGACCATAAGAAAGTAAGAGGTAATATGTAGTACATATGTACAATACCTACCTAGGTCCTAGGTAAGATAGAAAGCCCTAGAGACCTTATCTATCCGTGTTTTCCTGAGCCAAGACTGGATACTATTGTACCTGGTGTAAGTATAAAATAGGTAGTAGCGTCCGTCCCGGCATACATATGGATACATAAGTAGTTAACCCCCTATCGATCGCGCTAAACTGAACCTAACGTCACTCACCTACAATGTACATAAGTTTCATTGATGTAACCTGGCTGGAGGCGACTTAACCCACCTTTTCGAGTCCCTTAACCCTTGTAGTTCTAAACTCTTTTACCACCAAATCCAAACTGCAAGATACTTGCTTACGACTGCAGTCTGCCCTGTCTGTTGTCTGTCTGTCTGTCTGTCTGTCTGCCACTTACAAAGACCACAACCACCACTCATATCCAGTGCCATATCCAATCCCAAAGTACATCTCCTTAATCTAAATCTTCTAGGTTAGACCCATCTGCGAGTGAGCTGGTTCATCCCAACTGGGGTAAACTGAGCCAGTCAAGCCGCCTTTAGGCTTTCGGCATCACTCCTGTATGAGTATCTATCTACTACATTGTTTAGCTACCTACCTGTCTACGAACAACCTATCAACCTTGTAGTATTCAACACGTAGGAATCGCCCCAGGTCGCATTACTTCTGGACCATCGTCATCATGTCTACTGCCCCTCCACCTACCGCCAGCATCGATGAAGATGTTCCTCAGAATGAAGGGTCTAAACTGAAGACCTTCATCTCCATCCTGCGAAAGTAAGCAAATATTTACCTAGTATTCATCTTTTTTTTTTTTGGAAAATGAAATGGGGCTGGCTTCTCACCGCCACGTTCTATCTCTCTTCGTTCAAGCATTGGAGCCGTTTCGAGATAAAGCGCGAAATCAATAATATTATCGCCCCCGAACTAGTTTCTTGTTTTCCTATCGCAATAACAGCTTGGCTAATATCTTGTCCTGTGCTTTAGGTTCATAGGTGTAGCTGATCTTGCTGCCGTCCGATTTTCCCTCCCTTCCCAGCTCCTCGAACCGACACCTAATCTTGAGTACTGGAACTACCTCGACAACCCCAGCGCGTTTGCCGCTATAGGAACGTCCGACGAACCGCTCGATCGTATGCTCGAGGTCCTACGTTTTTGGTTTACAAAGGATCTGAAGTACGTTAAGGGGAAGCCATGCAAGCCGTATAATTCTTGCCTGGGTGAATTCTTTCGTTGTAACTGGGAAGCGGAAGATAACGCGCCACGGATCGATACGAAGAGTTTGGCGACTTCTAGCAATGGAAATGCTAGCAGCGCATCTTCGGTCAAGTCAATCAAGGGTGCAGCCGATCCACGATCAGCCTCTACAGTCTCAGTTGTCCAGACACTACCGAATCCCACTGGGCCTACCGTTCGAATATCCTATTTGACCGAACAGACATCTCATCATCCTCCCGTCAGCGCTTTCTACGTCAGCTGCCCCGAGAAGGGCTTGCATGCTAGAGGTTTTGATCAGATCAGTGCGAAGTTCACCGGCACCGCTATTAAAGTCTCGCCAGGTACTCATAATCTAGGAATCTTCATTACCCTTGAGAAAAGGGATTGCGAAACATACCAGCTAAAGCACCCTGCCGCACATCTTGGTGGAATTCTACGCGGTAGCTTGAGTGTTAGTGTTGGCGACATCGCCTATGTTACTTGCCCCCAGACAAAATTAAAAGCGATTCTTCACTATATCGAGGATGGCTGGCTCGGACGGGCGCAGAATAAGGTTGAAGGTGTCATTTTTAAATATGACCCAGAGAAAGACGACAAGTTGCGTATCAGGGATGTGCCTGACTCCGACGTAGTAGCAAGGCTTGGTGGTGTATGGAAAGATAAAGTTGTCTTCACCCTAGGCCCAAAACCAGTGGTAAGTTTATCTCGCTGTTTTTTATCATAGCAAACCGCCTCGAGCAAGCCACCCTAACGTATATAACAGGACTCTCACCCGCCGGATAAGCAAATCACTATAATCGACCTCAACCCCCTTGCTGTAGCGCCCAAGACACTACCACCCAAGGAGAAGCAGGCGGAAAATGAGTCATTGACACTATGGGATGGCGTAACCCAAGCTATAATGTCTAAACAGTACTCGAAGGCTACCAACGTCAAGGTCGATCTCGAGGAAAAGCAGCGAGAGAAGGCTAGGGAACGGGAACGCAAGAACGAACCCTTTAAACCGGTCTTTTTCGATCAAGCTACCGATAAACGAGGCACGCCAGAACTCACAGAAGCCGGCCGCCAAGTACTCGAGAGAGCGCAGAAGGGGGTTTGGGACCTAGAGGGGATTATCTAGAACATAAACGGGCGAGAAGTTTAAACGTGATCTTCTAAGGGTTAGACCAGAACATACCGACCGGAAACTTTCATCACCCTCCCATTATCCCATACGATCACTCGTTTGCGGTTCAGCATTTTGGTTTTTGGATGGCTTCGCTCGCATATATATTCGCATACATGTACCGATCACAAGGGTAAGGCATAGCAGCTTTGGTCAAAGCCGTTCGTGGAGTTCAGCGCATTCGCTCGAATGTCGCTTGCTTAATTCATACCTAGGTAGACACACAGATTTGACTTTGGGGGCGTTTTAGGGGCATGTAGAAGAAGAAGAAGATGCAGATGCAGAAGATGATGATAGATAGGTCTCTTCTAGCATTTGCTTATCGAGTTGTCCAGCCTATTGTTCAGCTATGGTCGTTTTCACTATGGGATTTTTTTTAATTGTTTTAGTTTGCTGCCATACAAATCTAAATCAATGCAGTCCGTTCTATGTTTTGGATGCATATAATATGTACTGAGGTACGTTAGGTATGGAGTTGTCGTATGCAGGAGTTTCAATATATTTGTGCTCATGTTCTCGTCAACATTGCCATTCCATCCCCTCTTTCCTTACCCCCTTTTCCCCTCATCTTCCCCCCCTTTATTTCCAATGTGGTACCTACTATTAATTGAACGTAACCCACAACTCCCCAACATCACTTCGACACACCTACTCATAAGCTGTACTAGTAGCCACCTCCTCCCCCAGCGCCAAGTCCTCAAGGAACTTGCCGGTGGCCCTCCTCATCCGCTCCAGGGAGTCCCGGCCCAGCACCAGCCGCGTCACCTTCCCCTTCAAGTGCCCCGCCACCCCCTCGCCCACCACGGCCTCGAAGATGCGGTCGACCCCCTTCTGAGGGTCACCCACCTGCTTCCCGTCCTGGCTCACGTACACCCCCATCAGCTGGTCGGCGGGCGTGCCCGCGTAGTCCGGCGGCAGCGGCGCCTCGCACCGGTTCAGCGCCGCGAGGAAGTTGGTGCGGAACGCGCCGGGCTCGACGACGAGCACGCTGATGTTGAAGGGGGCTACTTCTTTGGCGAGCCCGTCGGATAAGGATTCTATGGCCCCTTTGCTCGCGGAGTACAGAGCTGATGTCGCCTGTGGGTCTTTTGCCGCGACACTGCTGAGGTTCACGATGGTTCCCGTGCGCCGTGCGCGCATGCCGGGTAAAGCGGCTTGGAGGACGAAGAGGGGCCCGAAGAAGTTAGTTTGGAATTGGAGGGTTGCTTCTTTTTCGCTTTTGTGGAGGTGTTAGATGTGTGCACCTAGATATAGGGAGCTTTGCTTGCTTAGGTACCTACCTAAACTGCTCCACGGCCCCCATGACGAAAAACCCAGCATTGTTGACCAGGTAGTCGATCTGGCCCACCCCTTTAACTTTCTCGTCGATGCTCGCCTTGGACTCCGCCAGGTCCAGCTCTATCACCTTGCCCCCCGCCGCCTCGATCTGCTGGACGGCCGCGCTGGCCTTGGCCCGGCTGCGCACGGAGCCGACTACGCGGTGGCCTGCTCCGAGAGCCTTGAGGCAGAGGAGCAGCCCGAAGCCGTGGGAGGCGCCGGTGATGAGCCAGACTGGTGGGGACATTGTGGGCTTTGAGGAAGGGCTGCTTAGAAAAGGACTTAGATAGGTTTTACGTTGTGTGTTGCTTGATGAGGGGAATTAAGTGATCACACGCCTACTGCATAAACAGACTGTGTACCTATCTATCTACCTAGTAGCAGCTAGGTTAACAAGCTCCTTGACAGGAGTTATATACTTTCTTTCTCGAATCATAAGAGTGGGTCTACGCAGTCATCTCAACCTTGGAACCTTAGAAGGTTATGTAAACCCCGAAATCATCGCCGACAACGCGAACTTTAACGCCGATGGGCTAGGGAATAGATGCGTAAATACGGTAAAATCCAGAGAGGGGTGAATGACTCAACTCGGCAGCATGGGGTTGAATATCGTCGTGCGGTGCCGCGTCTAGCATGATGTCGCGGTAGGGGCGAATTCGCAAATGGTCGCTGGACGCAGGTCAGCTTGAGGGGTATGGGAAAACAAGTTTTAGGGGGGGGTAATATGCTCCTAATTTGCCCTCAATTCGAACTACGGACTACGAAATGAATACAGGGGATCAGAGTTTCCGGCATTTTCATTCACAGAAGTTAATTGCAAATTTCACCTACTGCCAAGTGCTTGCAGTTTTTTTCCCAATTGGTCTGTTTCATCGGTCAAGATGTCAGGTGTGTTTAATACAAGCCCTGGAGACTTTCAACGTGAGAAGACCTTCGCAGTGAAGCGAGCAGTATCGTAGACATAGAATAGGAAGTCTTGCTGACCTTGATTCTGAGATACCTCTGACAATTCTTCTCCTCGGCTAATTTCATGATTTGAAGGTCATATGAACAGTGTCTAGGTATAAAGCCAAAGCCGGGTAAGCGAGGCCTGTTACCTACCATAAACAAGGTCCTGACCGATTCTAGATACTTTAGCTCTTACGTCCTGATGGATCCCATATACCTAACAGCCAAAGAGCGATGAAGCGTCTGACTATACCCCTAGCATTTATGCGAGAATCAAGCACATTGGTAGAGTTCATAATGAGATGCCACAAGGTATATCATGCTCACTAGATACTACTAAATACCTAGATGTGGGCAAATAACAGCAAAATGCCAAAATTTAAAGAGCTTGCTTGTCTTGATTATGAGTATTACCTACAAAAACACCAATCGAGCTACCCTGCCATCCTCTCCCGATGCCCAGCAGACGCCCCCCTCCAGACACTCAACACTATCAAAGCTCCCATTGTTAAAATTCCGCCAATTTCGGCCTCCATCAAGCGTGAAATCAGACCCGGAAGGACCTACAGCAAGCGCCACACCACCGCGCCCAAGAACCCAAGAGGACCCAGACCGGTAACCGCTCGGGAACGAGGCGGCGGGCGTCCAGCTTACCCCCCCGTCATCCGACCACGCCGCGTTGTCCACAGCCCCATCCGGCAGCGAGTAATTCCCACCGACCGCAATGCCATGCCTCGCGTCCCGGAACTGCACCGAGAAGACCCCCGCGCCCTCGCCTCCCGCTATCGAAGCATTCGACACATCCCAGTGGTACCCATCACCACTCCTGAACACACGCCCAGGATCCACACCCCCCGTCGCGACGTACCACCGCCCCGCCGCCGTCGCAATACACGTCCCGCTCGCCGCGAACCCGGCCTCGCCCTCCTGCGCCGGCGCCATCCCCTTCGGGTCCACGACCGTCCAGCTCGCCCCGCCGTCCCGCGTCTCCAGCAGCCGGACCTTGCCGTCGACGGGGTCGCTCATCGCCATCCCGTGCTGTGGCGTCGCGAACGCGATGCAGTCGTAGAAGGCGGCCGGCTCGCCGTTCGTGAACGCAAGGTCCCAGGTTAAGCCGCCGTCGGAGGTGGCGTAGATGCGCGAGCTATTGCCGGTGCCGATCGAGAGGATCACGGCTTTGGTGGCGGACCAGGCGGCTATGTCGCGGAACTCCAGTTCCGAGACGTCGGGCGAGGTGGTTGATGATGGTGGCCCGACGGATTTCCAGGTGTGCCCCCCGTCGGTGGTGCGCAGGACTGTCCCTTCGGTTCCGGAGGCCCACGCGATGGAGTCCGATACGGGCGCAAGCCCGCGCAGGCGGGCTGTGCTGTTAGTGGGGAGGAGGCCCCAGGATAGTTTGGGCTGCGCATGTGTGGTACCAAACCCCGTGGATACCGAAAGCCCGAAAGCATGGCTGGTCGGGATGAGGAGGGCACCGAGCAGGAAATTCCGTGTAAGACGCGCCATCTTAGCTGAGTTGGCCGATCGAGAAATGGGGCGACGTCGCACGCGTCTTTATTTAGGAAGACAATCTCCCCCACTTGAAGAAGCGGGAAGTGGGAGGCTTCTCCCTTGTTTATATAAAAAAAAAGAATGACTTGCAGTTAATTAGGTAGATCGTATTTAGCTTACCAAAGTAGGACGCTCCCAGGTCCCTGGCGCCCATTACGGTACCTTGGCGTCTGGGGTCTGTTACCGGATGGGGAAGGAGGATGTTACCATGCTAGCGGACATTGATATGGATACGTATTTAGATATCCTATTGATGCTGGATTCATAGAGGGTGTTATGGGTCACGGTTTGAGAGAATTTATATCTTTTACTTTGTGGTATTTCCAACTATCCTATCCTAGAGACTACCTATTCCAATTCTCATTAAAACAATCAAAACAGTTAAAACAGATACAGCGCGTCTTGGGTGAACTAGTAGTACCGGGTACACGAAAGCGATCATACCTACTAGGTAAGGTAATTACAGGATGTAGGAAAGTGAAGCTGTTTCTTTAGGTAGGTATTTGTTTATGACTTACAAGTATCGAATCGATCAGCTCCCGCCGAGCCGACTCTTCCAAGGAAAGTACCGGGGCGCTTTCGGGTAGCCCTTCAGCACGGTGCTGGACTGCTGGCCTTGGCGTACGGACACGGCGAACCCGGCGTTGGCGAATGAACTCCTGGCTGGCGGCGGCTCCGAGCCGGCCCCGAAGCGTGGTTGGATGCGGCCCAGATCTCGCCTCGTCCCGGCTGGGTACTTGGATGCACGACGGGAAGGGATGGGAGGGGGGTTAGGTGCCCAGCAAATGTGCTTCCTCTTTGCTGCTCTTTCCCGGTCTCTTGGCATTTTACCGTTGGGTAAAGGGTCGTAGAATGGTGTGAAGGTGGGCAGAGAGACGGCGCCCGAGGACATGTTCACCGCGGAGTAGGTGTCTATCGGTGCTTGCCCCCACAATCGGCCGGGCACTTCGTCGTCGTCGTCGCATTCTTGAGAGCTGTCACCGCACTTCTGGGCTGCGTTCGCATCCCCATTCACGCAAGGGTTTGTTTGAGCTTGCCAAGCGGCTTCTAGCTTGTCCACGTCAAAGCCCTCAGGAATAGCTTCCTCGCACGGCCACTTCCGCCGTAAGTCGTTCTCCATCTCCCTCATCTCAGCATCTGTTCGGTGCAGCAGCTTTTCGTCAGCCTCGACCCGGTGCAGGAAGATCTTGCGCTGGGGCCATGGATCCGGTCCGTCAGCGGGGAGGTCCTCAAACGTGGAGCAGCGCTCCACGGCCTTTTTCATGGCTGCGGTCTTTTTGCAGTTAGATGGCCTTTTACTCATTTTTTGTCCCATTCCACGGATTTTTGTTGAGTTGCGATTTGGCTTTTTCTTTTTCTTTCTTTTTTTTTTTTTGCTTTACTTTAGGTACATACCTACCCAGGTACGTTTTGCCTCAACTCGAGGAGACGGCAGGCCCTTCTTTTAGCATGGGGCTTGGGAGTTGCACGATTGCTCTGACTGTGAACAATGGCCACTGAGTAGTAACGAGGAAACGCCCCCCTCTGATGTGGTTTGATTAGTACGTGGCTGTTTCTTGATTCACGGAGATCCCGTTTCTTTCTTTGACGGCTATGAGAGGTTGTATCTGAACCCTCATACTGTCACGGCTCAGGTGGGCGGCATCGATGGTAGGTGGTCAGTGGTTTGTGGGATCAATTCGCTGCGTTTGTTCCAAAGTGCCACGATGCCGAATAATTTCATAGTCTTGCTTGCAATCACGTTGATTCATTTACATGATGTCTGATGGAGGAAAAAAATCCTAATGAATGGCTTGATGCAGGAGGTTTTGGCTGCCTCCGCAAGGGAGGCTGCCCCTTTATTGCTTTGCAGTCAAGAAACACATAAAGAAGCGTCTAGACCCAAAATTTGTCGTCGATCCCGCCGTCTAATAACGTACATACCTGTTCGGATATAACAGTGCGGGCCGAGTATGTGTGCGACTTGAGACATACAGGAAATAATTAAGCCATAAACCGATTTTATTACCACAGTAACTGATTCGTCATCTCTTCTCAAAGACTAACGATTGTGGAGATTATACTGGATCAATAAACATGGAACTTGCTAAGTCCCATGTTTAGCTATCCATCTTATGGATTATGGAAGTATGTCTCCTTTTCGTTTGCATATGTCGCCCGCTGTTTATTTTTGGATCTGATCCAGGAATTCAACTATGGCCGCACAACAACCAGACATAATAGCGTCTTTTTTAGAAAAGGCATGTTCCACATAACTAATGGCATCTGGGTCGAAAAAGGCTTACGACGTTGCGACGAACCGCCGCAAGTTATAACCGGGTTTAGTCCGATACGTAACATAGGTAATTTAGTATCCATGCTCAACGTGTACACACAGATGGGATTCTGGATTCCAGCCCTGATCGTTTCTAGGCCTTTTCACGGCTACGTGCTGTGCCGAAGGCGCTACGCCATCAGTTGATGAAAGTTTATTGAGACGACGGGAGCACGACATGATGCATCAATAGCGTTGGTGAAGATGAGTATTTAACAAGAGTACAAGGTGAGAGAATAGGTACCTGGGCTCCGAGATTACACAGGGAATAAAAGGACTGTCCTATCGTCATGGGAAATCTCTTGGGTTAGATGAGGGGGATGCTCTCACAATGCGGAAGATTCATTGTCTTCGTATACATGGGATACGAGAGAATTGGCCGAGTTGACACAATTATGACCCGAGAGACTGGAAACGAACCAATAATATGCACCAGTGGTGGACGTGGGTTATGTATCATATGCAGTGAGACAACATATAAGTTATACAACAGCAGTGCCGTACTTCGTACACTAGAAGGAATAAGGGATGAGAAGAGTGGTGATAACGGTGGTGCCCCCGCCTGCTCTGTTCTGTTCTGTTCTGTTCTGTCCACACCGAACTTTTCAAATTCGTGTTCGTGCGATAGCAGAAAGGTCCATCGCGGCGCTACCACGTAGCAATCGGGTAGGATTTCCCGCGTCATCTACTACTAATAGTATACTAAGGCCCTGGCCGGGTGCCTCGTGTTCAAGTCTAAGCGTGAGAGTTAGTATGCAGGTCATGACCGGCCCGAGTTTTGTCGTTCAATGGTTAGTGAGGCTGAATACGGTAATGTTGCATGCCGCTCACAAACGATCGAGCGACCCCGCCTTGGCAGCGGAGGCTGGATCTCTTCACGATCGTTGTGTAGACGTCGTTGCATTAGACGAACCGACTAAGAGATGGTCTTTCACTCTAACTATTTAGGTCGGTAACTACTTTACATAGTAGTAGTCGGTTTAAAAAAATATCCTTGTGGGTAAGGCTTGGTAGGTAAGCTAGGTAGACCCGACAATACGACTGATGAAGTCATTTTGCATGAAAATCATTGAGGGGAAAGATGAAGCGCTTAGCAAACAAAGATGATTGTTATAACTGACCTGCTGACTCGATGTAGACTTTGAAGTGCCTAGGGCTGAACTCGATACTACATCACAGCTGAAGGGATGATCGGTTGCTGTAATAGGTAAATAGCTCTGGATTTCGGCCGCTGGATTTGGAGTAACCTAACGTTGAATGTCTTCATTGTAGAGGACACAGCACAAAGGCTTACGGTGACGAAAGTTGGTGACAGAAGGTTACGAGCGACCAGTTACAGTCCAAGTTTTGTCACGGCATGCACTAGTTCCATGCATGCGGTGACATTACCTACCTAATGCAGACTGAAGCTCATGAAGTCAAGACGTCATGTAAATTGTAAACGATTTTGGACATTCAATTGCAGTTGAATGGGTACTTAGTAAGTACAATTTGAACGTGTGCTACGGATATCACGGCGCCTCCTATTTCTGGACCTCAGGGGCGACTATTTCCGTTCCAATTCCAAAATGGAAGCGCCGGCTTTACCTAGAATATTTAGACAACGGGTTTCAAAGCCCGAGTCCCTGAACAATTAGCCCGCGACAATGGCACTGTTTGGCGGTTAGCCACTACTCTAACTGCTACTAAGTAGTAAGTGAGTGAGCAGGTCGAGGCCTGTGTGTTTGGAGTTGACCAAAAACAAGGCCTAATACTACCTAGTGACAAACGAACAGTCAAAGAATCGTCAGAGTTGCCAGTTTGAACAATCTTCGATTCACCAACGTCATGAACATGTACTCGAATCATCCCATTTCTTAATCCTCCTAGTCCTTAATGGATCGGTTACTGTATAAGTATACCCCGCAATGGGAACACTGCATATTGGTAGCGCGCAGTGATCGGACGAGGCGGCACAGCTGTTGAGTTATCGTGGAGTGGAAATAGTCTGACGCACGGAATCGATGGTTTGAAAGAGATGAATAAAAATTAAATAAAAACAAAATAAAAAAATAAAAAATAAAAAGATATCTACGGCTGTTGTATCCCCCTCTCAAGTTGCACGACTTAGACAGCTGTGATCGTCGAAGCACTAAACCAAACACAGCATGTGGCTTTGTCGTCTTGCCAGCAAAGCAAAAGCGTTGCGGGATGCGGGATGCGCGCAAATGCGTGGTGACGCCCCAGCAACCCCCATTCTCGTATTTGACATTTCTTAGCAGCTCCTCTGCGCATTAGACATAACACACGCATCAGTGACTAACATGACACTAATATAACACTAACATGATGTACTATTGTTATGTATGTATGTACGTTAGGCAATGTTACCTACCTAGGCTGCTAGGCAATGCCATGTAATGTCATGTAGTGTATGTACACCTAGTACCTACTAACCTAGGTATTAATAGTCAGTACGGCGTAGTACTACTAGTAGTATTCTTAGTATCCATATACAGTGATATACTACTATACCTAGTAGGTATACAACATCATGTACGTAGTATAGGCTGTATAGCCCTTCCCAGGTCAGGGGTTCAGCCCAGTTTGAAGCCCACAGCCTTATTCGGCACAAGCGCCAGCTTATCACACAACCCTTTGCAGGCTTTTCAAATTTCAACCTCGTCAGGTCCTGAGATGTACGATGTACTAGGTTAGGATGTACTGACTCCTGGGATCTCCTTGTCTTATTTCCAATTGTTTCCTGCGAATCACCGTCTTGGAGCTATGACGTTCTACTGGGATCATTCACTCGGAGCATTGTCTTTGACAACTCCTCTTGACAAAACTGTCCATGAAAGAGATCGGCATGTTAGTGTGAGATGATGATCGTCAATTGTTTTCTGCGCCATAAAGAAACATTATCACAGATGCAATGTACTAAGACTATGTACTCGTCTTCTCCTTTCGAATACTTTAATAAGAGACCTTCTTCGCTTTGATCTCCTTTACGATGGAGAGGATCACCACACACCTCCGCACTCTCTCATACTAACTAATACTTTGAGAGCCCGAGATCGATCGTCCATCTGCCCTCGGACCCTCACATCGGACCCTCAGATTTGGGCCCGTACGCCTGTTATAATACAGTAATACTAATCTTATACACTAAGGGCCGCAACGACTGATCGTTATCATGCGCTTCACCCTCACCTCTCATGCCCTCGTCGGCGCTGTTGCTGTGTCAGCCTTAACCGTTCCGCGATCAGTTGAGAAACGGTTAACTCACATCGACCTCGCCCAGTTTGGGAGTTTCCCAACCATCTCCCCTGAGCAAGCTCACTCCGAAGCCGAGGCCCTCACTGCGATTCTTGGCGATGGGCCCCAGTTTTCCGGCCACAAGAGCAACACCAACACCAACACCAACAACAAATCACCGGTAGCGGCGGTAGACGATACCACCACAGAGTCAGAAGCTGCGGCTGCCGGTACCTGTGACCGAAACAACCCAGCTGTCCGGTTCGAATGGCGGAATTACTCAGCCGATGACAAGAAGGCCTTCGTCAACGGCATCAAGTGTCTGATGGACAAAGACTCCTCTGGCTCATTTCCCGGCGCGAAAAACCGATACGAGGACCTGGTATCGGTGCACCAGCAACTGACGCCTACCATCCACCAGCGCGCTACCTTTCTAGTATGGCACCGTTACTACGTCCATGTATTCGAGTCCTTGATGCGCGAGGAGTGCGGCTTCAACAGGGCCTTCCCATGGTGGGACGAGACGCTGGACGCTGGCAAGTTCGCGCAGTCCGATCTTTTCACTGATGAGCATTTCGGCCCTCTGCCCGGCAAGACATCTGATGGCCAGGGTACCTGCATTGACACAGGTGTAAGTAATCCCCCCCCCCACCCCTTGTCTCATAACACGGACGCCCCCATCGCCCTCACCTATGAATATGTGATTTTCTTTTCCTTGGCTTGACTCATCGCTAACCTCATCAATCTTTTTAGACTTTTGGGGGATTGACCCTTCACGTCGGTCCGGGCTCAGGGTTCACAGACCACTGCCTTGCGCGCGCGGTCGATGAGAGCCTAACAGCTACCGTCAGTGCCCAGTTCGTGCAGGACTGCAACTCGCGCACTTCGTACGATGACATGCGCGGTTGCCAGGAGCTAGGGTACGATAATTTTCCCATCTCTCATCTCTTCCCTCCCCTTTCCCCTCATCCCATTCCTCTCCCCCCCTCCTTTACCCCAAAATTCACGACAAAGCAGAACCCATGACTAACGCATATACCCACAGACCCCACGCATACGGCCACAACGGCGTCGGCGCCGTCATGGCCGAAGTGCAGGCCTCGCCCGGCGACCCCGTCTTCTTCATGCACCACCTGTTCGTCGACCACTCCTTCCGCATCTGGCAGAACGGCGACGCCTCGCGCACCACCACCATCAACGGCTGCGCCGACGGCAACAACCCCTGCACCGCCATCACCATGGACACCGTCCTGCACTCCAACGGCCTGCGCCCCAACACGACTGTTGGCGCGGTCATGGACACCCTGGGTGATTACCTGTGCTACCGCTATGACTATTAGTCTAGTCAGGTACCAGGTAGTCACTTTGTGACAGCGACGGGTGTCGATACCCGACTTACCCACCTACCGACCTATTCACCCTTCTCACATACACGACCACCATTTTGTTCCTTTTATTTAGTAGATGTTTCATCACGACTATATTCTTCGCATTCATTGTATATTTATAATATTTTTTTCCGACCATTGCAAATAGGCGTTTGCGGGGCGGGAAGTGGTCCACGTAATGGACGGATTTTATGTCAAAAGAGGGCGATGAGCGCATACCGTTTGAGCGATGCGAGATGAAGATAGAGAGAGAGAGAGAGAGAGAGAGGAAGAGGAGTACTGTTCAATTATACCCAGAGGATATGGCAAAAATTATATATTTATATATACTGTATAAAATGTGTAGCATTGGAGCTAGGGATCAGGAATAAAAGTTCTGAGTTCTCATGAATTTCGTTTTTGATGCCTTGTATTCGCGATGACTACGTTGTATTCCCACTCAGGTATTCGTGAATATCAGGTGTATGATTTCTGTCCTTTGACGTCTCACATCTCCCCGGAGACTAGGCATGAAAGCGACATATACACACATGTAAGTTGTCTTTGTTCTTCTATGTGGCCCCCATGTACACCTCGCATAAACCACTGACAGTTTCTGTCACCTTGCAGTCTTTCATACGCATCAAATCAAGAGACTAGGTAGGTTTGGACTTTCATAGTGCGATAGCCAGATAATTCTTTGTACCTATTGTCTTGGTGTTGCTACATAGAAAAACTACCCCTATACCCGAAACATTCGACATTGAAGGATTGTAGCCCATCCAAACATGGTGCGTGTAATACAAAAGTAAAGAAGGTAAAATTCTCCGATCTTGTTGCTCCCCAGTGCCACACGTCCTCTCCTCCCCCCCTTTCTCCCTTTCCAGACCCATGTCAAGCCATAGCCACAAGTCTAGCAGCCAAACCCGCAGTCCATCTCGCGCTTTCCCCCGTCGTACTTGCCGGTGCTGCAGCCATCGGAGCTGGAGAACTTCTGGCCGGCGTACGCGAACTGCAGGGGGTCGCTGTCGACGGCGCCGACGCCGACGGTGAGCAGGTAGGGCGGGACGCTCGGGACGCTCGTGCTCTGGTAGTCGGGGATCGCGACGCCGGTGCGCTGGCCGGCGGTGTTGCCGCCGCCGTCCGCGATCCTGAAGTCGAACTGGTAGTCGCCCTCGACGCCGTTCTCGTTCTTCTGCCACTGCGTCACGTGCACGCCGCAGTTGCCCGGGATGTAATCGTTGTCGTCGGGGGAGGGGGAGGGGGCGGCGTGGGAGAGGCCGAAGAGGGCGGCGAGGGTGAAGGTGGTGGTGGAGAAGTACATTTTTGGGGAGTTGGTAGTGGTGGTCTTGGAAGACTTTTTTTTTTGAATGTGGGTTTTTGTTTTGTTTAAAAGAAGATGCTGTGATAGTTGGTAGTGCTCGGACTGATGGTTGATGAGTTGATGAGTTGATGAGTTGGTAGAATCTGGGTGAGATGATGTTCATTTATGTCAAGCCAACCTCGACGATCTCAACTCAAACCCTTACCGTTACGCATCGTTCTCTAGCCTCGTCGTTTCTTCCTGGATGGATCATCGTCACGACTTCCTCGTTCATCACAGATGCCTAAACATAGGACTATTTCTCCCAGCTCTCCAGTTCAACCCCAACATCCTGTTAGACCTCCCCGGAACTTTTGCCTATCCCCCCTGAATAGTTGACGTCTTTCAAAGGCTAGCGCCAGGAAGTCTTGCCCGATACCTTTTGGCCTCTTTGTAGCCCCTGAAGTCACCGACGATCATGGTGATGCGTTGTTCAAGATATTCCCTCGGGCTAGATGTAAATAGCATGAACCATGAGCTGAAGACCTTTGAGTAAGGGATTTCCCGTGGACGTCCGAATAGTACACAGTGCTTCGTCGAAAAATAGATCCGGAATAGGGGTAAGTTAACGAATCGGTGTAACGGGGCCGCAAATATAATTTACAAAATGGATTGTGGCATGTAAATGCAGAAGCTCCTAAGTTTTAAGAAGTAATGTTTCCCCTACAAACATCCCCATAGTCCAGGAATAGGCACCATCTTAAGTCCGATGGCCTCGATCTCTTCGCCAGTATGACAACTCCTATTCATATAATTCGGAGTTACAGAGTGAGGTATACTTCGTACATCGTGATACGCATTTAGCCAGCCCAGCTTCCGGCCGAAGAGGCTTACATTCTGTTGCAGTACAACTGCAACCAAGAAGAAGGAAGATGGAAGGAAGAAAGCTTGGTTTATTCTTAACTAGGTACTCTGGCGGGGTGCCAATATATGGCTATATGGCCCTAGTGGAGCCTATGGTGCCTCAGGCAACACATTCACAACCTCGTACAGTAAACTTGTAACCCCAAAGTGAAAGAACTGTCTGGGTGATTTCTTCGTTGTTCTGATACGGAAACTCAGATCCTCGCAGATATTCAAACTGCAAATTATATCGGCGGTAAAACTTCAGGATATCCTCAGCTGTGTCCTCTGTCTTCTGTATCATGCCATACTGCCACTGATGATTAATCCCATATCGAAGCTTTTCTCCATGCGACACAGTCCCTTTTCTGGCGGAGCCATTTACTCATCATGGTCCGGTTGGATGTTCAAGGCCGGTCCAGGGGGGGACACCCCCAGAATATGTCGGACCTTCTCACGATGAGCTTCCATTAGATGGCAAATTCGGGCTGCCGAATGGGTTGGCCTTCATCAGGTAGCCATGTGGTCAAAGTTTCACTGGCCCGAACATACGTGGTTGGCTTGAATTATGCTCATTTTGAAGTGTTACGTGAGAGATCACCAGGACTATCCTTTCTAGACATCACTCTCCCTTAGACCAGCACCCCCTTAAAGATCCACATCCTTATATTTCACCATTTATGTAATAAAAACTATGATGAAACATGTCCCGGTATATCTTCTTCTATCTCATAGCTCTTGACCGTTGCTTGTATTTGTTCAACTATTCTACTCTCTTACACAACATATTACCCCTGACTTAATGACTGAACAAGGAATTACTTACCTAGTATGCTTTCAGAACTTGAGAATCATTTCCATTACCTAAACAACCATGCACGAGAATAAAGGAAATGTTAAATCGAGCAACGTTGGCCTTTATTTTTTCGAAATTTATTTTATTTAAACTAAGCAAGTATCTAATTATTTAGGAAACTGGTCCTCATAGGTTCCAGATATCATGAACCAGTACTTTGCCGAGACCATAAAGACTTAACATGTCTTTTATAGATCGACAAGTATGGCTAAGTTATTGAACACCTCGGATGAGTGGTGCCCGCCACGCATCCGATTTGTTCTCACAGTTTGGGATACAGATAACCTTGATGGGCTTTCCTTCCTACTTAGTAGCACTACAGTAGGAAATGGATTGGGCTCCTCTCAATTATATGTCGAGCACTAGCCTCATAGTAAGGCGGCTCTTCTGTTCCAGCGCGCAACTCCTGTTTAAGCTGTCTAGCCTGCATGTCGATGTATGACATGCCTGGCTGCCACTTAAGGAGTTTGGTTAGGATAAAGTGGAACAGTTCTTTGAACTGAACTCCATGGCCTTCATTCTGATGATACTCTTTCAAGTAGTTTCTGGGACTTCTGTCCCGTGTTAGAACGTGCAAGAATACATGCACCATCTCGTGTACGAGAGAGCATAACGCTTCATCAAAAGAGACAAACCTGTCTCCGCCGGATTTAAGCAGGCCAATATTGACTTGGCTTTGCATAAAGCGGAAGGAGCTTATTATTCCTAGCGCGTCATCTCTCGTCTGTCCAAAGTGAAGATTGAACAGCATTTTACTGGCGGTCAGTTGCGTGCCAATCCTCTTCGGTCGGGTCATAACACCGAAGAAAAACAGGGCGTCGAGCCATACGACATACCGGCTCAGCAACTGAGCCAACTGGGTTCCGTTGTAAGGGGACAGTCTGCTTGCCTCCCAGTCCCTCTGGAGTTCGGCTTTAAACTCGTTGTTTACATCACGGAATTCGCGAGTCCTTTTCGCAATGCATTTTGCCTTGGTAAATTTGACAATATCGGAGGCGTAGTACTCGTAGTACTGACCCGGGTTATCCCATTCCCAAAAGTCCCACCTTTTGTTGCCCGGGACTCTGAACTGCCAAAAATCGGCGCGCAAGTAGTAGTCATGAACGACATCCCTAGTCTTCTCAGATGGCATCTTGAACGATGTTTTGGTAGATGTTAATGATAAACTAACAGAAACTTTTGATCTTTTGAGATAAATAGACACTTGATAGTGTTGGTGAAGTGCTGGTTGAGTTTGTTGGTGCCGAGATAATTCTAAAAAGTCCGACTTGAAGTCTCTTATATATAAATCACGGCCTCAACTCAAGTAATGTTGTATGTGAACCATCGAGCAAGTGCCTTAATAAAGGCCATGATTCGTAACAAGAACTGCATTTCCTTTTTCGTAAGACGAGGACGCCAGTAACTAATGCATAGTAGATCTATGATATACACTATACATACCTACTAGGTATGAACCTTTTGACTTGAAATGCTGATTTTTCAAAATACTTCGGCTAGGGGTATCGAAAGAACGACGATGGTTGCTGTATTATACTTTATCATCGTATACTTAGGCCATTGGAGTATCTTGTAAGGGGTATCGAGGCTTCGATTCCTGGATAGAAATAATGTGCCTTAAGGTCTGCCATATTTGCGTTTCAATTCATCTATAAAACAAAATGGGAAAGTATTAGGCAACGAATATAGAGACGATTTAGGAAAAGTCTTTGCTGCTAAGCAGGTGAAAGTGTTTAAACGATTAGGTATATATATTTCCGAGCTCCAAGGTTGTTGAAGTTGTATAATCAACAACCAATGGCAGCCAGAGTAAGTAGCATTCTCGGAATTCGGAGAATATTGCTAAGTTCATACGAGAGGATTAGGCTGTTCTTGGCCTTACTTATACCTGTACGTGCTTGATATGATACAAAGGGAACCGCCTGATCTTGGCCGTTCTTTATTATAGTCTTAGCCAAGTCTGGCATGAAATCTCTTCAGTGATGCTAATCACAGCTTTCTTGAGACCTTTATGCATGCAAGGTGAAGTTATCGGACCAAATAGCGGATTGTCAAAGAATGTCTTACCAATCACGAATGCAACTGTAGAGAATTATCACACCAAAATGAGCCCAAGGAGTATAAATCCATGAGGTTTATAAAAACATCAACGGAGATACCTAACCTAGGTACCTAGTAGGTATTCAACTTACCTAATACATAGCAGCCTGGCAGCTTAGAAGACCCAGCTGGGTGATCCCCACGAGTCTCACAACTCCACATCAAACACCGCATCCAATTATTCGCTGCTTAACCGGCCAGGTACCGAAATGCCCAGTCCGCTAGGTAAGGGTAGTTACCTATTAGTTGAGCTTATGACTGGTTAGCACCGCGGCAACAGATCATGATCAGCATCAAGCATAGGTAGGGCTTACCACAAGGTAGCTGGGCTGTTAGTTAGACCGCCAAAGCCCGATGCAAATTATGGTGATGGGTTGTGTTCAAGGCATCAGGATTGGGCAAAGTGCTGCATAGCAAGACAGATGCTTAGCCACTTGCCAAGCGACGAAGGACGCAAATGATGTAAAGCATCAATGCTGTGCCCCCAAGGCTACCATAAAATACCCGATGGCACAGTGATCTGGTGTTTCTATTTAAGAGCGTTCCCTGCGCCGCGAGCCTGTGAATCTGATCTGTAAACTCTATCTTACATCTCATCCTGTTCAGCGCATATCCTCTCCTATCTCGAAGCCTATACCCACACTATTTACATCCAGCCAAGATGGGTTACCAAAACACCAACTCAATCTACCTGCGTGCTCTCATGGGCTTCGCTGCGCTGGCAGGCACCACGACGGCGGTGTGCACGAACTGGGAGCAAGGGCGCGCGCACATCGACGACGGCGGCAGTTTCTCGAACCACTACACCAAATCCGTCGACCAGCTGACGTGTCCCGCCTCCTCGGACGACGACTGCGAGTTCGCGCCCAAGTACTACGACTTCACCGCCGAGCGCGATCTGCTCGGGGCAGGGGGTCTGCCACTCGGCGACCTCCCGGAGGACGAGCTCGAGGCCATCTTCCAGCTCGCCGCGGACGGCTTCGCCCAGGAGTTTCCCGCGAGCAACGGCAGCAACGGCAGCACGAACTCGACCGTGGAGTTCAAGACGCTCACCACGACCCTCAGCACGCAGGATCTGCCCGACAGCGTCGACCAGGTGCTCGAGGTGGACCCGGCGGTCAACAAGACGCTCACGTGGACGTCGTACTACGTCTACTCGACGGGCACGCTGAGCGGATGCTCCAACGAGACGCTGAACAATGTCACGGTAACGGCTGCGGCGCCGTACTTCACGCAGGATGGGAGCAGGAACAACCAGGCTGTGTTGGCGGGTGGCTGGGGCTCGATATCGAGCAACATCACCGGACAGCAGCAGGGACAGGACGACGCACAGGGCGCGGCGATGTCGCTGGTGAAGAGGTCGGCTGGCACTGCTATCTCGGGCTTGGTGGTGGTGACGATGGTGTTGGCGTTTGTGATTTGATGAAAAGAGGGTTGAGACATCGGACGTCCTAACCAAGTATTGGAGATATCCAATTCGCATACCCCTTTTGAGCTTCTGGTGTAGAATAGTTCCGGACGGCTATGTTCAGTTGCTATGTACATAGTATGATACCCAACTTGCGTACTTGGTACCTAGATGACGATATGCCTTTGTGTGAATCTCAGATCGGGAGCGCTATGAATATCAACCCCAAACCAATTCATTGTGTCTGTTAGGTGAAGAAACAAAGCCGGAATGCTTGATAGTCTGGCAAATGCATCAGATAGAGGCATGCAGAGAACGAAGAAGAGGCTTTGCAGGTATGGTCCACTGCTCCCATGTATAGGAGCATAGTTCTTCGCGAAACAACTTCGTTGTATCCATGCATGATGGCCCGGTCATTGAGAAGCAAGACGAAAAATGATGCTTTACTGTCTGTCATATAGAGGTTGGCTGCGGAGACTTCGAATGAAAAAGAACAGTGTAGGATTTGGGGCCTTCTCCCCTCTATACTCACGTATGTACTGTGTTACCATACCTGAGTAAAGTAAAATAGGGGCTTGGTAATTATCTTTGTGTCCTCCTACTGCTGCGTAACACCAGATATGCCATTGTAGCATTCCGCTTCATATTTTAGTCTCAGATATCCGGCTTGGCAAGCCGGACCGGTCGAAGCAGATAAACGACGTCAACGAGCCGAAGAAGATGCTCACCTCCGTCGGAGACAATATTCCAACCGCAGATGTATTTCGCTGTATATATAAGTGTCCTTTGTCGGTCAATGTCAACTGTATTATAGGGCTTGGTACCGAAAATGTGATTGCTAATGCATACCATGCCGCGACAGGGAGACTATGCATGTGCCTGGCCATTGCATCTTCAGTGCTTCTGACCTGTCAACTGTTGCGGTAGCATAGAGATCTTGCAATGTATAATAGCAACTTTCCTAATAAGTAGCTATAATATGCTGAAGGCAAGTACCTAGGTGGCAATCAAATCGCCCATCGGGCGAGAACATAGAAAAGGTAGTACAAAGAGGGAGTGATGGATTGCTACGTGTTTGTAACTCTGGTCATCAGATTGATGCCAGGGGCGGTGTGGTAGAGGATGAAGACAGGAGGCATGGTAGACTGAGTGTAAGGCCGTGGCAAGATGAAAACTCAAGGTCTAGAGCTTTGAAAGAACATGGTGGCCCAACTCTTGGGTATCAGATTAGACGGGAGGTATGTCGTAGCGCATATACACAACGACGCATCATGACGTGTCGCGATCTCGATTTCTAGCTATTAAAGATATACAATGCTGACCAGGTAGAAAATTTGTTTCGTGGAATTGTTTCCTGGAAGAAGTTGACAAGAAACCCAGGCCTGGAAAGCAGTGGCCCGTTTTCTATGTTAGTCAGTCATAAAGTCACTAGTAATATGATAGAAATAACAGCTTAAGGTCGCCGTCCAAATAGAGAGATATCAAATGTTGAAAATGAGGGATGATTTGACATGTGAAAGAACGCCTTGCGCGTCGAGGCAAGGCTCGAACCACTATTCGTATAGTCTGGCCACGACACTTGGCTGATCTCTTCCATTTTACCCCTTTGTTTGGTACTGTTATCTGGCAAGTGCACTAGTCGAGTAAAATTCGCCGGTAGCGTTGGGGATAATCTCGCCGGCCGGGGTCTCGAAGAATTGTATGTAAAAAATGTTTGTGTTAGGACGGTAGATTTTACCGATCCGGTAAGTGGAAAAAAGGGGTATAACATAACGGCCGCGTGCATCTTTTAAAACGCACAATGGGGTCGCGCAACAGGCCGGCCTAGAGAGGCAGGCTACCAATAACCAAGTAAGTCCTATATGGCCCAAAATTAATGATGCATAACATACCGACCTAATTATATAGTAGTGGTATAGGTATTGGATGGCATATCGCGGGGTGGCGTGGCGTGTGTGCTATCGACCGAAGGAGGCAACCAGTCACGCAATGCCAAAATATGTGCGCGTCTTCAAAAAGAAACCACAGAGACCGGCAGTAAAAGAAAGAAAAGAAAAGAACAAGAAAACGAATGAATGGAAAGACCAGAAAAACCAGACAAGAATATATTAAAACAACAGACTTTGGCATGCATAAATGTATGTCACCACCCTGTTTCTTTTTCTTTTTTGTCAATTTTTTTCTTTTCTATTAACTATTTCCCACTAAATCGGACCCGTACTTGATTCGAAGAGCTTCGCCCTTCCCAAACAGGGCGATGCACCAGATACTTTCTTGCATACCAACAGCAACTCAGTCGCGCCGAGTGGCTTCCCTTTCCGGCTATGCACATTCGCGGCCAGCGCCCGCGTGCATTGATCACGGTAGCAGAGCCTTCTATGTGGTTGGTTCGATTTGCCCTCCCTCGAGCCTCACTCGGTGGAATGGTGACATACATCTGTTGATGAACAATTACTGGACTGCTCGGATTTTTTTTTTCTCTTGTTTTCTTTTTTTCTTTTGGGCCGTTTCGTTTCGTGGTTAGGTAGGTATTGTTGGCCGGTAGATCGTAGCTTGCCTATCATACATACCCTGCCTGCTGTCCATTAGGCGTATATTAGTTGGCATCCCACGGGGTACGTATGTAGGTATATTTAGGTACTAAGGAGATCCGGCGGGAAGGGGCACGAGGGAGGGAGTGCGGAGAGCCTCGGCCTTGGAGGAGGTTAGGTAGGTAGGACTTTGGGTACACAGCTGAAATAGCTGGCTTTTGTACGGGTTTTTTGAACGAGTGATCAAGGTAGAATATCACATCAGGTCAAGAGCTCAAGGAGAAGATAGGATTATCCGATTCGTCATATTTCTTTTCTCGTTGGAGGCTACCATGATTCTTCCATCTGATTTGCCCCCTCTCCTTTCTCACCTCTCACCGTCACCATCCAATGAAGAGCTCGGTGCTCGGGGTCTCCTAAACCTCACCTCAACGCAGTCGTCTGGCAAGCCTATCGTTACTGTGTTTACATTAGGTGGCAGCCAGACACAATGTTGCCGTACGCCTACGACCGAAGTCGCCGCAGTATGGGATACGACCGTGACGACCACTCCGACATCCGTTCGAGCCCCGACCCCGACCCCGGCCCTCGTAGCAAGAAGCTCAGGCGACAACTCCGCCAACACGGCCCTTATCGTGATGGGCGTCTTACTTGGGGTATCTTTGCTGCTTTTCTTGTTTTGCTATTCCTCCTGTCAAAGGCGTAGGAGATGGGAGAATAGTAGTGGTAGGTCCTCTAGGTCCTCCAGGTCCTCCAGGTCATCTAGGAGGATGTACTACAATAAACAGCCGCCACAAGTCCAGTATCAGTTCATCGAGGTGAGTTCACAGTGTTGTATTGATAAGCTTCGTGGAATGATACCTAGTAACATATCAATGTCTCGGGTAGGGACCACGGGGGGCTCAAGGCATACCAGGGGACAAGGGTGATACAGGTGCCAAAGGAGATAAAGGGGATACAGGTGCGAGAGGGGATAAAGGAGATAGAGGGCCAGCTGGAGGTAAGACTCCTTTCCACCTCATACTGTTGAAGATCGTAGTCGTTGCTATTGATCATGTAAAACGAAGGCTAACATTCTACTTCCTCGAAGATCCCGGACGAGACGGGATTGATGGCGCTGACGGAGCTGACGGAGTTAGTGGCGCGGATGGTGCACCTGGGTAAGTAGGCTGCAAGGTCTTTATTACTAGGTAATTACTAAAAATCACTTTAGGCCACGAGGACAAGACGGAAGGCCTGGCAAGGATGGCAAAGATGGAAAAGATGGAAAAGATGGAAAAGACGGTAAAGACGGCAAAGATGGTAGTAAAGGAGAACGGGGCGAACGGGGAGAGCGAGGGGCACCCGGAGCACCCGGAGCACCTGGCCAACGTGGGGCAGAGGGAGCACAGGGGGGACATGGGGAACGCGGAGAACAGGGAGAAAGAGGAGAAAGAGGAGAAAGAGGAGAAAGAGGGGAGAGGGGAGAAGATGGAGCAGATGGAGCACCTGGAGTACCGGGCCAACGTGGAGAACGTGGAGAACGTGGAGTACCTGGAGCAGAGGGAGCGCGAGGTGAACAGGGTGAACGAGGAGCAGAGGGAATACAAGGAGAGCAGGGAGAGAGAGGAGAGCGAGGAGAAAGAGGTGAAAGGGGACCAAGAGGCAGGAGAGGAGAGAGGGGGCCCATGGGTGGGTGGCAGAACATCCAGCAACACCGCGACGAGACATGGACGTTCGACCACATAACCCCAGCATACCCGCCGAGAGTGTTTCTTAACTTTACCTGCTGTGACTTCTGCAGAGCTGCATGTGGAGGCCGCTGCGTCGGACGCTGCGGGGGGTGGAATCTTTGTGGAGGGCATTGCGGTTGCAGCTGTGGATGCTGTCATTGAGGTTGGGTCTATGCTCTTGTATGATGAAGGATAGGGAGATTTTTATGTTCTATATGATAAGTTAGGTGGCTAGCTTCAACGGGATCATTATGGTGGAGGCTCTTTTGTTTTGATATATGTTCATTTAGAGGGAATGGAGGCAATATGTTATCATAGGTATTGATGACACTTCAACAGATTGACTTACATCTACAGCCCTTATTTGCATTATGAAGCATTGTGATATATTATATGTATTGGATAAATAAATGAGGAACTCATAAGGCATAAGCCATCGCTCTTAGATTACCTATTCAAGCGGAAAGTGAATCTCAAAATTCGGAGTTGATGTTGGAATTGGAATAAGTCTTCTCCGCTAATAGTATGAAATCTGCACGCTTCTTGGCCAAATCCTACCTCTACAAGCTTCCAAGGTTCTCAGAAACATCCTTAGGACTATTCGTCGTGCACTTGGAAAATTAAATCTCAGTAAAACAGCCATTCATCCATATCTGCTTGCATATATCACACTTCTACAAATTTACTACACATCCTTCAACCATGACTCCATCAATCCAACTCAACGCCCTCGCACGGAACTGGGCCTTAACCCCCTCCGCCACAAATCCCAGCGTCTCAGCAGAAGCCGTCCTCGCCTTCCACACGCAGGTCCCGGGGTACAACGAAACGCCCCTGCACACCCTGCCCGACCTGGCATCCTCTCTTGGGCTAGGCCACGTCCTGCTCAAAGACGAGTCCGACCGCTTCGGACTGCCCGCGTTTAAGATCCTGGGTGCCTCGTGGGCCGTGTACCGCGCCGTGTGCTCGCGTCTAAACTTGGGACCTGCTACTGCTACTTCACCGGATAGTAGTAATAAAATCATCCCCTTCGCAGACATCGGCGCCGCGGCCCGGGAAAAAGGCATCCACATCATCACGCTCACCGAAGGCAACTGCGGGCGCGCCGTCGCGCGCATGGCTGCAGGGCACCTAGGGCTGCGGACAACGGTGTACGTGCCGTCGTACATGGACGCGTTAACGCGATCGAAGATCCGGGGCGAAGGGGCTGAGGTCGTCGAGGTGGCCGGGAGCTACGACGACGTGATCCCGGTGGCGCTGGCTGCTGCTGCGGCGGAGGCAGACAATGCGATCATGGTGATGGATGTTGGGGTCGAGGGGTGCGACGAGGTGCCGCGGTACTTTGTCCAGGGGTACGGGACGATGCTGGCGGAGTCGGATCGCCAGGTGCTGGGGGTTACTGGGGATAGGCCGACGACGCATGCGGTTGTGCCCGTGGGTGCGGGGTCGATTGGGGAGGCTGTGACGGCGCATTTCAAGAGTGCGGCTAGAAGCACTGGAACAGCACATCGTCCGACGAAAGTTATTGCCGTGGAGCCGACGACGGCGGCATGTCTGTTTGAGTCCCTGAAGGCGGGGAAGAGCGTGTCGGTGCCGACTGGTGATACGATTATGTGCGGGATGAACTGCGGGACGCTATCGACGACGGCGTGGCCAGTGCTCCGGGACGGGATGGATGCGAGTGTCACTATAACGGACCTAGAGGCGCATGATGCGGTACGAGAGCTTACGGCCCGAGGTATTCATGCTGGACCTTGTGGTGCTGCCACGCTAGCTGCGCTTAAGAGGCTGTGTGAGGATCATAAAAAGGAGTTGGATCTGGATGAGAATTCGGTTGTGGTGCTTTACTGTACTGAGGGTACCAGGGAGTATTTAATGCCGTCATAATCTAAGGGGGGTAGATACTTTTATATAGAAGGGCCAGCTATAGGTACCATCTTCAGGGCAGGAAAACTTGGGGTGTGTTGACTGATTTTATATTTTGTTGTTATAGAGGGCAGTATTCTTGTCTGACCTGAAGCTCTTTTGTACATATACCTAGAGACCTACCTGGGGACCTAGGAGATATGTATACAGCAAGCCCGTATTTCAGTCCCACGGGTCCTGCGGGTATATATCACCTATCCATTTGTATGTGCAAACCGTATATTCACCTGGACTAGAGTGTGCTCAATATACTGATTGTTTTCGCATATTTGCGTATTCGTACAGACTTTTTTCGTCGTCACATATCATAATTCCTCGATTTTTATTTTTTTTTTAAATATTTTTGAATACCACTAGAAACCCATGGTAAGAAGAAAGTTGAGGATTTGGTTCCGTTTGTGGCCCTATAAGAGTAATGTATGGTTAGTAGAGGTAAATGGGGTGGGCTTGAATCATCAACCTTACCCGTACCGCTATGTGCCGAGTCACATTGTTGACGGACACATCACTGTCGGGGAGCTGTAAGGCGTCTCTAATGTCCGCTTTCAGAGCTTTCAGGTCACCCTCTGCCTTTTTTAACAGTGTGACTTTAAAATTACCCCCGCGCTTAGACTTTTGATATACACCGAGGTTGGCAAGATTATTCCTATTAACGAAGTATGGCAGTTGGGGTGCTTGCTCTGTCGTTTCTTCGGTGGGTATCTCGTTTGATATTTCGGTTACTTGCTTGACTGGTTGCTCGGATGATGGTGGAATAGAGGCGGATGTGATAGCCTCAGAAGAGGACTCGGAAGAGGGCCCAGAAGAAGTTGATTGAGGTATAGATTCGGATAATCCTGAGTGATCGCTAGTTTGGTCGACTGAAGTGGATAGATATCTCGTCCGTATCGGCAACAGTAAGGCCAGGCGCATTGGTGGCGAAGAGAAAGATGGTGAATACGCTGGAAGCGTACGTAGCGTACGGAGGGCTCTAGGTAGTAGCATGGCTACCTAGATATGGATTGTTGTATTTGACTAATCAGTATGTATGAAGTACGAAGTATGAGGTATGAATGCGACTAAATTGTATGTTGGATGAAATTGAAATAGTTTGCGCCGAAGATCGAAGATTGAAGATCGATAATGTCAAGGTTCAACTAGTTATGTACAGCTTTTTTCATGCTCTGGATGCGATTAATAAGAAAGTCTGATATCGAGATATCCATAAAACCCCGGTAGAATCTCGGGTAGAAACTCTGATACCCACAATTGCCAATCGATACGGTAACAGGAACATGTACCTAACTATTAATACCTGCCGTACATCATTGGTCTGTCCCACAATCCACGTTTCTAAGAATTATTGGGTCGCAGCCCTCAAAGGTTTAGAAAAAAAGGGAGCCCTGGAGCATTGACCAAATTTGTTCCGTGTGCCCCTCCAAACTAAAAACTAAAACATTTCTTTTGGCGACAATTTCGACTTTCGACCTTCGACTTTACCAACTTTGTGCAATTTTGCCAATATCTCCACACCAATCACCAATCCACCATCTTGTCCTCTCTCGACATCCTCCACGATAATACATCTAATCTCGCACGGATTATTCCAAAAAAAAAATATCAAACCACCCAAAATGGCAGAATACGATCTCCTGCCGAAATTAGTCGGCCACCTTGATCGCCATCTCATCTTCCCTCTTCTCGAGTTTGCTGCTGGTCAACTACCCGAAGACGCTGATGATGCCTCCGTCTTGGCCATCACCAAAGCCAAGTATGAGCTTCTTAAGACTACAAACATGACCGATTTCGTTGGCAACTTGAAGGCAGAGCTTGAAGGCCTCGAACAACCCCCAGCCGAGTTCAACGACAAGCGACAAAAAGTCATCTCGCGCCTCGAGCAGTTCGAGGAAAGCACCAACAAGCTAGTTGACTTACTAGGTCGTGAGGACGTGGTTGGAAACTTGAGAAGTGACAAGGTGGCCAACTTGGAATTCCTAAAGAAGGACCACGAGGTGTGTGATATCCATACCCAACTAATTCTAGTTCAATGCTGACCTGTTAATTTAGGTTACCATTGATATGGTCAACGCTCTGTACGACTTTGGCAACTTCCAATATAGCTGCGGAAACTATGCCGCCGCTGCCGATCTGTTATACCAGTTCCGTGTGCTTTCTACCGATAACGACAAGGTGGCTGCCGCGACGTGGGGAAAGCTCGCATCTGAGATCCTAACCACCAACTGGGAAGGCAGCGTTGAGGAGCTCCAGAAAGTCAAGGAGAATATCGACACCAAGCTCTTCAACAACCCGCTAGCTCAGCTGAGCCAACGCACCTGGCTCATCCACTGGGCTTTGTTCCCTCTTTTCAACGACGATCGCACTCGCGACGGGCTTCTAGACATCCTCTTCAGTCCCGCCTACATCAACACCATCCAGACCAGCTCCCCTTGGATTCTCCGATACCTCACTGCCGCCGTCATTACTGGCCGTAACCGGACAAGAAACTCGGGTCAGCACCAAAAGCAGTTGAAGGATATAATACGTATTGTCAAGCAAGAAGGCTACGAGTACAGCGACCCCGTGACCGACTTCGTGCGAGCGCTCTACATCGACTTTGACTTCGAGGAAGCCCAACGACAGCTTGTTCTTGCCGAGGAGATCTTACGCTCCGACTTCTTCCTCTTCTCCACCGCCGACCTGTTTGTCGATGCTGCCCGACACTTGATCTCAGAGAGTTACTGCAAGATTCACGCGCGTATCGACATCAAGGACTTGAGTGCGCGTCTCGGTCTCGGCGACGACGAGGGTGAGAAGTGGATCGTGAACTTGATCCGCGACACCAGAGTGGATGCCAAGATCGACTACAAGGAAGGCACAGTCGTTATGAATCATCCTCCTAGCTCGGTCTACCAACAAGTGATCGAGCGAACCAAGGGCGGATTCTTCCGAACACAAGTGCTCAGTGCTGCTGTCGCAAGATAAGGGGTAGCAATGATTACATGAGATTCTCCAAGGATACCCGTTTAATTGACATGGTAATGCGTGCGTGAGCCAAAGTTGGGACGAGACGAATGAGATCCATGGTTTTGCCGATGGGCATGCATTCAAGGCGTTTTCGGGGGGGTTTCTGGTACTGGTACAGCTCAACGAGGTAGAACTGTAAGGTAGCATCGATTTGCAAATACAAAATTTGTTACGACCATTAACTCTGAGTTCTGTCTGGACTTTTGGTATGTAGGATAAGTTTGATACACTTTCAACTGTTACCAGCTACGCGTACCTACATGATTTGTACATACCTACCTATTACTACCTAGTAGGTAGTAGTAGGGTACTAGGTATATAGTAACGACTCGGTATATACATACCCTGAGTATCTTAACATTTGAACGATGTCTCTTTCCCTAAACTACTATATAGGACTAGACTTAGTGGCTTCTTCCTGCGCCGACATCGTAACAGAAGGCACGAGGCATTACCTAGTATTGTGAGACGAAAGCAATATCCCAAAGTTAATTTCCTTTCTTACTTCAATGTCCCTACGTATTTCTTACTTCTTCACTTCCTCCCTTCCTCACTTCTTCGGGGCAGGCCCCTTATGTTTATTCATCCAACACTCTGACACTCTAGCACTCCTTTCTTCACCCGCCCATCGTCTAAAAAATCACATCAAATCAAATAAAAATCAACTCTTTTCTCACTAACGTAAAATCATGGGCCAAACTTCAATAACTTCAAATCCAAAAGAGTATCTCGTCAAGACGTACGCCGGTGTCCTTGGTAAAGTAATAGGCGTATACTTAGGTCGACCTATAGAAGGGTGGACACACGAACGTATCTTGAGTAAACTTGGCCCCATCAATTATTATCTTAACGAGAAATTTGACTTGCCGCTCGTGGTCCCGGACGATGATATTTCGGCCACTTTCGCCTTTGCTCGCGCCGCTTCCGATCATTTATGCATCGACTCACTAAAGATAGGGCGGTATTGGCAGGACACCGTCATCAAGGGGAAGTCAGTTTTTCGGTGGGGCGGCAACGGTGTATCGGCCGAGCATACGGCGTTTCTCAACCTAAATAAAGACATCGTCCCGCCTTTTAGTGGCTCAAAGGAGATGAATGGCGAGGCCGTTGCCGAGCAAATCGGCGGACAGACCTTCATCGACGGCTTTGCCATGGTGGCGGCCGGAGACCCGGCGGCGGCTGCGGATCTTGCGCAGGCTGCAGCATCTGTAAGCCACGACGGAGAGGCGGTAATCGCGGCGAGACTCTGGGCTGCCATGGAAGCCGCAGCTTACCTTTCGAAAGACATTATCCATCTATTGAAGGAAGGATTGAGGTGCATACCTCCCGACTCGCTTATTGCTAACATGGTAAAGGATGTCCACAAATGGGTCAAGGTAGACCAAGACTGGCAGGCGACGCGAAAGAGGATTGCAGACAGGTTCGGCTACAACAAGTTCAAAGGGCTATGCCCCGTAATCCCGAACCACGCCATTATGATTATGACGGTCCTCTATTCGTCAGACAATTTCGACAATGCCATGTGTATTGTGAACACGAGCGGCTGGGGCACCAGCTCCAACTCTGGGAATGTCGCCTGCCTTCTGGGCATCATGCATGGTCTGGATGCTTTCGAAGGTAAATACGACTGGCGTGGCCCCATCGCCGATCAGGTGCTCATATCGAGTGCGGATGGCGGCTACGCCATCAACAACGCCGCGCGCATCGCGACAGACATCGTGACAGCGGGTCGTCACTACACGGACCAAAATCCTCTGCTACCGCCAAAAGATGGCGCTCAGTTCCATTTCACGTTGCCAGGGAGCATCCAGGGATTCCAAGCGGCCAAGGTAGGCACCCTCGCCGCAGGCTGGGCCAAAGTCAGGGTCGTGCAAGATCTGAATGAGAAATTCCGTTGGCGTCCTGGCCTGTCTGTTCACATTGGTGGGTTGGAAATGGGCACCTCAAACTTGGACGCAATAGAAATCACGACACCAACTTTTTTGCCGCCAAACGTGCACAGGCTAGGTCCATACGAGCTTCTGGCCGCGCCGCTCGTGTATCCCGGACAGACGATCGAAGCGATCGTGCGCGGCGACGATGAAAATACGGGGTATATGCGGGGAAGGCTCGTAATCAGGGCGTACTCACCCGAAGACGAGCTTCAAAGCTTTTATAGCGAGCCCATGGTCATTTTTCTTGACGAGTCCGTCCGCCTCACCTGGCCTCTTACGCCAAATTTCTTAAGCGGCTGGCCCATCCAGGCCATCGGCGTGTCTATATATAACGAAGATCCCGTTGGCAGACTGCTCGACGGGAAGATATGGCTCGACAAAGTCTGCTGGGGAGGCAGTCCCTCACTCACGCTACTACCCATGGACGAAAGCGTGGGCAGGCGTGAGTTCTACAAGCGCTCCTTCATCAGCAGTGCCGACGTGTTCGACATGACGGCCGACCGGTTCATCGTGGCCCAGGACGTTGGTCAGGGCCTCGTCACCTACGGCACACGGGACTGGTCTGACTACCGCGTCGTTTTCCGCGGCTTCAGGATCAACATCGGCGGCCCTTGCGGCGTGGCGGTGCGGTGCATGGGCTTGAAGCGCTGGTGGGCGGTCATGTTCTGGTATCCCGCGAGCGGCAACGTCTGGAACGCGTATCCGGGGCTCAAGCGCATCGTGCTGGGAAAGAATCTTGACGGCGACATATACGACGGCGACTCCAGGCCCTTTGATTGGCAGCTGGACACGCCCTACGATATCGATATCCGCGTTAAGGGCCTCAAGTACAGGGTCAAGATCGACGACGACATCACCCTGAGATACAATGATGGACCGTCGCTGCCGCTGTTTGACTACCGCGCCGGTGGCGTGGGGATTGTCGTCGAGACTGGCTCTGTGTTCGTGGATAGCATTGAGATTCTGCCTTTATGAGTTCTTTTTTTTCTTTTTGTTTTTTTTTCTTGGTTTTAGTATACCTACTCATGATATGATACGATATGCCATGTTATGATATCCATTGATTATTTTAGTTGGGGCAGGTCAAGGGGGGGAAGGAGGAAAGGAGTTAGGCTGAGAATATGTTTTATGAAAGTTGAAAGACTCACAACTTTAGATTAGGTAACTTCCTTATGAGAACTCATGAGCCAGGTAATCGTTTTTTTCAACTTCTTATAGTACCTACCTACCTAGTGCTTAGGTATTTCTGACGATGTGTCTAACATTGACCGACCATTGACTTCCCCCTTATTCATTTACTCATCTCATTCTCCTTATTCTCATCAAGAACATTAAATAAAGAGAAAATGAGATGGCAGAACCCTTTTTTTTTCTTTTTAAAACACCAACACCAACACCAACACCAATGCCAACACAACACCTTTACATACATGCCCTTTAATGATATATCTACATAGGTAGGTACCTATTCCACGCGCCAATATAGGAGAAGCAAGGGAAAATATCATGAAGGGGGGGGTAGGGGGGGATGGGAGGGCAAATAAGAGGGAGATCATCAAGGCCTACCGATAAGCCCCACCCCTCCCCTCAAATCCTCCACGATGCTCTCCCTCAGCCACCCCTCTCCGCCCCAGTGCGACACTTGCCTATCGTTATTCTCAGGGGCAGCAGCCACAGCAGCAGCTTGATTCGAGGTTTCGCCGTCTGTCTCCTTCTCCTTCGCCTTCCCCTTTCCCTTCCTCTTGCCATTGTCCTTCTGCACCTCTTTAACCACATTCTTCTTGTCCTCGTGAGTTTTCCTCGCTTTCCACTCAACCCACTCGAATAAGCTCTTCAACCCTAGTAAATCATCTCTGTTTCCGCTCTCGATGACCCCCTCTAGGACGAGACGCGCGTCCACGGCGGCGACTGCGCCATTGCCGACGTCGGGACCTCCTATGTTACGATCGAGAACGATGTTCCGTTCAGCGTGTGTGAGCTTTTGGAGGGTTGGTACCTTATCAAAAAGCCACTCGAAAGGTTGCGCTTCCGGATTTATCGACAAGGGGTTCATATCCACCAGGCCACCGTGCTGTCCTAGTGCGAGCATCGTAGTTACAAATGGACTGTCACTAACGGGCCTCCTGCGGACGAAGAGCGTATATGAACGTTTGAGGGTGTCCCTATACTCCGGGTGGGCTTCAAAATCCAACTCGACATCCCAAAACTCCGCTGAAAATATCCGAATTCGGGTTATATCGTCTAGGGGAGGCACGATGGTCGGAGCCACCCGCCCCTCCTCTTGGCTCTGGTCTTTCATTCGTAGAGAGATGTTCACTCTTACGGGCATGTTTGTCGCTATATCCTTCACAACTAAGCACCGAGGATCCGTGGCCAAGACCCAAAAATGCCGGAAGGCTTGCAAATGGCTCTTGTTGTCCTGCACGGAATCCGGAAATACGGGGTAAAAGGCGACGAGTAATGAGGCAATGGCTAGGTTCGAAGTATTAAAAGTTTGGGTACCGGAACCAAGCGATAGTGTACCGATTGCCATGTGTGTTGCCATGTGGGAACCGTAAGTTGTATCGGGGTCGTTTCGGGCGTGAAGGGATCGTAAGTATCGAAGCACCGCCAAATCACCTGAACCAGCCATAACAGTTGCGCAAGAAAGTCCAACAACGTCAAGGCACATACGCGCTGCCACCGCCACCGTTCTCTCGTCAAAACTAGCCCTGGGACTAGCAGAGCGACATTGCCTGTAGTATCTCTGAATATAACAGAGAAGAAGATCACGGACTTTCAAGTCACCTGAGCCAGCGTAGCGAAGTGCCATGGCAAAACACAACCCGGCTAATATTGTTAGAAAAGGTAAGTGCGTCGAATTAAGAGGCCCACGAGGTGGATAGGTTCGAGGATCAACTGGTCCTAGTCTGGAATGGTAAGACGCAGGGAGATTCTTACGAATCCAGTCATGGGTTGGCTCGATCTCTGACCATAGGATGAGGTGTTTGGCGACAGTACGGAGCAACAATATGTCTGGACGGATATAATCAAACTGTATTGGCGCGTCAGGGACGTCGATCTTTCGAGCTACTATATGGTCTTCCGACTTCATATAGATGAGCGCGATCGCTACCACAGCAGCAGCCGTGGATCGATCTAGAATATGCACTTGCTCAGCTTTCTTAGTTGCTGAAGCTAAAGTTAAGAGTTTCTCGGTGACGCGCATATCATGAAGGCCTTTCAAGTCGGTGCCTTTTCCAAGGTTGATAAATCCAAGGGCGAAGCCGGCAGCTAATCGATAGCATTCGGTACGGAGTGGCTCATCTTCATCATCCGGCTCGACGTATTCAATCTCGGACATCATAATTTCGCTCATCCGGCGATGCTGACTGTTGCAATAGAGCAGACCGATACCCATGATACCAGTTGTTTGGGTTAGAGCTGATAGGTTTAGCTCTGCAGCACCACGGGGCAGCATTCGTGTGACGTGAACGGACAGTAAACGTGTGATGAGTGAGTCCATGGTTCCGATGTAAGAGGCCGCTAATCCTAGTAACAATCCGATAGACGTCATGGTATGTTTTGGAGTGAGATACTTGAAGGCAACCCATTTGGCAACTCCCTTGAGATGACCATTGAGACCAAGTGCCAAAAGGAATCCAGCGTGTCTATTACTAAGGTCGTTGCCAGGCTTGTTGTAAAGGATCCATGATGAGTCTATGCCACTCGCTTGACGAGAAATAGACAGCCCACTAGCAACGCCCGAATGGAAAAACGCCCAGGCTATTCTTTCCTCGGTGAAAAGTGACTTGTCGACTCCTACCGTCACGTTATTGGGTTGTACAGTGCAGTTGAGAACGAAGCCATTGATGTGGAACTTCTGGGTAAGCAGTGGATATCGTAATCCATAGTTCATTAAGCCACGGCCAGCTGGTATGGACAAGGTGTTGTTAGCAAGCCTCGTCACCATATCCTTCTGCTGCTCAAGGTAGTATGCCTCCGACCATTCTGGCAAGGGATCTAGACGCATGATCCGTGGCTTAGTCGTGTTGAGCATCAGGTTTATCTCATCAAGACGTCGGTCTTCTCTGAATAGAGTATGTATTACAGCTTGCTTGTCGCTTTCTGCGACATCATCGAAGGGTGCATCATTAAAATTCATTATATTCTGACAAAGTGAATTGAAATCCCACGATGCAGTATGATTCGAGGCCTAGACAACATCAGCTTAACACTATTAGATGAATACTCTTGATAGAACTTACCAGTACGTTAGATGAGCGCACACGGAGGGTGTTGGATCGCGTTAAAACTGAATCCATGTCATCTCTTTTGACTAGCTCTAATAATCCCTTGGGCCATCTAGTCGGTGGAGATGGTTGGCATTGAGCAATTGCATCCTGAAGCGGAACAAGCACATATTCTGGTAGGGACTCTAGAATTAGCGAGGTAATCCCGCTTTGGTACATTGCTTCCACAAAGTCTACTGGAGATCTACTCCGCAAAGAGAGTGCTTTGAATAGATCTTCGAACATTCTCGTGCGAGGGACAATTGGATAAGTCATCACCGATCTTATTGGTGGTACAAATGCTGACGAATTGGGCTCCTGAGATAGATTCATATGAATCCAATCAAAAACGTTCCAGTACGATGGCTGTGAAGGTGCAAGGGACAGTGATATGTTGGTATATCCCGTCTTCTGCTCTGGCCAGTCTAATGGCATCTCGAGTTCATAGTAGTTAACCCATTCATTCCATTTTAGCCATCGAGAGACTTGGAGGAGAATGGCTCGGAGGTCTACTGAGCCTGGTGATGATACGTGGAATGACGTGATGTCAAGCTTCTGCTCTTCTAAAAGCAAATGCAGCGCAAGGAACATATCCTGAGAATAACGCATTCGCGTTATATAGTCGTGACTGGGAGAGGTCGGAAGATATCCATCTGGACCACATGCTGCATCACCATGGCTAGAGGATAAGTAACTCAAGGCCAGCTTGGTATGTGAATTTAAGAAACCTAAATTTCCTCGTCCAGGGGTTGGCCAAAACATCGTCGACGAAGAATCATCCTCCTCCATAATCCATTGCCACGCCTTGTTCTCTATCCATGGCGGATGTGTCAATGAGCCTGGGATTTCGTATGCGTTCATAGCGTCCCAATCGCCGAGGTCAACCTGTGCTCCACTGCTAGACCTCAAGCCCCTGGTCCTCCGGCGTGTTTTTTCCACTGGCAGTGTTTTTTCATCGATACCAAGAGCAAGGTATATTGAGAGTATTTGGATAACGATGGCTGACCATTCGATATCCGTCACGTCCGCCTCTTGTTCTCGAAGCCATGCGACGATTTCCCACCAGTTAACAAGTAGTCTTTCCCTGGACGAGGCTGGCAAAGCTGACCGGAGAACCTGAAGAATTTTCGAAACCCTTGGGGAAGTAGGTTGAAGTTGTATTCGAATTTGGTGATATTGCTGGGTGTCATCGTCTAGAATATCTACCACGCCATGCAATTTGGGGTGTCGCAGGCCTGCAATTTCCCCAATTATAGGAGTCACAGCTCTTCTAATGCCGACTTCCCTATTGACAAGACTGCCATGGTAGTCAAGGCTACCCAGGTTGGCAAGGGACAGTTTGGGAGGCAGGGGTATAGATGTCAGCTGGGCCCAGGGCGCTTGAATACTAAGCTCGCGCTGGCCTTCAGTAGACTGTGACAACACCAAAATCATTGAAATATCGCCATCGACTATCCTACATGAGTCGATGACATTTTGCGCCTTTCTGAGCTGCCCAAAGGTGATGGCCGTCCCGTCAGGATCGGACTTGCTTGGTTGTAAGTGGAGAGTTAACAATTGCAAACGCTTCTCCATTGGGTCTTGAATTCCTACCAAGACCTGCTGGCAGTCATCCTGGAAGGTTTCAGGGCCGGTCAAACAGAAGACTTTGCATTGAGTCCGAGCCGGATGTTTCGAGAGTGAATATCGGACATTACTGTTGTCGATAGGGATTGTGTGGATTTTTGTGAACAGCATCTCTTGGGTTAGCCCATCGAAATCATGGTCATCTAGGCCCATAGTATGAAAGCCTTCAAAGTCGCCTCCTCCACGCAGTTCCTCTAATAAGTTGTCAACCGGTGCTTCCAAGAGTGTATTCGCAGCATGGCTGGTTCCGTAAAAGCTCGTTCCAGAGAAAATACTGCTATTTCGTCCTCGGTGGCTACCATGTGAAGTATCCCGCCGCGTATTGGGGTGGCTGATTATTTGGGCTTGCTCCGAAAATGTCGTTCTGTCCTGTGAAGCAGAAAGGTCTGCCCTAGCGAGCATGGAGCTCACACGACGAGAAGTACGGCGGGTCACACCCGATTCCTTCTCTATACCTAGTGAAGATTCAAGATTCTCTAGGATTTTGTCGTTCTTCTCAAGTCTTTCGCTCTTACGTGACCGCTTTCCAGGCAAAGGGGCGCCGAAACTCTCTCTAAAGTTTGGATGCATTGGCGTGGCTGCACCGCTAGGCAAGCCAGGTTGCATCGAACTCCGCCGGCGGTCCGTTTTCTTCTTCCCAGCCTTTCGTCCATGAATGAATGGATCTTCATTGGTAATATAAGTAAGCTTCCAAATGCTGTACATGCAGGTCTCTTTATTAACGGTCACTGCAATAATCAGCTTTCCCTTGCGCCTCTTGGCGGATTGATAATGTGTTATATCTTCGATATGAACGATTTCCTCAGTTCGATCAAGAAAGATGGGAGATTTCTCAGAACCCCGACGAGCCTTGGGTCTAATAGACTTGTCAGGAGGAGTGACGACTAGTCCAAGCTCTAGCAAAGGATCGGTGAGCGTGACCAGACGTGGCCATTTCGAGTCATTCTTCTCGGGACCATCCCAGAGATTGTCGAGGTTGGGGTTTAGTCTAAGGGGCAGTGCCTTTGGTTTTCCTAGAGTCTCGGTAGAGAAGGTAGGATGTGAGGAGCGAATAGCGGCGGGAGAGAGTTGATTGGTGATGAATGAGTTTGGAGGAACTCTAGGGAATTTTAGACTGGCAGCCAGACCGGTATCAGTCCGTAGTCTTCGTTGTATGATGACGCCTTGAGGAGCCGCACAAGCAGACTCGACTTCAAATGGCATATGAACCACGTGACTTGTGCCATCGAGAAAGTACACATGAGCCTGGGTCTTGAGAAAGACGACCAAGGCTTTGGATAGGATGGTTCCATTCTTCTTGGATTTATCTTTCTGGTCGTCATCCTCTTGACTCTTCTTCTTGTCCTCGGCGTTGGGGAAATAGGTCAGCAAAGCTTGTATGATCGGTTCCTTCTCTAGTTTGAAGCCGAAGCATTTTCGAAAAACACAACCTCTGGACCAAATAACGGTATCTTTGGTAACCAGAAGCTCATCTTCACCTTGTTGGCCAGCAGCTTGGCCGACAGTGATGTCCCAATCATAGGAAGAGCTAGGCGGATTCTCTGGCAGAAGTTGCTCTTGTACAGCGTATTGAAGGGCAGTAGGCTGATGCAGCCCAAGAGAAGTCACTGAAGCCATAATGGCGTTGTTAGATCCATTGATTGCTGTGGAATGAGAGTATGGTAGGAGTTGGATGTTGATGTTTTGATTATACTTTGATGTTATTGTTGTTATTGTTGTTATTGTTGCCCTACCATTTTTTCGTTTTATTTTGTTTTGTCGAGTTCACCACTTCGACTTCCCTTACAACTAAGAAGAAGCGCGCTATGAAGGAGCTATTCACGCATTAATGTTAGGTCTTTACTGCTAGTAGTAGGTACGCCCTGTTGACAGCTGGAGTTAGTGGGGTCAAGCCGGTGCTTCAAGGTTCAAGGTTGTCTCTGCAGGTACCCTGCTGCTAGTTAGTTATCAATGATTAACTAGATCAATGATTAGCTAATAATCTTCTTATCGCAGCACAGCGCGGGACTCGGAAGTACAATATCCCTGGCTAGATCCCTGCCCGGCCTGCTGCCCGCCATCATTCAATCATCATGTTCCTAAATTCCAATTTCAATCCAATTGAGTCCCAAAAAAAGAAGAAAAAAGGTCGCTGGGGATATCTGGAGCTGGATTGACACTCATAACCATGATTATAAGAGAATTCGGTACTCGCCAAGGTGAATTTAATTTTCAATCTTTTATGTATTTTTATTCAATTGCGATTCTGACAATCAAATCATAGCCCGAAAGGCCTTGGCAAAACCTCTTCACCAAGCTTGTCTTCGCGCCTTATCCACACAACCGACGACACCAGACGCAGCCGACGTCTCAGATGCGGCCCTCCAGTCCTCCAATGCCCAGCCACAGCCACCTTCCATCTTCACCGCCAATGCCCGCGCCCCCAGCCGTCGCAAGAAGCCTGCTGCCCCCGACACCACTGTCGCCGACTACCAACTAGCTAGGGATTTAAAGAAACAGATTGGCCGACTGGGTTCTAATGTACAGCGCACATACCGCCCCTCCGATGTCTTCCACAACCCTCCCGGCCCCAAAGATGTCACCCTCGAGCTCCTCATGGCGTCCCAGGCGCACATGGGCCACCATGCCTCGCTGTGGAACCCGGCCAATGCGCGGTACATCTACGGCATTCGGCAAGGCATCCACATCATCTCGCTCGAGCAGACGGCCGCGCATTTGCGGCGCGCCGCCCGTGTGGTTGAGGAGGTAGCATATCGCGGGGGCCTGATTCTGTTCGTCGGAACGCGGCCGGGACAGACACAGATCGTGACGCAGGCGGCGCGGCTGGCCAGGGGATGTCATTTATTCACCAAGTGGACGCCCGGATCCATTACCAACAGCGAGGTCATCCTGGCGGGCATGCCCATGACAATGTTGGATGAGAACGATCAGCCCGTCGAGGGCTACGAACGCCACCTTATGGAGCGACGGCCGCTGGTCCCGGATCTGGTTGTGTGCTTGAATCCTATGGAGAACTATGTGCTGCTGCATGAGTGCTCGCTGGTTAATGTGCCGACGATCGCTGTCATCGACACAAATGCGGAGCCCTCGTGGGTTACATATGCCATCCCGGCGAACGATGACAGGTATGCTCTTCTTCCTTCAGCTCCCCAACTTCCCTAGAAGTAGGTATGCTTACACATACATAGTCCCCGCTGTCTCGCCGTAATCGGTAGCGTCCTCGGACGCGCAGGCCAGCAAGGCCATCAGCGCCGCATCAACGACGCCAAAGAGGGCAACGTAGCCTGGAACACGCCCCTCGACGTCGTCCGCTTCATCACCCTCCAGCGGCAAAACGCCATGAGAGAAGCCGAGCGGGAAGCGGCCAGCAGACAAGACTGGAGCCATAGCCCCCCGACTTTCAAACGGGACAATAGTAACCCTGCGGAGCCAACGGTCGGGATGGATGCCGGGTTCCAGAATAGCTCGAGGGACGGCGTGAGGTCGGGGCTGGACTTGGAATAGGCAGGGAGGGGTATGATGAGCATAGATGAATACCAAGGACTTGAGGGGGCAAGTCTCGGTACCCTACATGGGTATCTAGGTAGGCATGCCGTAGGGAATACTCCGGTTTCACTTAGGGTTAGCATCTTACTTCCCATGTGCAAACCGATGCGTTGAAATATGCAATCAATATACTTGTGTATATGTATAAATACCTCCCATGGAAGATAATACATATGAATCTTCCTTTAACGAAATCTACATCTCGTCCTGATTCCTTTTTTTTTTTTTTTTTTTTTTTTTTTCTCAACGAAGAAATGCTTGTCGTCTGTCTGCGTTTGTTTCTTTGGTATCACGGAATCCACCCACCTGTTTTATATTATCTATGCATATGCCTATGCCTATGCCTATGCCTATACCATTACTATGCTGTTATGCCATGCCGTTACGCCGTTATGTACCTATCATGCCGTTATACCAAAGCCATCCACCCCCTTTGTCCCCCGAGTCTCCTTTTACCCTAACGGAGTGAAAACCACGTTATAGATACTACTCCGCTTTCTCGCACGGTCTCTTTCCCGGCCTATACCCCCATCTTCTCCCGCTCCTCCTCCTTCTTGTTCTCCTCCATCTTCTTCGATGTTAGTCCCATCCACAGCATCGTGTCCATTTATAACAGTTGGTTCGTCCCCTGGCTTGGCGTCGGCCATGAAATCGTGGTTGTGGAGTAGGACATCGTCGATCGCCATGCTTTTGTCGTTGTCCATGTCCGTGCCATTATCGTTGTCGTCGTCGGAGCTGTGCTCGATAAGCATGTCTAGGTCGCGGTCCATGGCATCTTGGTCGTCCTCGTCGTTATCGGTAGGTGGATGGTGCTGGGGGCCATCTAGTTGATGATGATGTAGATGATCGTGGTGATTATCGGTGCCGTGAAGAAGGGCCTGGAACGAATCTGGGTCGTGGTGGTGAGGAGGTCCTGGATGCTGATGATGATGGTGAGCGTGATGGTGGGTTTGGACGTGAAAATGATCATGAGAAATGGGGTCATGGATGGAGACAGTATGCGTTTGGTGGGGGCTGTACGGTTCATGGCCGTGCAGCGATGTGTGCGAGGAATGTGGGCTTGAGTGTGGTCCTGTGTCACTTGTATGAAAGGTATGGAATGAATGAGGATGGTGATGAGTTGGTGGTTGGTGGTGGTGATGGTGGGTAGATTGGGATATAATTTGCGGATCTATAGGGTGATACATGTCCACGGCCTCGTGTAAAGAAGCGAGGGTCGCCGCAGAATCATGGTGCAGCTGGTTCTGCATCATGGGATGATGGGGCGGTAAGCCCGTGTCTGGCGACGGTTGTATAGGAGAGTTAAGCAAGGATGTGATGTCACTGGGATGGGCATACGGGTTTGAAGGGTTGACTAGAGATGGCAGGTCATGATGACTAGGCGCCTGCAGTTCGAGGACCCTGCCGGTGGTCCCGACTATGCCGGGTCCAGGAGCTGCGGTGGGTGACATTCGCGATAGCATAGTATTAAAGGGATTGCTGCCAATGTTGTCAATGTTGACGTTTACGTTGAGTCGCTTCGAACTAGTAGGATTTGGAATGGGTGTTTTGTTTGTTTCCTTGCATTGATCACATGTCCTAATTACATCCGAGACTGTCTCCTTGATACGGCTCCAATGATACTTCTCAGCAATGGTAGCCGTGGTCTTGTTGATACCAGCATGGCTACCGGCTTCGTGGATGCGGCGCGAGATGTCCATCTGATGAATAGGGTCGCTAATGACCTCCTTGTCCTTCAGCATCAACACGTCGTTGTCGAGCAATTTATAGTGCGTCGCGGCGCTGCGGAGTCTGCTTTTCTCGGCGCGGTCAGATCCATTCGGGTAGCGCCCGTATTTCAGGTAGAATTTTATTTTGTCGAAACGCTCTTCACTCACGAGAAGGGGCTCGCCGTTGCCCTCACCGGCACTTGGCCCTAGATCCCGCCCGTAGATGATGGCATCGATCAACCGATCTGGGTATGACTTGAGGTTTCCGCAACCCTTGACGCGTCCGATGCGTTTAAAACCGAGGGCGTCCCAGATTTTACAAGAAGCTACATTCGTCTCGTAGACCAGGTTGAAAACCGAGTACGTGTAGCCCAACTTCGGCGCCCAGTCCAAGTAGCTCTCGCCCATGAGCCGTCCGACACCACGGTTTCGAGAGGCGTCGGTGACGAGAAATCCACCGTTGCAGACATGGCTACTACGGCCAGGATAGTTGGGCTTAATATAAAAGCTACCAAGACATTCCTTAGACCAATCCTTACCTTCAGTAACTTCCTCGGCGCTCTCGATCTGGCCAAGCAGCATGATACCAGCAAAGTTCTGAAGCCAATAGGCAGAGAATTTGTCCAAGGGCATAGGCTCTATCATGGGATAGGTGTCGCCCCCTTCAATCTCCTTTGCGAGCTGGTCCGAGAGGTAAGCCAGAAGGGATGGGGGTACCTGGTCACGAGAAGCAAACGGCACAACGGTCGCAATAGTCTGACGATCTCGTAAAGTCACCTGACGAGGGCGAACATCCGGCGGCAGCTCTGGTTTTCCAGGGGTCGGGTACGGAAGCTGTCCGCTAATGCGATATATGGTCGGACTAGATGGATCATCCATGATTGCCGGCATCTTGCCGAAAATCGGTTACCAACGACCGAGTGAAGGCCTTGGGAATGGCGTTACCTAATCTAGACATGTTACCTATCAACAAAACGTACTTATTACACACAAAACACATCATGAGATATGTCCCTTTTCTTCTCTTCCTAGCCTGTAAGTAGGTAGGTACATGTGCATATAAATCCGCTTGTCGATTATATCTATCCCCTACATATATACATATAGTCACAATAACGACAACTCGACTCGAACCAAGGAGGGCGATGGTAATCTTACTAGGTTAGAAAATGATTGGTTGTGTGTTTGAATTTGGAAATCGTCGGCGGTTCGAGGTAGTCAAAGCTCTGCTGTGTTACCACGGCTGCCACGCCACTTTGTGACTTTGTGACCCCTCGGCTGCTTTGGATGGGGCGTTCAGGGGGGGGAGTTAGGAGTTATGAAAATCAAAGTGTAAAGTGCAAAGTGCAAAGTGCAAAGTGGGTGTGATGATGAACTTGAACTGTGCGTCGGGAAGGGAAATTCGTACATGTGAATATTTTGGAACGCAGCGGAGTTTGTAAAGAAATGGTTAAACTTCGGGGAAATACTAGTAGTACCATGCCCTAAAAGTAGAATCAGTGCCATGTGATTACTAACCTATGTACCTAGTACCTAACCTAGGTAAGTACCTAGGTACCTAGTACTAAGCAGTAGGAGGGAAAGGGGTTCAGGGGTAACCGGCAATCGTGCCTACACACATACACACAGAGCGACTTGGACATAATGTTCTATCGTTAGAAGGTAAAGAAAACATAATACTATAACTATAACTTTATACTCACAGAGTAGTCTTCGTTTAACTTCAATTAATATATTATTTTATATTTATTTCATTAACATCAGTACTTCGCAAGGCCTTAGGTATCCAATTCCGCCTTCCGAGTAAATAGGTATATAGCCCATCCATATTATCACGACCACTGGATCCTCTCAAGCCGTACCTCCAGTCCCCCTTTCGGCCTCCACGTCACCGCCGGATTCTGCACCGGCACTGGCTGGTCACCGAGCGCCGACAGGTACGGGCTCTGCTCAAAACGAAAATTCCGTATCAACTCGATCATCATGACCTTGAACGCGAGTAGCGAGTAGCTCTTCCCTATGCATATCCGCGGCCCGTTCCCAAATGTCTCCATGGCGTACGGCGTCGCTGCGTCGTTCGTAAGCGCGTCCCACCGCTCTGGCTTGAACTCCATGGCATCCTCGCCCCAGATCTGCTTCGATAGGTTGGATACGGGAGGGCTTAGGACGAGTTGTGTGCCTTTTGGTAGGAATTGTCCGCAGATTACGACGTCGGTTGCTGCTTCTCGGTACGTGGCGGGCGCTGCGGTCATTAGTTAGTATTGCAAAAAAGAATTTAAAGCGTCGTTGTTGGAAAGGAAAAGAGTGGTGGGATTTTACCTGGACTATATACTCGTAAAACCTCTTGCAAGAAGTTCTTCATGTAATGTAGTTGTTCGATATCAGTGTAGGTGGGTATGCCGATCGTTCCTAGAGCTTTTACTACTTCGTCCCTCAGCTTGGTCTGTACGTCAGGTCGCGTGGCCAGCACGTAAGAAGCCCACGTCAAGGCACCAGATGTCGTTTCATGTCCTATAACTCCGTTAGAATCAGATCAAATGGTTCTGGTTATGAGAGAATTTCGATTGGGCCGTACCAGCGGAAAGGAAGTTCTGTAACTACAAGAGAGTTAGCTAATTATGTTCTTGCCAATGGCGCTGGCGGAATCCAAACTTACGTGACCACGAATATCTTCAATGGACAGCCCACCAGCTGCCGCTTGCCGTTCCTCAATCATGTACGTAAGCAAATCCCTCGACTCCGTGCCGCCGACCTTCTCGCGATCGGTGGAATGGACATGCGCAATTCGCTCCTGGATGCATTCGTCCAGCATCACATGCACGCCGCGCATCGCACGCAAGAAGCCCCAGTTGGCCTCCACCGGGAGCAGCTTGCGAATCGGGATGTGGACGTGGATGAAGCTGATCAGAGCGCTCAGGGGCGGTTGCGCCAGCATGCGGAAATAGCACTGCAGAAAGTCCATCTTCAGCTCCTCCGACCTCAGGTTCTCTAGCTCGACACCCAGCGCTGCCACTCCGATGGCGTCCAATGTTGCTTTCGTGTAGACCGATTGTACTGTGGAACTTGTTAGTCCAATGATATCCATGGCTCCTTGGGGTGGAAGGTTCACATACCCTCTATGATGCCCGAAGGGGTCCCGTTTAGCTTGCGGTTGATAAGAGCACTCATCTCCTCGGCCTTTTCTTGAAAGACCGGGATAAGCTTCTTCATGTTAGGTACCGAGAAGACATCTTAGGAAAGATCCTGTTAGCAACTATGATGGAAAGACCGGTTATGGTACTCATTACTTAAAATCATCCTGCGCTGTTTCTTGTGTTCATGGCCTTCAGCAAACAAGAGGCCAGTGCCCACGATCTCTCCCAGCAGCCTTTCGAGGAATTTCGGCTTGACGAAGTCGTAGCACTTGGTCTGCATGATTTGCTTGTGAGCCTCAACCGTATTTATTAAGAGAATTTCTTTGTTGAAGAGGATGTGATAGCGTATGAATGGTGAGTCTGGCCATCTCGCAACCCAACGCATGTAATGTTCAATTGGTGTCGCGGCCTTGTACATGTGGACAAGCTGGCCAAGAAAAAAGGTGTTATTCTACGAGCATGTTAGTTATGATAACAAAGCCAAGATCATGGGGGGCGGTAACAGAACCTTGGGTCCAGGTATATTTCTCAAAGGAGAGAAAAATACTGGATATAGAAACGCACGATATAACTTCAACAAGATCCATTGAAGAACAAAGAGCACTATGAAGGTACCAGTGCGGCTGGATGGTAACCACCAGATGATATCATTGGCCGGCCTCATGATAGGCACGACGACACACTCGATAAAGGCGAGTCCGAAGCAGATCTGAATATCCATATCGAAATATTACGTGTAGAGGTCGCGTGCAGTTAGAATTCCCCAGCGGTTGTGCAACCATCGCAGAGATCTCGCGAGATCCAGATGCCTATATATCAATGCAGATATCCCACACCCAGGTAACTTTATCCCAAAAGAGATCCACCGGTCACCGGAGTATTCTTAGCTCTGTGGGAGGTTCACGGTACCTGCTCCCGACAACACGGTTCAGAAGCCAAGGACGGACGATCCCATTGGGTTAATGCGATGCGAAGCATCTTTCTTTGATCTGTCTAACAGCAAACCGGAACGCGGCATGCTACAGGAAAAGTAAAAAGGAAAGGATCCCAATAACCCGTCCGGGAAACATCGTCGGGGATCACAACATAAGGAGAGTCCACGCATGATCCACAAAAACGACATTATTTGCATGGAGGATTCATCCTACTTCACTTAACGTTGCAGGGTAGGATACTACCTGGGTACATGAGATATATTGGTTCAATATGGTAAATTATAGATTATCAAGTTTAAAATAAGATATATCCCGGTCGTATGCTGTGTGCTGCAGGCGGGCAGGTTGACAGGATATGTATGTACCTACATCATTGCATGGCACATCATGGCACATACAAGTTGTGCCTCTAGCCTATGCACATTCGTGGGACGACTGTTTCTTTTCCTGATCATTATTAATATTCCCCTCCCTCTAAACAACATCATGGCTTCATGATATGGCATGATATGACGAGTCAGGCTCCGGGGTATCCGCCTGCTGTAGTTGGGGGCACAGAAGCGGCAAAAGATAGAGGCAAAAAAGGGCAAAAAAGCAAAAAAAGGGAACATTTCATAGAGTAATAAAAATTCTAGTTAATAACTATTCTTGTTTCGTTAATCTCTCCTCTTCCCCTCAAAACGCGGTTAACGAATAAACGCCGCAAGCGGGAAGACCAACCTGCACCTCCCCCCCCCCTGCAGCCACATTTCGCTTTGAAGTCTTCTACGGGGTCTATGCATGTGGTAATTGACCAAATGAAAGGGCCATAGAAATGCGGCCCATGACTAGCGTTATCAGTCCACGGGCTCGGGCGTATAACACGTGTATTCCAAGAGACACCCCCTGGGCAGCCCTCTCCTCCCCCCTTACATCCCTACACTACGAACGACCCCGGGGTATTGGTCCACCCGAACTGCTACCCACCATCAGTTCCGATGCTGATCATGTCGAACAGTCTTCCAAACCAGTGCGCCGGGTCGCGAACTCCTCCATACGATGTTTCCGACGCCCCGACCCTACCTATCTACACTACGCTGCAGAATTGCTTGTCATAAATCGACACCGGCTCAACCCTTCCCGAGAGACAACTGCATCCGGTTAGGTGTCGTTCGCCATTGCTACTGTACACCATGCCGTAGAGGCTATCGCCATTGAGGATGTCTTACTGTTCAGTTAACGCTAGATCTTCACCGCAGCCGATGTGAATTTTGCTAGACCTGAGCACCTGTCTTACACCAGCTCTCAGCCAGATATATATATAAAAAAAAAGAAAGACATTCATTTTTGTCATACCTAAATATACGTACCTACCTGTCTGGATTGATACACAACAGGATACTAAGGTAGGTGTGTAAGTCTCCGCGGATGATAGGTTACATAAGAGTAACGGTGGTGCTTCTATCCCGAGTCCCCAGGCAGCTTAGCGTTACCTTGCAGCTTGCTCGATGCTACTTTGCTTGCTACGGCACGACGTAAGAGCGTCTCTCGACATTAAGATTGTAGTTTAAATGCGGAATGTCCGCCTTTTTGGCCACGCTGTGATTGGACGTTTCGTGAGTGACGTTAAACTACTGTACCTACAACATCGTGGATGAGGGGGCGGTTTTTTTTTTGCATACAGGACTTTTCATTGGGCGGCCTACTATACTTCCTGGCTCATTATACCCTACATGCATTTTTGCAGTTCACGCCGTTATCACGATGGATTATACTTACCGACATGACATGACCCATGCAGCTAGGTAGTACTGTGGCGCATCATCACGATCAGGTCGAGGGTACGCATTTCTCCAGTCAATCTGCGTAGGAGCGAAACCGAAGGTCGATGTAGAGTACCCTAACATAGGCTTGCAGATGGGACAGTCCAATGTCCATGATTCCCCGGCTTCTCCAATTGGTCTGTATGCGGGAACAGAGGCTTAAACTAGTCAAATATCCGCTCCCATAACGATTACGACTGTGGATATCTTGGTATCATCTGCATAGTGTATGGTTTTGAGCGGGGTGAATAAAAACAGCCATGGGGTAAAAAGTGATACTGGGGGTAATTTCTTTTTATTTCTTTTTTCTTTTTTCTTTTTTTTTTTCCCGGGAAAGAAAAGGGTATGGATACCTCGTGCTTGGTTGCATTGAAACCCCCTGCCCTTGATCAAGATCACTTCATACCCTTACTATGTAAGTCCCTGAAGATTCTTCCTCTTATCTACCCCTACCAGCAAGCAGAGAACGTCTTTCTTACAATCGTATTCTACATAGCAGTCCTCAAAGCTTCATCGTGATCCTCAGGAAGCTCAAGCTGAAAAAAGTGGCATTCCCAATTCGGTGACGAAAAGGGCGACCCATTGCGCTATGTGAAACGGATTTGGATAAAAAGGACGGCGATCACGATGCTGAACCTGTCATTCCGACAGGCTGGGACCGGGATTAATGAAGCGCATTACATTATACACAAAGCGACTCTCACCGCTTCTATCGCCCGAGTCTACGGTTAAAGTTGCGGCGACGATGTCTGGGTGCGTGCTGAGCCTCAAGTAGGGACCAAGGGGGGGGAAGGGGGAGCTTGGGACAGCTAGTGGCATGTGAACAGACGTCCCCCGGGTCCCTCAGACGGGGAACAGGGTGGCCTTGTAAGACATACGATAGATGTCAATTAATTGGCTTTGCCAGAACCCACTTCAGTCCGAACTTCTCACGATCCTTGTGGATCATCGATGCGATTACTCCTTTGAAATTTCTTGCAGGAGCTGTCTATGGGTATGCCCCCCATTTTACAGCTTTCTCTAATTTTCCCATCGTGGAGACAAGAGCAGAGAAGATTAATCGTTCATCAGTATTTCTGGTCGACACGATCTATGGAAATACACGCCGAGCCCCTTTCATGCAGAACCTAGGGAAATACCCCGACTCCTATACATATGTAGTACGACCTAGGTAGTCAGCTATTAGCGGGTTGAGTGGTCAAGTACGGGTTTCTAGCAGATTCGATGATATATAGTGGAAACGAGGATTCGGGATATACTATTGCAGATAGTGCTCCTCAATAGCTTTACGGCCTAGTAGACTGCTAGATTATCGATAGAATATTTAGATCATCATTATAATTATTGTACGCCGGGACTTATATTGACCATTATAGAGGTCTAAGTCTTGGTATAGAATGTAACGTATGAAGCGTAGGGAAATTACAGCTCGTAAACTGACACCAAAGTCTTGAAGAAATCACCATTATGTTATTATTGAAATCATGTGAAATTCGCAGTTCGTTATTAGTTGAGATAAACCTGGTGTAATAACGCCCAAGAGTAACTAACAAACGTCTGATATTGTGATTCAAATGCAGCTTACGAATTCTTGACAGGCTGGAGATGAATTTCCACTTTATTAATAACTCGACTTGCTATTCGGAACCACACGAGGGCAGGAAAATCAAGGTCAACTCCACCAAACCTTCAGCTTGACTTTACCATCTTTACTCCAGATAGAGATGCGTGCTTGCAGTGAAAACTGCCGCGCCGGCTGCTTCCGGATACATCGATATATCGAGAGATGAGCGCGAAGGATCAGCGTGGAAGGCATCCTTTCCATACTGAGTCTACTGACGGGTCGATTAGCACATGTCTAAGCTGAATCGTGGGGTCTTGTACTTACCCACAGACAACGCAGCAAAGGGATGTTCTATACCCACCAGTATCTCCGTAGTAAGATTTCGACCTCCTTGTGTGATAACGTCGTCAATCTCCAGCTTAGACATTTGAATTGCTACTGAAATTATGTCCGAAAAGCACAATGATACCTAGGTATACTATATCACATGTTCACCGGCCCGGTAGTTCCATCCACCGTACGAAGTTTCTTTCCCGTAGTAAGACTCCGTTTCCGCGACTGGGAGGTTATACGTTGAGAGAATAACTCGTCAGTGCTTACGAGAGTGCTGACGAGGTGATGCCATGTGACGAATGAAAGCCAACGTCAAAGCATGTGTAAAGACTCCACGGATAATACAACAAAACAACCTCCAACTAATATCCAGCTGTAGCAGCTTCAGAGCTCTATGACTCCTAGTAGGTAGTATATTGTCAGATATTCCTTCTACGCCAACCAAGAGGCAGTCTATGTATAGTAGAAGCCCCGTTGTGTCATAATTGGCAGAAGCGTAAGCCACGGTTTCTATCCAGGAAGGCATCTGTCAAATATACTGACATAAACTCAAGACAAATAACGAAAGATCAACTATCTACCTTTCGGCGTAACGATAAAACCCGACAGCATCTCTAGATATAAAAGCTAAAGGGGTCAGATATAAGTGGCATCAACCGGTGAGGTAAATAGGTAAGCGCCTCCATAAATCAATCACAGAAGCGCCAGCGTCAGTGACTTAGGTAGGTAGGTACCTACTCCGTACGTATGACTACAATAAACCCCTACCGCACGAGCAAAAGTCGAAGTCAAGCAACGTACCTACTTACCTAGGTACGTAAAACCGAGCACAAAGTACACAACTCAATACCAGGATCTAAAAGACTCTAGCCTGGGTGGATTGTTGATTGGAACATGGAGAGATGGAATTTAAGCGTGGCAAGTTCTAACATACCCCCAAAGATACGGAGCCGTCATGTAATATCCAACTTTTCATGTTACGATGGCAGCCCTAACACTAGGTTAGGTTACCTAGATTACCTAGGCAGGCAGGCAGGCAGGCAAGGATATTTCAGTGCCTCTCGTAGACAAACAGACAGACAGACACTTAGTTGCATAGAAGGCATAGCAAGGTATAAATCTTAAAAAGGCGCTTTTTTCCTTTCAAGTCATCTATATTCCGCATGCATAGCCTTTTGAGGTATCATACATCACCGATGCGCCCCTTTATTCATTGAACATGCCTCCCTTAGATCACATTTACCGCCGGGGAATAGCTCGTCCTCGCCCTCTCAATGCCCGCTGTGCTGTTCCAGGGGGTAGCGGCTGGTTTGGCCCTTGTGGCTGTGCGCTCTCCTCGTTGCGAATCGTCTCGTCAACGCCTAGGATCAAGCAGCTAGCCTCGGTTGCCGCCTGTATGGCGTTGGTCTTGACTAAGGCAGGCTCCCAGACGAATCTTTCCATCATGTCGGCAACACCTTCATTAGCAAAGTCAACACCGGCCCAGACGCGACCCCTTCGGTGCTCGACGCGTAGTCTATTCAAGATGTCGGTAGCGTCGAATCCAGCGTTGTCACATAACTGGCGAGGAATAACCTCGAGCGCCTTGGCGAAGGACTTGATAATGCCCTGCTGCTTATGCGGAATATCGCTATCAGCAAAGCGGTGTAGATACGCCGATATCTCCATTTCACAGGCACCACCGCCACCCACAATCATGTGGTTCTTGATAGCACGCTTAACGATCATGATGGCATCGTGTAGGGATCGCTCTACTTCAGCTATGAACTGCTCAGCACCACCACGGAGGACCAACGTGCACGTCTTGGCCTCCGGGCAGTCCTCGAAGAAGTTGAAGCGTTCGCCACCAATCTGGCGTTCATCAAAGGAGCCACATGTGCCGAGGTGGTGGGGTTGGATATCGGAGCAGGTGGATTGTATAGTGGCGCCGGTGGCTTGGACAACTCGTTCCATGTCTTCGGAGGCGACACGACCAGCGCAGAATATATCGCGATCAGCGAAGAATTGAGTGGCCAAATCTCCAATAGGTAGTTTAGAGAGTACCACTTTTGCGCCTGTCTGGTGAATGGCCTCAAGCTTCTTGTAGATGATTTGCCACTCGGCATCAACAATAGCCTGGTACTCGGAAACCTGCTCGACTCGAACCTCAGCATTGTCCTTCTCGGCCTTCAGCTCCAGCTCGACGTTCAGGCAGACGATCTTGGGCTTGGTGAATGATTTAGGTTGCTGCTCGAAACCAGCGTACGAGAAGGTCTTCTTGAAGGCAACACCATTAACAAATAGAGACTCGGTTAAGGAGCCACCTGGAATCTTCTTGATGCCGATGAGTTTCTCGTTCAGGTCGTCTTGGTCTAGGGATAACACAGCATCCACCACCACTAATTGAAGTTAGTCATCAATTTATGGCTGCTAGGCATAAAGACAGATACACGTACTCTTGGTGAAAAATGGGGTATCTTTCTTGATTAGTTTGCTGGTCATGGCCGTACCGGCTAGTTTAATAAGAGTTTCCCGCTTATTCGATTCGTCTGTCCTGACGGCGATTTCCTTGATCTTATTGACGGCCATGGTGGAGGCTTTCCGTAGACCCTTGATGATGATTTGAGAACTGACACCTTGCTCAACATGTTCTTTAATCTCCTTGAGTATTTCACCAGCCAAAACGACTACCGATGTTGTTCCGTCTCCCACTTCGGCGTCTTGTGATCTCGCAATGTCGACGAGGATACGGGCAGCAGGATGTACGATATCGAGTAACTATTAGATTTTATTTTTTTAGTAAAAATGACGTGCAAAGTAAGGAGGAGGATGGGAGAGGCGACTCTAACCTTCATTACTGTTGCGCCATCGTTGGTGATGGTCTGTCTACCATTTTCGTCTACCATTAACAGGTCACCGCCATAGGGGCCTAATGTCGACTTGATAGTGGCTTGAACAGCCTGGCAAGCGTTGATATTGGACACGATCTGGCCTTTTCCTTGCGAGGTATCGGTCCCTAAATAGAAAAGAAAGGAAAAGAAAAGTCAGCCAGGACATCTTGAAAGATATTGACATGCTGTCGACCTCATTCATGGGGTCAAGGGGTAGGTAACTCACCCTCTTTCAGGACGATAATGGTGGGGGTCTGGCCTCCGAAAGACATTTTGACAGGTAAAAGACACTAGGATATAATATGTTTTTTTTCGTGAGAAGGCTGGAAGGAAGAGTCAAATGAGTCTTATCGGGCTTGAAGGGAAAACTGCTAGTTACAGTTACTCAAAATCTATGATTGACTTTCCATCGGACGGGAGCTTCGAGGTTTACTAAGACTGGAAAAGCTGGAGAAGCTTCAAAAAATTAAAGTTGATTGAATACCTTAGTACATGGTACATAGCATTATTGCAGCCTCGCATGGTGGGGTAGGGTATGGTGGCGTGGCGGGGCTATCTCTCGTGCACGAGCCACATGCTTTACTTAGCGCGTAGTACATAGTTAGTATGTACCTAGGTACCTGGGACGATGAGATGAGGAACTTCAGGGTTCAACATCATCATCGTTCAAGTTCAAGTTGTAACTTCCTACATAGTAGGTAGCCTTCAATATTCCTTCCAACATTGAACTTATTACTTACCTAACCTAGGGTAGTACAACGCACCATTCAATCATTGATGTTTCAACATTGAACCTTGAACCTGCAACTTCCTACTTTCAACTTTCAACTTTCAACTTCCATACTCCCGTGCTAATCGCTACAATGTTTCCCTTTCCTCCATATTCATTCCCTTTCCTTCATTCCCTTCCCTTCATATACGTGTACCCATACGTACCACTCAGCCAAGCATCATGATTACACTTCTCTCTCTCGACTATCACTGAATTCACCAGTTAATCTATTGTACCTTCTAGGTTGTCTGTTCCTCATCTACTACATGTACCGTATGTCGTACCTAGTAGCAGTACACCATGAATTCCCTCTCAAGATTTCATGTCTTTCCTAGACTCCCAAATGAAGTCAAGGAGTACATTTGGCAAGATTTCATTCTCGATGCCAACCAGGACCGCCTTGTTGTTCTTAGCCAACCAAGCGAGGAAATCATGCCTACTCGTTTTCTGTCGTCTTCGCCTTTTTGTATCAATCGCCAAAGCCGTACCGTTTTCAAGCGTCTCTATCCTGTGAAACGACCAGTATTCCGTACTTATGAACATGCTACATTTGCAGACGACATAGATCCGGCCACCGACACAGAAAGTGACTCTAGCTTTACATCCCATTTGACCGGGATAACGGATATGGAGAACACTGAACTATGTGGAGATCTCTATCTTAGCCTAGAGCGTGACCTCTTTCTCGTCGTGGGTTACTCTCGAACTTGGTGCGATGTACATAATCATACCGATTACAGAGGAAGCAGCGCGCCTTACTGCATGTCTCCCCCGTTGGAGCTCTCTCAATCGAGACAATTGAAGCACCTCAGTAAGTCACGTAATTGACATACTGCCAGACTGAACACAGGCTGATTAATGCCATAGTGGAAATTGTACGGGTTCACCGATGGGAGATAGCATATGATCCCACTGTAATTCGCCATCTAGGAAGGCGCAATAACCACAGATACGGCGCATGGAGATTTGAGGAGGTTCAAACCTGTCAACACATATACTGGAACCACTTAACCGATCCAAATGATCTAATGAGCGAAGTCATCCTTCTTCCCGGGTCTGAATTGTTGGAGAAATGGGAGGCCCAAACTATCTTCTACGATAAGAAAATGCTATGTAACCAACGCAAATTCTAACCCATGAAATCTCAAAGGGGTAAAGACGACTAATTCGCCGTCACGAAGGTTAGATAATACTATGTACTGGTTTTTCCATTGAGGGCTGTGGTATATATTATTTTCATGGTCGAGTTCCCCCGAGGCCCCTTGCAACCGATAAGATTTTGATGAAGCAACCACAGCTCAACACACTAGATTACAATCAGAGTGATCCATGAGAAGAAAGTAAATTTTCATTCGCCCATGTGACATTGTAAATACTAAAAGCATGTCTATATATTTCCAAGTATTACATGGCGAATGAAATTATCCCAAGAATGGCTGGCATGGGCACTGACATATCCCAAACCTGATCCAAAATCGCCAACCCCTGAAAATTCATCCCGCCCGCCCCTCGGAGACTAAGCCTCTGTATCGCCTTCGCCTCTCCCTGCCCCCCGAAACATCCAGCACCACAATAGCCGCGTCTGTGGTCCCGTTCCCCGGAGCCAGCGCGTACAGGAACGCCCCCGGCGCCTTCATATCGATGAATCCCAGCAGCCGACCCCCGGCAGCCGCGACCCCCGACGACAGATCCGCGACGGAGATGATGCTCGCGTCCGCGGCGCTCATCTCCACGAGGCGCGGCACCGCGACATCGCTTACGAAGATGCTGTGAGCGGATGGCGAGCATGCTGAGGGTGTTGTTGCCGGGGTTGACGGCGAAGAGGTGCTGGTACGCTGAATTAGCTGCTTGGTTACTGGGTAGGTACCTACAGTAGTAGGCACTCTTTCAGGGGTTAAGTAAAAAGGGGTAAACATACTTTCCGAGCTATGGTAAGCGATGATTGACTAAGCAGCGCATCGGGGCTGGCCGGCTGCCTGCCTCGCCATACCAACTATAGAGTTAGACCCCTTGCCGCCGGAGGGCGTGACGGTGCCTTTTGGGAGAGGGTGCCGTCTGCGTTGATGACGCTTCTTGTACCTACTGTACCTAGGTTAGGATACTAACTAGTAACATCAATGATACCGGGCCTACCCTGCTAAAACGGGTTGTCGAATCGAATCCTTCCCTTTGTTCAGCTTGTGTAACTGTGTCACGAACCCCGCAATCCGCAGCGCTGGCGAATCAAATCCGCGAACGGTGCTTTGGAATTTCATTTTTTTTGGGGAATTTCCTAATAGGGTAATCGTTATTTGTCAGGCGGGCCAGCTCATTGGTTGGTTGGTGTACGACACGACTCGGGGCTTTTGTTCAAGTCACTTAAGTACCCTGCCATGCTTGTTTGTATGGTGTGGTACATATACATTCGTGTGGATAATTTGAGACTTACACATTGAACTCACACTACATATAATAATATAATGGCTTTCTGAGGATTCCGATGCAGGACAATGTTTGCTTGTTTCCCAGTGTGTGGGCTAGGCTACCTAGACAATGCTAAACACTTCGCGCTCTCCGGGCAGTAAGTATGTACCTAGGTTAGCAATGTTTCCTTTTACGAGAGTCTCACGAATCACGATCGCATGATTTTCTCGAAGGGAAAAATCCTCTTTATTGTATCACAACTGCGACATACACGGCGTCAAGGAGAGAAATCCTAGATTGATTCCATCGCCAGTGCCTAAACACACCTCGCCATCCTACCTATTCCTCGTTCGCCTTCTTCTTCTCCTCCTCCTGCCTTTGCCTCTCCCTCTCCCTCTCCTCTTCCGCCTCCAGCTCTCTTCTCCTCTCCTCCTCCTCCTCCTCTCTCCACTTCCGCTCGAGGTCTGCTATGCAGTATTCACAGTACTCGTACTGGATCGTCGTGGTGGTCCTCTCGATTACACAGTCGTCTGTGCCGTAGTCGTCGCACCGCTCGGTGCTGGACACGAGGGTCTGCAGCGTGTCGTGGCATATCTTGCACTCGATCAGGCACTCGTAGTCTTTGCACATCGTGTAGGCTGTTGGTGCGGCAGGATAGTTGTTCTTGGTACTCGTTCTTGGGAGGTAGGTAGGTGGTCTGCCTTTATTTATATTATGTGGATAGTGGGCCGGCTTTGCTGTGGCTGAGGATGCTGGGCGCGTTGCTTTGTATACCTACGAGAGAAGAGGTACTGGTGTTTGTGGAAATCATGTCGCCGTTTAGGGGGAGGTGGTATTTATATAATCGAAACTCTGCGATACAGTGATGCTCTTCCCTGAATATGAGGATGAGGTGTGTGCAAGGAGGTAACGTCTGACAACCTCGACTCCATGCCACAGCGTGGAGTAATCAATTATTGTAGTCATACTGACTGTGCCTACTACTAGTACTCTGTGTTCCCAGAATTGATGTGCTTCAAGAAGGCGTACGAATTTGCTTTTGGTTGTATGGTGCGGTACTTTCGTGTGGATAATTATGAATCTAAGACTTGACTTACATGCTACTAAGGTATGGACAGAATCACGAAGGCCTTTTGAAGATGTAGGGCAGGGAATTTTTTTTTTTTTTTGCTGGGCTGGGCTACCTAGTCGATGCTAAGGACTTCGTGCCTCGGGTAATACCTAAGTGATCTTTCCTTTCGTAGGAGTTTAATGGTCTTGCGAATTTTCTAAATGAAATCCCCCTAGCTGTATCACAACCGCAACATCGCGGTTAAGGAGCCGCTACAAACTGATCAACTCCATCGATACCTCACCAATACCTAAACACACACCATAATCCGCCGTCCTGCCTATTTCTTATTCGCCTCCTCCTCCTCCTTCTTTTTCTTCTCCTCCTCCTCCTTCTGTAGTCTCTGCTTAGTACTCCCTTTGCAACTAACGCAGTACTTGTCCTTATTGTCCTTATCCTCCACATCCATTACGCATTGGCTCGTGCCGGCATTCGCGCACCGTTCGCGGGTTTGTACGGCGGTCATCAGATGGTAGTCGCAGACTTTGCACTTGTATTTCACTTTGGTCAATTTGCACATTGTGTGGTTGCTGTTGTGGGATATTGATTATATATATGTTCGTTTTTTTCGGCGGCCTGCCTTTTTTGTGTCGATAATAACTTAGCTTCGATGTGGTTGAGGATGTCGAGCTTGTTGCTGCATATATGAGAGGAGAGATGTTGGAGTCTGTGGAAATACTGTCGCCGCTGTGGTGCAGATACCTGGTATTTATATAATCGAGGCCCTGCAATACATTGATACTGTACCCTGAATAGGAGGATGATGTGTGTAAGAATGTAGGGTCTGACAACCTCGACTTCATATGTCTCTTCCTAGGTTGACTGTATTTCACATCACAGAGTAATCGATCATTGAGGTCATATATGATCTGCCTGTTCTGTGTCCGTTCCCAGAATTAAGTCTGGCTTCGGCGTCCTGGACACTCCACAGTAGGAAGAACACTCTTGGTCGTTCATGACTAGTTCGGGTTACATTTATATGGCCGGGCCTCTACTCATTCATCTCGCTCATGCCATCATCACACATGACTGGGCGATAGTGCATCTGTGCTTAAATAGGACCAATGATGGGGGAAGTTTACATGCGCACACTAGATTTCATAAAGTCCCAGGACGGGATGGTCATTACATCGAACCGTTATATGATGAGGGATAAGTCATATATATCTATCTTTCCAACATCAAATTTGCTGACAAAAAAAATCATCCGTTTCCCATCTAAATACTCCTCAGCACCCTCCGCCACCACGGTTGCGCCCCCCCTAACTCACCATTAACCATCTCCTCCGCCTCCTCCAAATCACGGCGTCTGCCGGACTGCAAGTCGACTTCCTCCGACCTCCAGTACCGAGTCTTGAACACGATCTTGTACCCAAAGTATATGATGAAGAATAGGGGCAGCAGGATATACGCATCGACGAACCCGGCGACGTCCCAGGGGGAGAAGTAGCTCCAGCCCTGGACGAAGGCCAAGAAGATATTGGCGCCGAGACCAAAGTACGCGTTCCACGGATACCAGAGGGACACGAACGGCAGGTCTTTGTCGGTATAACCTTGGGCTTTCCACGCCTGGCGGAACCGGATGTGAGTGAATGAGATGGAGCCCCAGACCAGGAAGGTCGACACGCCGCTCAAGTTGACGATGTATTGGTAGGCCTTGGAAGCACCAGTTGAGACGTTCATCATGGACACGGCGCCAAACGCGTTAGCCGTGACGATAGCCGGGATAGGCACTCCTCTCTTGTCCGTCCAGCCGAGAAACGCCGGGGCCATCTTTTGCTGTCCCATGAAAAGGAGGGTTCGGGACGCGATGTAGATGGAGCTGTTGATGGCAGAGATGCAGGTAATCAAGATGAAGGCATTGATGAGATGCACGCCGCCTTGCCAGCCAGCGTTTTGCAGCGCAACAGTCATGGGACTCAAAAGGGCGCGACTGCTACCATTGACCAGCTGGCTGGCGTTGGATGGGCAGGTGAGGCCGAAGAAGAAGGCGGCGCCCATGTAGACGAAGATGATGCGCCAGAACACCTGACGGATCGCCAACGGGACGGCGACGCGGGGGTTCTTGGTCTCGGTGGCGGCTACGGCGACGGATTCGCAGCCGGCGTAGAAGGTGGAGCAGAAGACGAAGACTTGAGCGACACCGCGGAAGCCGCTCACGAAGGGTCCCGGGTCGTGCCAGTATCGGAATCCTACCACGTCCCCATTAACTCCACCAGCGACATAACTATAAGGGGTTAGTCTGGTTCCGCATAATATGTATTTACAATAGCTTGTATAGGTTGAAATACTTACACAATGGAGAAGAGGTAGAATGCGACCAATCCGGCAAGTTTGACAAGAGCCAGCCAGAATTCCGCTTCACCGAACGTGGTGACACCACAGAACTGGAAGGCCAAGAACGCAGTCTGAGAAAGGTGTCAGCAAGAATAGCTTCTATATTAATAGAAAAACATTAAAAGAAAAAAAAACACGAGTGGGAGAGGGACTAACCCATAAGATCAAGAAATACCCCCAAACAGGCACCTTGTCGCTCCAGAAGACGAGAATGTTAGTGGTGGCATTATACTCGTTGGCGAGCACAGTGAACCAAATGATGAAGTAATTCCAGCCGACGGCGACGCCAAACGCCGGGTCTACCATGCGTGAGGCCAGCTGAGTGAAAGCGCCTCCTGAGGGGTAGAGGGTTGTGATCTCCCCTAGACTTTGCATGATACTATTTTCCATTTATAGATTAGCATTTTCATTTTGGGGAAAGCGAGAAAAAAAAAACATAGTATATAAAAATACCGAAATAAAGAAATCGTGTGAATAAAGTAAGTAAGTGATGGGTGGTTACTCACCTAAAGGCAATGATGCCGACGATGCCAAAGCCAATCAACAGCGACGCCGGACCACCGCCGGACAGCGCGCTTCCGCTTCCGACCAAGAGACCGGGCCCTATGATTCCGGCCAAGGCCATCATGCTTAGATGTCGTGTTTTCAGCCCGCGCCGGACCCCCGACTCGGGGTCAATTGACTGAAAGTCGTCCTGGTCGACGACATATTCGTCCGGCGGCGTGATGGGGCGGTTATCGGGGTCTTTTGAGCTGTACATTTTGGGCTGGGGGTCCTCTTGTTGCTTGCTTGCTACGGTGAGCAAAGGACAATGATGGATGGCGATGTTGATGTGAGAATTGACAACATATACCTAAAAGGGATATTATGAAGATTTCTAGGAATTTAAATACTTGTTTAGGTACTACTTACTCAGGTGTAGATAACATTGAATACCCTATCTACAAATTCGAGGGTTCGGTCAAGAAACAGCACAGAGATTTCTAGATTTAGTTAGTCGGCCATGGCATTTGGCTGTAGGTAGAATTGCGTGATTGGGTGATCGGATTCCAAGAAAGTTCCAAGAAAGTTCCAAGAGAATTGTTATCAGATATACCAATACAGGTATGTACAGACGAGATATAACCTAACCTAGGTATGTATGACCTACAAAAGCCACCTGCTATAGCATCGGGTACCTTATTTAGTTATTTAGGTAGACATCCATCATGCATCTATTAAACTTAATCTGGCCTAGAACTGTCCGTTCCTACATAAGATCCTGCCTAGATCTCTCTCTAGTACATATAACTTACTAAGTCGTAGCTATAAGGATATATTCTTTATCCTTACTACGTACTTCGTACCTAGTAACGTTCATGTTTAAGAGTCAGCGGCAAGTCTTGACGGCAAACATAATAGGTAATAGGTAAACCCCATTAACATCGTGACTCCATTATATACGTACCTAACCTAGGCATGTAGGTATCAAAATACTAAACCCCCTCCATCGCCATACTCTCCCTCCAACACCTCTCAATCGCCCCCCAATACCTCTGCGGATGCACCCGCATATGTCCCACGTGCGGGGAATCCTCGAACCTCTCCAGCACCGCCGCGTACCCCTTCCCCCTCGCAGCCTCCGCCTGCATCTCCACGTCCTCCCACCAGATGAGGTCGTCGGCCTTGGAGTACAGATACAGCCTCGGCGCGCGGGGCGTCGCCATCCCGTGGTCGAGGAACGCCCTGCAGCTGTACACGCCGGAGGCCTCGCGCCCGCGCGCGCGCTCGACGAGGTGGACCGCGTACAGGAAAACCCACCACAGCGCGTGCGTGAGCGCGAAGGGCCAGGGGAACAGCTTTGCGGTGCCGAGGGCCATGGCGCGCGACCACCGCCCTACTTCCGTCGCGAACACGACGCTCCCCGGCGTCGAGTCGTTGACGCATAGGTGGTGCGGCAGCCGCCGGTGTCGGCCGTGGCGGTGCTGGAACGCGTTGAGCGTGGCGGCGGCGTAGATGCCGCCCGTGTTGGACATGATGTGGAAGAGCACTTTTTCCTCCTCCGCACGATCGCCCGCCGTCGGGAACACGACGTCGACGAGCGGCAGCATGACCTCGGTGCGCTGTTCCAGCGACGGGAACGACGCCGCGAACGTCGACGAGATCACCATGAGGATCCGGGCCGCGGGGAAGAGCTTGTGGTACCCGTCGACGTACTTGGCGACGTTTTTGGGCGTGCCGTCGCCCCAGCCGTAGACGACGATGGTGGTGGGGTGGTCGACGGGGGGCTTCTCCTCGGCGATGGAGCCGAGCTTGCTGTCTTCGTTGCGGAGGAATATCCGGTCGGAGATTGGCGTAAACCCCGGGAATGAGGGTTTCACCGCCATGGTGACGGTGTGAGAGGTTGGTGTGTAAATGTGAGGGTATATGAAGAGATATACTTGTATTATTTAAATATCACTGAGGTTGTATAAGATTAAGACTAAGTTTGTATTATTTTTGAATTTTGACGTGAAGCTGCGTATGTGATGGTTGTATCTTCAATGTTGAATTAGATATCACGACGCTACTGTAGGTTGCAAGATAATAGGGGAGACTTGGGAATAGCTTATAAGGTACCTGGACCTAAGCAATGAAATAAGCGTGCAGAAAAAGCACGATAGATAGCGCCCTGTTAGCCCTATAAGTACCTACTATAATATTACATACACCAACAAGCCGAGGCATAAGTGGGGGCAGCAACTCCCACAGAGACTTCTAACTCAACACATTATGTTGGGGATTCGAAATGTAGATTCCCTACTAGGTAGTATATGCTATTTATGTTGAGCAGGAACAAGCCATCCATAATTAACCTAGCAACGATCTCTTCCTATTCGTGAAGGACGGCATAAATGTAAGCAAGAGGTACCTCGGCTTATACTCAACAGGGTCATAGCAACTCATTTTATTTGGTACTGAGTCAAGATTCATTGGTCGTTTGTGATTTTGGATATACTTAACCCGGCACCGCCATACCTACATAGTATCATCCGGATTCCGTGGAGCCCGAGTGTAAATTGATGAATGGTACGTAGTCGGGACAGAGACTATCCGAATAGCATCATTTTAATGCATCAGATAGGCAGGTATGTATATACAACGATAACATAGTAGATAGAGCAAGTAGGCAGTAAGTTACAAGTAAACGTCAACCAACCTACGCAACCTTCCCCCTCCCCCTCCTCCTCCTCCCCCAAGTCCAATGCCCCCTTGGATCCTCCACCAACCCCCTCATCGCCCTCGCATCGGCCCCCTCCCCCCCATCCTCCCTCTCCAGCGCCTCAACCGCCATCCCCGCATACACCCTCGCCTTCTCCTCCTCCCCAAACAGCGCATAGTTGAGCGCGGCCCGCGTGTACGCCTGCCCCAGATACACGTCGAGCCTCTCCAGCTGGTACAGCTCGACGAGCCTGGCGCCCGTGTCGGCCGTCACCACGGTCTCGTTGAACACCTCGAGCGCGGCCTCGAGGGCGAGGATCTCGGCGACGCGGGAGTCGGAGTCGGAGGCGGTGGAGAGGGGGGAGGGGGAGTGGGAGAGGAGGCACTGCGCGCAGGTGCAGGAGAAGCCCCACCTGCGGAGGCGGGAGCGGCGCTCGGCGCGCGGGAGGAGCAGCGCGATGTAGCTTATGCTGAGCTCCTCGCCCGGGGCGATGGCGCGCGCGGCGACGGTGGTGTGGGTTGTGTTGGCGATGCGGTAGTGGACGCTGTTGGGGTTGTGAGTCTTGACAACCCTTGTAGTACATAAGTGTAGGTATCTAAGAGAATCCCCCTTTTTTAAGAAGAGAAGAAAGGCAAAAAAAAAAAGAAAAAAAAAACTTTTTTTGAGACCAACACTCACTTAGGTCTACAATCATGATTAAACCTCGACACCTCCGGATAACACCCCAAGTGACTACTCCTCCTCTCCGCCTCCTCCTCTCCCTCCCCTTCCCCCCCACCACCATCCCCATGCACATACAACTGAAAACAATTCGTCTCAACCTTCCCGTACACCCCCTCCCCCATCTGCCCCATAAACAACTCGTACCCCGGCCGCGGCAGCTTGTCCACAGCCACCTCGTACAGCGCGTCCCTCGCGCCGGGATCCAGCTCGACGTGCGGCGCCGTCTGCACCAGCAAAGTGGGCGTGCGCACGAGCAGCGTCTCGCCCTTCTGGATGTGGCGGTCGGCGACGACGCCGATGCCTTTTCCGGGAACGTGGGTTGCGTGGAAGGGCGGAGGGGCAGTGGGCGCAGCAGGGGAAGCAGAGGCGACGGGAAAACCGCGCACAGCCCGCGCGTTCCTCTCAGACGTGACGAGCACGATGCCGTCGCCGATGTGCGGGTTAGCGAAGACGCACGTCTCGCCGACGCAGTGCTGTGGGCCTTCCCAGTATGCTGCAGCTTCTACCCCTTTCGCCCGCGTCGCAGAAAGCAGCTCGGGACTCGCGCATATCTGCTCCTCCGCCCTTGGAAATGGGGTTGACGGACAGGTAGTTTCAGGGCCGACATCATTCGCTTTGACTGTTTTTACCCCCGAGAGAGCTGCCAGAGAGCTGTAGAGAACGGTGGTTGGACGCATGGTCGTATTCTATGCTCCTCTACGCTGTGTCGAGGAGCTATGAGTATCGTGCCTAGCGTTACCGAGTCACTTGTACATCGTCTCCAAAGTCTGGAGATATGTATGATCGAATTAAAGAAAAGAAAAGAAAAAAAAGTCTTGCATGCATGTGGGAAACCGTGTCAAGACGGGCCCGGGAAAAGCGAGGGACGCGATCGTCGCGATGATTTCCCTTCTCTGGACATGCGCTCTGCTTTACCCGGGCGAAGAGGAGATGTGAAGCGAGTACCTAGTTTGGTACATTGCCATATCTGATATGCGTAGCCACTTTCTCCCCGGTTGAGCTTTAAGTCTCGGCAGGTATCTATTTTTCAAAGCTCTTTTTCGAAAGAATCTGTTTCGCAGATGAAATACGAATGACGATAATCAACAAGCTTTGATCTGTGTCTACTTTCCTAGCCCCTATTCTTGGCGTCAGGGGGAAAAGCCAAATAAAATACAACTTTGAAGTTGTACATCACTTATATACACCGCAAAGGACTAAGAAACTCAAAGGCTCTCTCATCACCGATTAGACATTATTCACATGTACTCATCAGGTAGAATTAATTCGTATCTAATATACCCATCCAGCCACGTATTATCGTGTGCCGCAAACTGAAAATGCGATTGACTCCCCATGCCATAACGCCGTAGTCATACCCTGTCATCCCTTTACCTTGCCCTCCCTCAGAGCGTCTTGCCAAAATGATACCATGATACGTCCAAGATTATAGACTTATTCAGGTATTGATAGCCGGGTTTTCACTTATCCTTTATAGACCGCCCAGCACCTCCTGAACAAGATTTTCCAGCATCCTCAATCCATACCACTTCGCGACGCCCTGATACACCCCTAACTTCCTTAGAACATCCTCCTTCTTTACACTCTCCCTCCACGGACCACTGCATGTGCAGTGCTCCATAAGATCGTTCAACCTGACGCTCCCGCACCTCTCACACCTAAGGTCCTGCGTGCTCCATTCGACAACCAATGCTTGCACATCTGAGAGAAGCTTCTCCTCAATACGTAGTCGTTCGAGCTCCGCATCACAGAACGGGCAGTGCCATGTCTTCGCCGCAGCTGCTTTGCGCACTTCTGTCTCGTTGCCCACCGGCACGATGCTTAGGTCTGGAAGCAGGCTTTCATCGCGGCATAGGTCCCAGTCACGCGCAAGCGTGCACTCAGAGCAGCTCCACTGCGGTACCTTGAGACTCTCACTCGGGTTCGCGAAAGCACCTTCTTTGCTGAACTCGCGTACTTCGAAGAGCGCAAGTAGTTCTTTCCTTAGTAATCGTGCTTCCATCGTGATGTTCTTATCTAAAGACAACACCTGCATGAGAGATTTAACGAGTTCGAGCACCGCGTTGCGATTCTGCACGTTCTTGCTATGGCCACCTGGCAAGACTGGGAATGACCAGTCCGATGCAAGTTCGGGATGTAGAAGTTCACGAGTTTGGGTTGTGACGAGGGATCGGATTTCCTTTTTGAGACGCTTTTCAAAGGCTACGCCGAGGAGGTCTTGGGATTCAGGACCATCGCCCTGTGAACCATTGCGCAGTGGTAGTTGCGTGAGACGAGGCGTGGAATCAGGCTCTCCATTTATGGATGGGCGCTTGAGTTTATGCATAAGTTGTATGAATTCAACGACCCAGTGCTGGAAGGTTTCTTGTAGACGAAGGGGCAAGAACGTCTTCATCTGCCAGTTCATAATGGTCTGCAGGTCCTGCTGTTCGGCCTCGACAACCTCCTGACAGGCCTTTCCACCGTAGTTAAACTCATCATACCATACCAGGTAGTCCCAATACTCTTTGATCTCGAGATCAATAAAGTGAAAGAGTGGTTTGCTCTTGATACTTTTGAGAATGTACTGACTATATGCATAGGCGTTGCCTACTTCTGACTTAGTAGTCTGTAGAAGGAGTCGATTGGAATTCGCAAATACAACTTGCGAACCCACACGGCGGAAGTCTCCCATAAGCTGCAGAAGAGCTTTGCGGCTCATCATCTGCACGTAGTAATGGAGTGCTCGGTCATACATGAAAGAATCTGGAGATTCGACCCATCGTACTAAATGCTGCACTAGAATATCTGCCATTGGACTCCCGCTGCATGCCTCGGCCCACCATGACTTGACCATCTCGCGTAGTACTAGTACGCCTGCGTTGGCAAATGCTGATTCGGAATGGAGCATCTCTGTTCCATCTGATGGCGCCGAGTCTGTAGCCGGATTGTATGAGATAGACTCCGCGCCCTCAAGTTCGTTGATCAGGGATGACGTGAGAATAGTGTTGATGGCGAGATTACGAACTTCGAGGTCAATGCAAACCGATGCGTATGTACCGTGGGTATTGATAGACGGCATAGAGACAGTATCGAGAGGACCCGTCACGTCGTCTTTTTCGTAGCCAGCGTGGTCTGGTTTAGGCCCTGGTGACCACCATAACACGACATTATTCAACTGTAGACGGCGAGCATATGCAACGTCAATAAGGAATCTAGGGTCGTCGCGCTCCAAGTTACACAGTGGGATATCGCCATATCGAGCCAGTGCAGTAAGATGGAGAATCCACGAGCCAAGGTTGAGGTAATGCGCAAGGAGACGTTTAGCAACGACAGGTTGCCAACCAAGGGGAGGAAGCAAGCTATCTGCCTGGTCATATCGAAGAGGGAGAATAGGGAATTCCGCAAGGATTGGAACATCGTGAACAAGTAGATTCTGTTGTGATGACTGTATCACCAGCATCAGAGGCTTGATTTCATCCTTCTTCATCTTCTTGACGAGTTCGCTAAGCTCGAGGTGAGCTTTTCGTCGTGTTGTCACCTGAGTGACATTGAAGGTCAGCTTCTCCTGATACACAAAGCAATCTTGCCAATTGGTCCCTTCCGCCTCTTTTTGTCTCCTAGCGAACATCTCACTGTACAGTTTGGTGATGTTTGGTAAATCTTTACCGACGTCTTTGCTCTTCTGAAGGATGACGATGTAGGCTTGGTCTTTCCTCGAAGAGAACAAACCAAAGATTTGTCTTTCACCTGCGGTAATATGTGAAATGTAGAGATACGCAAGTGGGCTAGAGTCCAAGTAGGTCTTCGGTTTAGCTGGCTTCCTCAAGCCATCAAGATCGAAGCCTTGTTCTAGGCCCTTGCCGAGTACACCTGGTCGAGTTTCGTCAATGGTGCAGAGGTTTCCCAGTTGAAGCATTGCTCGGATGTTTAGTGGTACTTGCTTCTCATATACACCCTCCACACTGGGATGGTTGAATAGTAGTGAGAACTTATCCGCTTCTGCGAAGTAAACATCCTCAGGTACGGTGATTTTGAATAGATGAGTCGATGCGTGCCCGTTAGGTAGGGTATGGTAGACTTGCTCAACATCACAACCCTCCACATCAATGTCAGGCAGGTCCTTCCCTTTGAGGTTCAAAAACACTTGTCGAGAGACCTTGATCTTGATTTGATGGACCTTCGCATCGATTAAGACGAATGCGGTCACTACGCCAGGGTTATCTGTTGCGCGGAGCTGGAGTAGCTGCCACGTATTCCGAAATGCGACCTCGGCTTGTTGACGGAATGTTTGCTGTATATTATTGCTCGCATTACCGCGCCGATCTCCAAATAGATGTCGCCGGCGGATCCGCGCCTGTTTCTGAATCTTCCATTTGATCTTTTGATATTCTAGGAAAGCTGGATAGTCATCCTCGGGGTTAGGCATCACCCTCGGAAGTGCTGAGAATGGGTCGACAATTTCCTTGTCCGGTTCTGGCGACTTTCTTTTAGTCGCTGTTGATAATTTTTGTGAAGCACTGATAGCTGCAGCTGTACTCTTTGGTTTGAGTAGCTTCGTCCCAAAATCCTCAAGATCATCTAATCTCGAGCCTGTAAGATTCGTTATATCTTCCAGAGGACCCTTGGCACTCGCGAACAGATCAGTCATCTTTTTCTGCTTCATCTTGTCATCCTTGATATTGATTCGCCGTTGAAGCCAGTCTGGATGGGGCACTCGTGGAACTGGGTTACGAACTTTCTGCAACGCAGCGGGGATGGTGATCAGTTTCTGGATGACGGAACCTAGACGTTCTGAGTAGTAATTCCAGTCCAGAAGCGCCCTAGGGTCAGTGTCGGATGGCTCTTCTTTGAGCCATCGCGTCAAATACAGTCGTTTGGTTTCTGTCGGGGCTGAAAAGATAGCGACTGGTATGGCACGTTCGGTAACGGGGGCATTACGAGGTTTGGCGCAAATGATGTACTTGCAGTTTAGACCCTTGTCTTTCACCATCTGCTCGCCGAGAAACTCTGCTAAACGTTTCGCGGTTGTGATAGAAGTAGACTTTTGAGTGCCATACTCTTCGAGGGTTTTGGACATGCTCCGGTTTTCACAAATAAGGTCAATGAGCTCCTCATCGGCCAACGTGGAGCCTTTGCTATCTAGAACGTCCAGCCATTGATTCGCGACCTTTGCTACCGCGGCGTAGCATTCAGTGAGGGTAGTTCCTTCTAAGAAGAACCTGAAGATCTGCTGTTGGAATATCTTGATGAGCTTAAGTTCACCTCTTCGCTTCACCTCAAATCCCTTAAGTTCGGCTAGACTGCCATCGTCATTGAAGACGGCATACCGCTTTTTCAAGTTCTTGTCTTCTTCTTTCGAGGTCGGCAAAACCATGGCCTTGTAAGGACCGTCGACCTCGAAGAAGATCGAGTTGTCGCTGTGTGTCTCATACTTGAACGTCTTTGGGTCAACTAGCGTCTGATATTGATGGTTGGTGAACTTGTCGTGGACAAGGTGATTCAACATCACACAGGGGTATGAGATAGCACACTTCTTGCCGTTTTTGAGCTTAAAGGCGAAATTCTCAGGGAACGTTGCCGGCAACATACACCAAATACCATCAGTATCAAGTTCTAGGGGTCGCCCGAGGCGCTCAACCAATGATCTCGCTAACTGAATGATTGTTGCTCCCGTCAGACATGTCACACCCGCCATCTCCATAGAGTACCATCTCGACCCTTTTCGCATAACATAGCCGTAGAATGAATTTAGAATGACCTTGTGCGCAAGTTGTAAGGAGTCATAGAGGACAATCATTTTCCTGGCCGCGTCAACTTCAGAATTTGCTGCCCCAGAAGACTTAAGCGATTCGGTCTTGCCCTTCCAAACTTTTGCCTGTCCCTTATAGTCGTACCGACGGTCTCGGAAATCTTTTACAGTATCGATATAGAAAGGATTCTCTCTTTGACAGATGATTGCCTCGCGAACAATTGTCGTGGAATCACGTATTTTGTGGTAAACCTTTTGACTATACATCTGTAACCGTTTTCTGATGAGAGCAGCTTGTTCTTCTTCCGGCAATTCTCGGAATGTTCGTAGCGGCGATTTCGGCCATTTCCCAGGGAACTTCTCGTTTTCCAGAGCATGTCGAATCATGTTGTATTCATCTCGCTTTGCAGGCAAGTATTCGCCTCTCCAGGCCCAGGGCATCCTTCTATCGCAAGTCTTCCCGGGACGATTGAAATCGCAGGCGGCGCAGTCCGACTCGTCAATCATAGAGTCGGGCTGCAGCCGATTTGTTGTCATGATGTTTGGATACATGGATGCGACATCTAAATGATAGATCAACGGCCTCTCAAGTCGATTGGGTGTTTCTTTTAGTTGCAATAACTGGGAAGCGATCTGGTCTCTGACCTCATCATAATTCGTCACATCGGCCAATGACTTCTTTTCCTCAACTTCAACGACGAATTTGAGAGCCGCGTCGAGATCACGAAGCAGATCATCGATAGCGCTAGGGTCAACGGCAAAGTCCACGGGTATATCTGCTCGAAATACCCCTGCTTCGATACTTTCAACATGACCGCCAACGTAGGTCTCGGCATCAAGTAAGTGCCCGTCCCAAAACGATTCCTTAGGAGACATGTGTTTATTTGGCAGAATGATTTCATGCTGATATGCCTGCACCATCAACAGCATCTCGCAAAGAGTACCAGTTCCCTTCCGTAATACATCATCACCACCCAGGGGAAGAATTGTACATAGTGAGAAGATAAAGGGGTGGATATACTTCATATAGAGGTAGTAGGTAGCGACAGCATCGGATACCGAGTACTCCGCTAGGGTCTGAGGTCTCTCATTTGCGTACGGCGTCATGAGTTCCGGGTCGAGTTCGTCTGGGTCGTAACCAAGCTTGGCAACGGTGACCGCCTTCAAACCTCGACTTCCTTGGGGTAAGTAGGAATCTCGATTAACCCATGCAAAACAGTCCATATGAACGCCGTACGTGCACTTGTAGATATCCTCGGAATCTTTCTTCCATCCAATTTCTCGATACATATCAATTCCATTGAAGCTTGCTCTTGCTTCTACGAATGGCCAATCGAAAAAGTCACCGTTGTAGGTGGCAATAACTGTCGGTCTTGCCTCTTTGATGTGTGAGAAGAAGCGTTCGATGACGGCCTTTTCATTGGGCTCGTTGAATATCATGAATTGGCCAGGATATTCGGGTCTAGGGGTATACTCAAAGTCTGAAATGTCCTCGGATACAATCTCTCTGTTTGTGATTAAGAAACCTTGGCCGTCGATCATATACGATATCATCATGACCTGGTCGATGGCGGCATCGGGAAATTTTAGGGGGGCTTTGGTTGTTTCGATATCGTAAGCCATTACCACGGGATCTGCCTGGACCATGTGTTCCTCATTCAGAGTCAGGGTGGTGATACCGTGTTTAACGTCCACGAAATACCACTTTCCTACTCGGAAATCTATTATCCTCATTAGTCTGAAGGAGCCAGTGTAGTTAATGTAAGTAGTGCCTTACTCATATCAATCATTACTCTTACATGGTACGGCACATCGTACTCTCTAATATCGACAATGTAGTCGCTGGCATCTGCAAATGAAGCATTATGTCGTCTGTCGTCATCTCGTGTATCGTCATCAAAGAGGTCAAAACCTGCTTGCTCTCTGTCGGGAGGATTAGCGAACAAGTCTTGAGTATGCTATAGCGCAAGAAAAGGAAGACCTACGAAGCAACCTCTGCATATACATCAACCGTGCCCATTGATTTCTTGTTCTTCTCCGCTATGGGCATGATGTCTCTTCTTGCAGACATCAAATCCGGCACATTTCTAAACCGTAGCTCGAGAAAAGTCCGTCGGTATCCGAGTAGGTGATTGGGCATAGATAGATCCTCCTTGGCAACCTTTTTCACGCTACGAACGACACCACCGCCAGGTACTCGCTTCAGCCATTCTTCTACCTCGCCTTCTCTTCCCTTTCGACAGGCTATTAGAAAATATGGCTCGTATTCAATTGTCGCCTTGAATGTCTGACCATCATTCTCTATGAAGTAGCAATCTAGCGCCGCCTTGCCACCAGGGGTTCGGTCGTCATCGAGCGCTATTGTGGTTGGTTGGATATTGACAAGCCACCCTTCTTTCCTTCGACCGGATTCATAGCGAGCAAATCCCATTGACTCGTCTATTTGGTGGGCGAGTAGTGCCCGCTCGGCCTTTTCATCCGCTGATGTTCCCTCGGTACGAGTCGAGGCAGCAAAAGTTCGATTACGAGTCCCGCCACCATGATATGCTTGCTTCCCGCCTCGGCGAGCATACCCCTTCTGGGGGCGTCGAAGAGATGTATTGGGCATTTTGAAATCGGTAGAAATTAAAGGAGACTACCGAGGGATGGTGAATCGTCGTGATGAAGGGTTAGACAGGCGTCATTGGCAATGACTAGATCTCATATGGGGTATCTCAAATGAAGATCATAAAGTTGGGTAGTCACCCTCGAGAAATACCGAGTAGTATGGTAGTTGCGCAGGTCTTTCAATGCAACTTCGAGATTCGAGATTCTAAAGGAATGGTGGTATATTGTTGTCGATGCAGATGCTGTGGAAACAATCAATTCATTGAGAATAGTTTATTGTTTAATGTCTGGGTTCAAGTTAGTACTATGCATGTAGGTATAGTTATAATGTAGCACTATGAAATTGTCAATATGTACCTATTGACAACATTAGCTCACCAATTAAGTTTGCAGGCATCTGAGACTCTGAGCGATCTAATAGGTAAGAAAAACCCCAGTCCTATTAAACAACGCGAGACGCGTCGTTTCCATTTCTTAAGACGCGCTTATCTTTTTTTTTAGTCGCGTTCTTGTTAAAGTGCTCCAATAAATACATAAGCCCATTCAATTAAATACCACTCTGTTAACTGAATATTCATATCTGCACAACACCGTCATAGCTCCAAATTGTGTAGTGAGGTACAAAATCGAACTTATGATGCATTCCATAGCGACATTCATTACCTATGCCACCTAACCTTGGGTTGTATAATTGCGCCTCCCCCCCCCAATCTGTGTTTCACAAAAGTCCCTTTTTATAGCAAATGGCCCAAGACGACAACGAACCACCCAAAGTGCGTGGCCCCCCGCCGGGAGCTACAGCACCTCCGGCTCATGTCAAAAAACCCCAGATCTACGAAATATTTCCCGGTGCAAAGCCCGAAGGCCAAGGAGATAAACCTGCCAGCGATCAGGAGCGTGTGCCGCAGCCTACCTTAACAGAGGGGTTACAGTCCATAAAAGCCGATGACTTCTTCGGCGTTCACAAAATGCCATGCGCGCGTCAAGGTCTTATGACTGGCATTGGAGCTGGTGCAGTCACTGGCATGGTTCGATATGTCGTGGGAGGTATACAGGCATTTTCCCCACGAACCCCTTGCATTCACCGTTTGTTAATTACTATTCTTTAGGGCGAATACCTAGAGCAACAAATTGGGCGTTTGGCGCATTCTTCCTAGGCTCCATACTCCAATGGGAATATTGCCGAGCACAGCGTAACAATGAGCGCGCAGCCATGGCGCGCGTAGTTGAGATTATCGACAAGAAACAGGCCGAAAAGAAGGCACAGGCTACCGAAGCAGCAAGGTTAAGAAAAGAGGCAGCAGAAGAGAGGGCAAGACAAGAAGATGCTGCTACAAAGAAAAGTTGGTATAAATTATGGTGAACTCCGTCCCAATTATGAGTGATGGGGAGGGCCATAGTTGCTACTGCTGTATAATAAAAGAATCTCTAGGGGTATGTTGTCCTACCCGTGTGTCCAATATCCCATTCCTTACTCCTTGTAACCATTGACGCCTTATACAGCATTGATCTCTGCAATGTTTGATCTCTAGCAGTAGCATACATTGAGATGAAGTTGGTATTTTTTTTAAAAAGCGAAATTAATAAAAGACCGAAACAAAGTAAATTAACAAAGGCCGATCATCCACCTCAACCATAGCGGTTACCAAGCAATCGTATACTATCAACGCCTTGTGCCACAAATGATCGCATTCAAAGTGGGGTTGCGAGACAGCGCGGGTATCAAGTCATGACTACAGTAGCCGGCTCTGCATCCGAGAAATGCACTCGTACCATAGAGTGACTACTCTCCATTTCCGTATTGGCGCTGACCTCTTGTCGGCGCCGTTGGTTTCGTCTTGCTCTAGCTTCACTCTCCTCGCGCTTTCTGTAGTTGGCGAGCTGTTGCCGTCGCTTCTGCGCTCGGGCATATGCAATAGCAGGAGTCGGTCTGAATCCGATACCGTTGATACCAGTGCCGTCATCATCCTTGTCCTCAGGGTCGTAGACTGTAATTTCGTCTTCATGCCAGGTAAGCGCAGCGCGTACAGGATCTATAATAATAGAAGCTTCTTCGGCCGAGGACTCTGGTGTCCTCTGTTTGGTTAAAGGTGGGGTTCCTGCTCGTTTCCGGCTACGTGATTTGGATGCCGAGAGCCGGTTGATGGATGGGTACGACTTCTGCAAGCGGCCAGAACCTTCATTCTTCGTTATCTTCATGAAAGCAGGATCTACTGCTGTCTGGGGTGCGAAACGATGAGGCAAATCAGATTGGCCGAACTTGAGGCCAGTTGTGTTGGCCTCTACATTTGGGACTATTTCCGCAGTGTCTGGCTTGTCGGGCAATTTAACACGTTTGCGTGATGCACTGTCAGCATCGTCAAGCTCCATTTCTTCAGCAGCAGTACTGCTTGCATTTCCGCCATCAAAATCGAAGATGGACACTTCTGGTGAAAATCTCAGGTCGTCGGATGTACGTTGGGATTTAGCCCCATCAGGCTCTGATCCCATAAGAATAAACCCCCGAGAGGCATCGGCCTTGTCGTTGTGGGTTACCCCGCCCCCACTTCCAAGGGCAAGGTCTTGGAATTTCTGAGCAACCCTGGTTCGAGGGCTACTATTACCATCCTCAAGAGGATTATCGTGACTTCTTTCGACAGGTTTAAGGGTCGGAGGTTGAAATGAAAAGGTAGACTTGGGTAGCTGAAATGAACTTAGAGCATAGTCGATATTGCGGTGCTCGTTGGTTACATCATCGCGCTTCCGCTTGGGCGTAGCCTTTAGTGTGGGGGATCCAGTCATAGTTGGAGATATGAATGAATGGGTCGAGATAATTAGGTTATTAGGCGGTATTTTTTCCTTGATAACAAGGCCCAAGGAACGAGAAATTGGATCAGGAAATATTTGATCTGATCTTGGATCTGACTTTCCATATGACGAATATTTTTGATGTTGATATACCTAACCTAGTAAGGTAGGTATCAGGTTAGGTGGGTAGTTATGTTGACGATAACAAGACAAGAGCGGGATGTATGCCGTGCGTGCTGTGCTGCTTGCGATGTTGAGACCAAGATAAGCCGTATACTTTTTATTTTTTATTTTTTGATTGCTTTGTGTTGTGTTGCTGTGAATTATAACAATGAATTACAATAAAACGTCCGAGTGTGGCCAGGTGAATTAGAAGTCAAAGTTGGTGAGTCGACTAACAAAGTTAGCTGAACACGTCGGTTATCCTAAACTTGAAGTGACCATAGCTGTCATCTGAAGATGGCACTTGCACTGAAAACATTAGTTAGTCCATAGGCAGGTACCTCCACGTGGGCAGTACCATTTGAGCACTTTCAATGTTGTACGTTACTTGGTACTGCGTTCAATTGCGCGGCAAGAAACATGGAGGGAACATTCAATGTGATTTGAAGGTGCAAAAGTTACTTGGTTACTTGGTTGCTTGGTTGCTTGGTTGCTTGGTTGCTTGGTTATGCCGGCTCATGCTTGCTTGCCTAATAAGAAATGAGTTGTCATAGGGCTGGGATAACGATTGGTCAGTGATTGGTCCCGGGGATATACCAAGGTTCTCTACTTGGACGACAAGTGCTTTAGCTTACATGCCTACCGCAGCCTACGTAACCTTAGGTATGTAGCTGTAGCTTCAAAGTTTGATAAGAAGCCGGCTGGCCCTTATCGGTTTTATATATGTCCAAATTCAGTCCAATACTTCAATATTCCATCCAAGCTATTGGGAATTTGGGACACTTAACATTAAAGTACCTAAATTTATACATATATGTACCCTCTAATGCCCTCAGTACTGCCCACAACCTCGACTCTTCAAAATCATGCTTAAAATATCAACCATAGGACATCAAGGACCATCAATGTAGTCATTCAAGCACTAACTCATATTTCAATGTTAACCTTAGGTTGTCGGCACCTAATCCGGCCAAGCACCACAGATCCGGTTCGTTAGATCCTAGGTAAACTCCTTCAACTTCACCTGGGCAATGTTCTCATTGATGATGTTTGCCTATTATGGACATGTACCTAATGTAGATAATATCGGCATTACATACATATGTATGACTATGTACCAAATAGATGTGCATATGTACCTAGGGTAACGTTAATGGCCAAAACAAGATGGGATAAAGAAAAATACAGAATGAATCGCATTGGATCGCATCGCATCGCATCGCATCGCGTCTACTTCGGCGGAATGACACCGATCAGAGTACTAAGGTATACCGACCGGAATACCCCGCACCGCCGTGTTACCCCACCATCTCACGATACACTTTACCTCACCATCCTTCCTTGTCTAGTACATACTATGTGGTACCCCTATTCCTTACCCTTACATAGCACTTTATATGTATACATCCAGTTTCCTGTACCCCAGGTACATATTTTTCAGTCACCTGTCTCACGAACTTTGTTATAATAGCCTGAATACCAATGCTCGCGCAATTGATGCCGAGAACCCTAATTCCTCTTCCTTATCTACCTACCGTCCCGCCTTGAATCTAGCAAACACAGACTTTATACTCTTTACTCTCACCCGCCACGCTAGAATCGCAATAGCATCAGCATCAGTACTGAGTGAAGAAACACATAGGTACTTATATTGCCATTAAAACACCATGGCTGACGAAATCTCGTTTCTCCCTTTGGGTGCAATTATCCAATCTTTCAAAGTTGGGGGCATTGACATTGTGCAAGGCTTCCCGAGTCAGGATCTCTACGCTGAGCACAACAGCCCCCATTTTGGCGCTACTATCGGCCGGGTCGCAAACCGGATCTCGGACGCTAAAATCTCCATCAACGGGGGCAAATCTTATAGCTTCGTTGCTAACAATGGTCCCAATACCCTACACGGCGGGAACGTCGGCTGGGGCAAACGAGTTTGGAAGGGGCCAACCCCCGTTGGCGTGCGCAAGGCCGTCCCTGGTATCGAAGGCGAACTTAAAGGTGGAGAGACTGTAGAGTTTTCGTTGACCAGTGAGGATAGAGACGAAGGGTTCCCTGGCGAGATTCTCGTCAAGGTCTTCTACACAGCTGGCAAGATTACCGAGAATGGGAAGGATGTCACTGTCCTGAGTCAAGAATACGAAGCGGAGCTAGTTGGGGGCGCAGAAGAGACCGTCATAAACATGACGAACCACTCGTACGGCAACCCGCGTTAATGCGGACCCAAGCGAGAGAGTGTTCAAAAAGCTAACCTTGTATTCATAGGTATTTCAACCTTTCGGGCAAGCCAACTATTGATGGAACGGTAGTCCAACTCAGCACCAATTCCTATCTCCCTCTGAACGAATGGGGAATCCCCACCGCCGGCCCAACCGCCTACTCCAAAGTCGCCACCACCACGCCCTTTACCCTCGGCACAGAAGAGCCGAATTTCGACGACTGTTTCATCGTCGACCCTTCCGCATCTCCCAGCTCCGTACCATTAGACACCCGAAGTCTGGCTCTTACCAAACTCGTCTCAGCTCACCACCCGGAGAGCAAGGTCCATCTGGAGGTTCTCAGCACGGAGCCCGCCTTCCAGTTCTACACTGGAAAGTGGATCGACGTGCCGGCCGTGGGCGGGGCCCCGGCTCGTGGATCACGGAGTGGCTTCTGTGTGGAGCCCAGTAGGTTTGTAAATGCCATCAATGTCGATGATTGGAGGAGCCAGGTGGTGCTTAAAAAGGGCGAGAAGTATGGGGCTAGGATCGTGTATAAAGCGTGGAAAGAGTAAATCAGAACCTGGACATTCCTTCGCATAATTGATGAGCTGAAGTCCATATCCGAGTAGGTAGTACGTAGCCACTCACTACCTAGGTATATAGTACTAGGATATACACCTACAAGATATGCAAAGTAGGTATCTATACGTACATGTATTATACAATCGCGTACTATCCCTCGTTCAAATTGAAAAAAAGAGCTTCCACTCATAATTCCTCCTCCTCTTCCCCCTCCCCCTCCCCCTCTCCCTCTCCCTCTCCCTCATCCCCTTCATCCTCCTTGTCTTGAACCGACGCATCCACCACCCTAGCATCCTGCTTCCTAAACAGCGCCGCCAAAAACTCGCTCGTGCTAGCCTCCTCTATCCCCTTGTCCTCGCGCCTCCTCAGGAACCGCGGGAACCGCAGGCTGAGCCCGCGCTCCTGGCTCACGAGCCCGACGGCCGCCGTGTACGTGGGCGAGAGCGTGACGTCGGCGAAGGCCATCTCCCAGACCTCCTGCGGCTCGAACCAGACGTCTGGCTGGGGGCCAGAGTACTCTATGAAGCTGGGTTGGGATTTGCGGGTGTTTTTGTTTTTCTTGCTGTTGGTGTTGGTGTTTTCCTCGATGACTTCCTGTACTTGTGGGCTGCCTGAACCATCCCGCTCTCCTTCGCCAGACCCGTCATCGTAAAAGGCCTTATTGGCTTTGTAGAACGCGTCCGTGAACCCAGATATACACTTGCAGACGGCCTCGAGGGAGCCCGTGGCGTCGTTGCGCACAGCCAGTAGAATCGGCGACCAGAACTTGGCTTTGCGGCCCTGGCCGTGCCACCCCGCGACGGGCACCAGGTCCAGGGTGTCAAACGAGCTGCTGTAGTCCTTCTTCACCTTGAGCCAGGAGTCGAGGCGCTTGTCTGGCTCGTAGGTGGCAAGGAGGGGTTTGCGTCGCGACGAAGGTTTCGGCTTTTCTTCCCCGTTGTCGTGCTCTGTTGCGGCTTTGGTCTTTCCTTTTTTTCCTTTCTTGCCCTTGGATTTGGTGGGCTGGGTTAGGAGCTCGCTTTCTTCGATATTTGGAGCGGTCCTATTGGGATCTTCTACGTCTTCTCTAGGGGGCGGAAGGTCGGGTAGGTTGTCGAGGATTTTGACCATGATGCCCTCGCACTTGGTATCTGTAGCGAGTTTGAAGAAATCCAACACGGCCTCAGAGTCCTGGGATGTGGCGTCGAGGCTCTTGACCCACGTAAAGTGGTGAGGTATTTCCGTAAAGAGAGACCGCAGTAACGACCTCCGCTCGCGAAATGGTCGATCAAGTAGCGGCTGGCCATTGAGATACATGAGATCGAAGGAGAATAAGCACACATCAATGGTGATGCTGCCTATCGCGACGTCCTTACGGGCACGGTTCGTGAGAGTCTGGAAATTCTTCAACTCCCCCGTTTGCCGGTCCACCGCAACGACTTCCCCCTCCATGATGAAGCTACTGACGTTTTCGCCTCGAATCTTAGGTACGAGTTCCACTAGATCGGGATATTTATCTGTCATGACTTCTAAATGTCGCGAGAAGATCGATACTTTGCCCTTCTCGTCGCAGTGGACTTGCGCCCGCTGCCCGTCATATTTGAATTCGCACGCGAAGTCTCTTCCTTGCAGCTTTGTGAGCATTTCCGACAAATCTCTCGTAATGCTCCCCAGCATCGGCCGCAGGGGTATATGTAGAGTCAAGTTACACCTTATCAGCAACTCTTTGCACACTCCAATCTCCAGCATAGTCGGGATTAGATCATCGTAGTTAGGCCGCCTCGCGAAACAGGCTTTGACTATCTCTTCGGCCCTAGACCATACCTCGGCAAGCTCTTCCTTCTTCAATGCTCTGAGCTCATCGATTGATTTCAGGGGAAAGTTTGCTCCAGGGGGTCGCGAAAGGAGAAAGGCACGCGATAGAGCAATCAGCATCGTGGTCTTGACTGCGCCAATACGAAGGTGTTGGCATAGCGTACGAACGATGTATCGGCTCTCCTCGCCACCGCGGGCATCTTGGAGTAGTCTATCCACAATGCGTTGCTTTACCTCTGCACTACCCTGGCCTTGACTGTTGGCTACCTTGACGAGTGATTGGTAAACGCCCTTGATGGTTAGAGGTTTAGGCTTTCGTAAAGTGAAGCTTTGCTTTTTCTTCGCCTCGAAGGCGACATCACCTGCGTCGCCATATTTATCGTAGATCGCCTTTAAGGATCGGCCATCTAGGCCGCAAACGTTTTTCAGTGCTTTAGAGATGGCTGAGCCGCCTAAACCAAGCTCTAGTGATATATACGGGGGCGAGATTGAATTGGTAGCAAGCCAGACCTATCAAAGCGGTTAACATACCCACCCCCTGTGTTTAAAATCAGGGGAAGAGGCGGTCTTACTGCTGGTAGTAAGCTCTCGGGGTCCCCTTCTATGAGAACACGGAGACAGTTGACCAAGGTATCCACTATTTTGATCCGACTGGAGGTGCCATTAACGAGCACGAAGCATCGGGTGAGAAGTGCATATGATGCATGCCCACCTTCACTCGTCCAGTGCTCTTGAAGCTTCGGAACGTACTTGGCGGGATCGAACGTCAAGGGACTTTCATCAAAGGGTATATTCTCGGAAATGGTGTCTGCGGAAGCCGAGACGGACTGCAGCGACAAGGTGCCTTTTCCTTTACTTTCTATCCTTTTGGTCTCCGATACGATATCTGGAGATTTTTGGGATATATTGGAAGGTTCTTCAATATTCGGAGCATCGGTAATCCCGGTAGTTCCCGAAGCTACCGGCGTTCCGGAGGCTCGTCCCGCATTCTCAGCTTCCTTGTCCCACTCGGCCTGGAGCTTTCGGGCGAGTTCTTCATCTGTGATCTCATGGTCCTCCTGTCCCTTATTATTGGTTTCATTGTTTTTGCTTTGCTTCGAAAAGAAGTATTCCAAACCCCTAGAAGGCAAAGCTGACGGTTTCGAGCTGCTGCTGTTGCTACTGCCACCGTTTAGCTTCCGCTTCTTTGCCGGGCTAGCCATTATAAGCAATGGCAGCAGAGGAACTTGACCTCGGTTCCTTCTCTTTCTTGCGATTATATGGTCCCATGGAAGTATTAGTTATCAGTGTATGCATACTACATTATGTTGCATGTCGAAGCCAGCAATAAGGAAACGGTGACAGGATGATGTAAATGATGTAAATGATGCGTTGATGTAGGTGTTATGTCAGCACACAGGTGCCTAGGTACCTAGTATCTGGAGACTTACCTTGTATGCGCATATTAATGCAGATACAGAAGCATCTAGATTAAAGGGTCGATAACTTCGAACTTCTCCAATTTCTCCAACTTGGTGCTACCTACAGAGGTTAGGTCTATAAGCTTGAACAAGACCACAATCTTTCACATACGACCATAGGATTCGGAAAACTCGGGATCCCGTCCGCTCTCCCATAGATAAGCCGAATACCGCCAGATCAGTAGTTGGGTCGGTGACGACCAGCGAATCCCTGGTGTTGTATGTTTTTTTTTCTTTTTTTTTTTTGGTGCATTTTTAGCCCCTTAAAAGGGGGCTAATGCTGCGCACTAATAGGTAATAGGTACTTGGTGCTAGGTACCTAAGTCGAGCTTCACTTTCACGAATACGAATTTATTTTCTTTCCCTTCAGTAATTCTCATTTATCCAGTAGTATTCGTAATTCTGGAAGAATTGAGGTTTCTTATTAGCTTATTAGCATTCATATGTACCAGGTAGGTAACGTCAATATGCACCCTACTTCCTATACCAGACCAAACCATTCGATGTCAAGCTGGGGGTGCACAGGAACGGTGTGTCCCACGCCCTGCGCCGAGTATCCAACCAGCTTCGAGCCATCGCCGTACACCATCTGGGTGTACCCCGCCTGGGGCGTGTCCGTGACGTTCTTGTTGAACTCGACCCCGAGCAGCGCCGACCACTCCTTCAGCTCCTCGGCCAGGTTCAGGTACTCCACAAAATGATCCGCCGTGCCGTGGAACGTCTGCATGCGCGGGTAGGGCCCCGCGAAGCCCGGGTACATGCCCCTGGCCAGCTCCGCCCACTCCGCGCCGGTCTTGACGTTCTGCCCGCTCGCGCATCTGGGGTCCGCGCTCTGCGGGCTGGAGCCGGGGGACCCGGCGAGACACCCCGCCGCGACGCCCGAGTAGCAGGATCCGGCGGCGAAGACGTCCGGGTACGCGGCCAGCAGCACGTTCGTCATCATGCAGCCGGACGACGAGCCCGTCGCGAAGACCTTGGTGGGGTCGGCGTTGTATTTTTCGATCAGGTATTTCACCATGTTGACTAGTCCGGTGCTGTCGCCCCCTCCGTTGTTGGTGAGACTCTTTTCGGAGGCCACATCCTGTTACGTCTCTCGTTTAGTCAATGCGTCTTGTAGGCATATGTACATCTTTTCGTATTTCATGGCCAGACTTACCCAACAGTGGCTGTCTTTATCGGTAGTGGGGTAGACGACGATGAATCCCTGTGCGTCGGCAAATTCGTCGTAGTTGGCTACTTGATAGTATGCCTGTCCCGTGCCTCCGCAGTAATGCAACTATTCGTGTTATCATCTTGGTCAAAGTAGAGATACGGTTCCCCTTACAGCAAGAATGATTGCTGGCTTTTCGGCCAACTTGGCGGGTAGGTAGACCGCCATCTGTAGATTAGTTGGGTTCTCGCCCCAGTCAGCTACCTGAGTCAACGCCGCATGCGTTGTCGAAGACGCTAGCAGCCCAGTTAAAAGGCTGAAAAGCGTAAATTTAAGCATCGTGATGTTAGTTTCGGTTTCACGTTGCGTACAGATACTCAAATGTGCGGTGTATAGAGAATTGGGAAAGTTCAAGGGGCATGATATCTTCTGTTATAATTTTTTTTATTATACTATTCCAGGATATGGCCTAGCACCGCCAAGCGGCAGTGGATATTCAAGCTTAACCATTCGGCTAATTGGGCGTCCATACAGGGGCGACGCGAGGAGAGGTTACAAGGCGTGATGTAACCCGACATCATGGGATTTTATACTTGTGTCGATTCGAATCAATCTCGGATCTCTACTCTCCACGTCTAGCCCTGCACGATCTATTAATTGCCGGGCTCGAGAGCCGCGACCATGCACCGTCCAAGGTCGCTAAGCTTATGGAGAACTTCAAATCATTATGGACCTCGAGGCTCCCCACTACTTTCTGAGCATTGCCTGGATTTGACACCTTTTAAATAGATTTATTCCCACCGTGAATGCTGAATTGACCAAAAGTCTTCCGGTACTCTATGTCGTTTTCCTCCTTTTTATGGAACGTCACGTTAGGTACCTAGATATAACTATTTGTTACAAATTATGTATTATAGAAACAAGATTCCAGAACCTGTCTGCCAGCCGTGGAACTATACCTAGTACACTACCAAATTACACTTTCACGATTCAGCACCACCCAACGCTTAGGCTCAACACTCAGACTATTATCTCGTCTACAGACCAGACTTTGGGTCCATTGACAGCCCATTACCCTCTAGCTCATATGGCTTATGCCAGTAAACTGCTTTTAGCCCGAGGTTTCCAACTTCAAGTTCTTGTGGGCGATTGGGGGCTTCCAGTTCCGACTTAATCGCAGATTCTCCGTGCAGCTCGTGGTTTAGCAGTGCTGCTGCGCGCTGCTTCCGCCCATAACGCCAGAGCATGAACCATGCTGAAACAATGAGTGCTACTCCGCCGATACTGCCGACGATGGGCACGGCGATCCAGGCCTGATCTTGTCCCTGGTCCTTCGTTGGGTGTATTGGTGTCGCTATAGAGTACTTAGCAGGGAGTATCTACAACTATGATGAATTCTGGGACTCATCTTGGTAAGATGGTGTACATGATACCTACAGTCGAAAGTCTCGCTCGTTCTTGTCTCGGCCGTTCTAGTCTCGGACGTTCTAGTCTCGGACGTTATAGTCTCAGCCATTATCATCTCTGGGGGGCCTCCTGGTAGCTGAGAGTACGTCGTCGTAAAGGTAAAGGTTGTGAGTCCTCCATTTTCAGAGGTTGTGATTTCAACCACGGCCGTCGCGGGAATTGGCGCGTACAATGTGATCATTGTCGTAAATGACCATGTTGTTGTAAATCTATCAGTCGTGACTGTTTCTATAGTGGGGTCAACATCTTATGAGATAATCGAAGGGGTTAAGCTGCAATATACTATTGACAAGTTAGTTAGCTTCTTTGAATAGATATCTAGTAAGAGGCGTAATGACCTCTGAATGTAACGTAATTATAAGTTGTATCATACCTTATCAGGACTGTTGGCTCTATAGAATAATAAGTGTGAGACTGGGTATTTGTTGATATAGTTGCAGCAGGTTCGATACCTGCGGCAGATGCGATACCTCCGGAAGGAACGTCGGAACCTTCGATTTGACAGTAATCCATGAATTGGGCGAATATAGAAAGATCTGCTGAGCTGGCATTGTAAGATCGAGTGCAATCTACACATTGCGAATAATAGAATTCAAAGGTTGAATTTGTGGCGCATAATTCCGGCGTGTTTCCAACCCTTTGTGCTTCAATGTATCCATTGTCTAATTCATGTGAGCGACTTGACTTCTGCCACTATATTTCGTAACAATCATAGGTTAAATGACTCACTGCACATAGTAAAGCAGGACGACGGAATCGAGTCGGATTGACGGAAGAAAAGAACCGCCTTAGTAACGATATCTCTGAGATAAACCATATTGGGTGCTCAAATTGGCCAAAGCATAAACTACACCAAGAGGTCTCGCTCAGAACCAGGAGAAATGGAGTTTTTAAGATCTTATAATCAAGATTTTAAACCCCACACGATGATTAAACAGATATAGAGACCATGGAGGTGCTGTCGTGCTACCCCACGTAGGTACCGAATATTGCTGCTGTAGTAATACATGTACATGCTATTTTGGTCGTGGAGAGCCAAATAAATTCTATAGCCGTATGTACCAATTCAATTATAAGGGCTAAAGCTATGTACCTACCTTAGTCAAGACAAGTCAATCGTTTCAAGCTCACGCTCGCGTGGCACAAGGCTTAAATTTGACACAATCATAAGACATTTATAGCAGTAATACCAGAATTAGCCAGACAGGTATGGACATCACATTCGCGCTCTATGAAAAACCCTGTGTCAAGAGTAGAGTTTATGCTGGACTAAATAATTTGAAAGTTGGAAAACACGATTCAAACGATCCATGTTTTAAGAGTTTGTCAATGTTGTTGGTCAAATTATTCATAGATGTTGTGTAAGCGTGTGTGGTCGCATTAAGGGGTATCACGTGATATCTGCTAGCAAAGTGCGTGCCAGCAATCCATTCAGGTACTAAAGCAGTTGAAATGATATTTTGTAAAACATAGTATTGCCGAATCGGAGTTATTAGGCCGCCTAATATAACTGTCACACTTAAGGGCTCGAGCTTTCGCCTACCTACAGTACTCTTCGTCAATAAAGAATACCCACCGTATTGACCCAAAATTCCTGTATTCGCTCAGGGTGTCCACGTGATACTTTCATACAGAGTAGAGGCCCTTATTGATTCTTTTCCCGTTCCGTTCTAGCAGTTCAGTAGTAATGCCAAGCTTTTCAATATAAATACTCATCAGTTCTATTCCGAACTAACCTAACCTAGTTATATCACTTAGTTATGCAGTTAAGGGCATAGGCAGTTGTGGATCCACCATGGATTTACGACATGGCGGCTGCATAGGTTACTTGTATAACGGGGCTGCTGCTATGCCTGCGCCGATCATGCAGTTTACGAAAGACTCGTTGTTTGGAACAGGAGTTATGTTATGTTTCATAAAAGTTAGCAAAGTCCGAGCGTTGTGCATATATTGAGGCTGTCGACTCCCTTACATACAATACAGCCTTCACAACACTTTATATTTATTATTTCAACTCGTAGACCAATTCACAGTCATATTGTCACATTAAATCACTCATTTTGGAACAACATCATAAACTAATCAGAATACCCAACATGGTAAATATTTTGATCTCGTCAATAAACAGAATAGTAGTGGCTAACTCCAAAGAATAGGCCAGAAACTTGTCACCAGAGGAGATCCAGGTCTTCAAAGAGCTTTTCGACTCATATGTAAGTAATTCAGGCCTTCCTTTTCACAAGTATTCCGAAGATCAGACTAACAATCACAGGACACCGACAAAGGCGGTTTGTAGACCAACATAGTGACTGGCGCTGATATCTCATGCTAACGAGGTTGCTAGGCAACATTAGCGTCGAGGAATTTGCCAAGGTGATGTCCCATAGCCCAGGAAAGGCACCGACAGAAGAGGAAGTAGCGCAAATCATCAGGGAGGTTGACCTGGATGGAGACGGAACGATCAATTTCAATGGTACGCCATGTTTTCTCATCTACAAACATGAGTTATTCCCACGGCTGTTGTAGCAATAACGGGCATGGCGATTTCATGGACTAATCAGTAATAGAATTCATCACAATGATGACCGGGCAACCCTACCCGCCACCAGATGACGAGGTGGAGTATGCCAAAGCTTGGAAACAATATGAGCCGTCGCTCAACAGTTCCATCACTCAGAGTCAATTTCGGCAACTGATGGCAGGCCTAGGAGAGCCTGTCACTGATGTGGAGATTGACCAGCTCGTGAACAACGTCGATGGTGAAGGGAAAATCAGCTGTGAGTTGGGTTCAAAACTGATATCTCGATTGAATCCTGACTGGCAACTCGGGCTAACAAAACATCTAGACAAGGAGTTCGAACACTTTATGAAGAATAGAAATGTGGAAAATGATATCCTAGACGGATATGAGTGATTAATTGATATTCAACAGAGATGCAAAACCCCGTCTTTGGATAAGGGAGAAGAAAAAAAATAAGCGACGTGGGACTGATGGGCCATGATGCTCAGCTCGGAGGCGTTGGTTGTATCTAATAGGATTCACAAAATCCCCTCCATCAGAATCTGTCTTGTTTTAACAATAAATAAACAAGACTTATTTTTGATCCATCATCTTTTTATACAACTCAGAAAACAAAAAGCTCAGGCGCAGGTTCTATCCGAGGCAATTGACCTGAACAACCAGCCAAATTGTCGCCATGCCTCGGAATCGAACCCTTGCCCTACGAAAACCCGGGGAGGATTTTCATGGCCCTGTCAGGTCTTTAACAACTGCGCCAAGTGGCCATTGACACTGTTGGATCAGATCGGGGTTGCAAGGCATCACATTTTTGAGCTATATAAGTTTTACTCGGGGACAGTATGGGTACTAAGGTACTTAGGGGTAGGTAGTTGGGTGGGTGACGGTGAGGTTAGGGATGGCTGCCTGAGGAACGACACTTGTTGTGGGTAAGTGTGTGCGTGCAGTACTAGGTAAACTACCTAGGTACATAGGTACATACCCTGGTACTTAGACGCTTATGAGTGTTTCGACAGCTGCCAGGACTTTGGTTGAAGACGTTACGATTTAGATATGCCTACCTACTTGGTGTATGTCTGCTTCGATATATGAGCTGAATCATGCTACCTATACATAGTTAGAGAGAGGTGAGTACAAGCCATCTAAGGCATATGCGACAGGCGGCCAACCAACCCCTTCAGAACAACTGATCATAGGATGAGAAGGGCATTTGATGGCCAGATTGGACAATGATGTTATATGGCTAGGGTTTGATGTTACGGTATCTTTGAAAACACTTATTTGCTCTATAACATGCTACTCCCAACAAGACATCGTAGATAGGTAGGTAGGTCAACCTGAAAATAGGGGTAGCCAGCCCAGCTCCATAAAGGTAGGTACCTACTAGCTAATCAGACACCTACCTCCTCCTTACGAGAACAAAACCTCAAACTCAAAGTCCTCCGCCAACAGCGCATACTCATCCCTCGTCCTCGGCCCACACGACCCGCTCCCCAGCCCATGATGTCGCCTATCCAGCCTCACCACCACATTCTCCGTCCTCCTCCTCCGCAGCTCGTGGGGGTGCCTCGCCGCCTCCACGTCCTTGGCGCGGTAATGCGACGCGGCGAAGTCGAACAGCGTCCTCTTCCCCGGCAGATCCACAAACTGCACCGTCAGCGCCTCGCCCCCCGCATGCGCAAACCGCACCCACCGCGTGTCCGTGCGGTTGCCGCCCTCCTGCGGGACCTCGTACCCGGTCCAGAGCTCCGCCACCGAGCGGGCTTCGTGCACGCCCGCGCGCTGCGAGAGCTTCTTGTCGGCGTAGCTCTCGCCGGGGCCGCGGCCGTACCACGCTACTGCTGCCGCCGGCAGTGAAGGATCGCCACCGGCCCACGAGCCCGGCATCTCGAAGCTAAGCCCGATGCGCGGAAGCGTGCGCGGGAGGTTTTGGCCGCGCGGCGAGCCCTGGGCCCGGAGTGACAGTGCGCCTGAGGCGTGGAACGTGTACGTGAGGTGTAGATCGATGGCCCACGAGAGGACGGGCGGGGCGAAGCGCTGGTGGGCGTGGATGGTGAAGGTTCTCTCCCCCGCTTCCACAGCGTCCCAGGTACAGCTCCGTGTATACACCTTCGCGAGGTGCAGCAGCCGCTCGCACCAGTCGCGACCGTCCTGCGGCACATCGTTGTCGGTGCGCGCGCGGAAGGCGGAGAACTCGGGGCCGGAGTCTGCGGTTGTCGCTAGGATGGCGGTGCTGTTCCTGGTCCAGGAGAGGAGCTTGCCGTGGATGGGGGAGAAGGTCCAGGTTGTGTTTGCTGTCGAAGAGGAGGTGGTGATTGTCAGAAGAGTCGGGGTCTCGGTAACGCTGAGTTTTGTGTCTGTCGCAGGTGGGAAGGAAGGGGGGAGGAGGGGGTAAGGGGCGGAAGAAGGGCGGAGGGGAATCTCTGCGAAGGCGACTTCGAACCCGGCGGAGAGGGACGGGGTGGCGGAGAGTTGGTGGAAGGAAAGCTGTAGGATCCCCTCGCCGCGAAAGTCGGTGGACGGGAGGGTTAGGTCGGCGGTGCGCCCCGGTTCTATTCCGGGAGGAATTTCGAGGTTGCCGCTCTGGGATGTCGGCTTCCCTTCGTCCAGGACCACGTAACTGCACTCGAGATGGTCGAGAGTAATGAAATCGTAGCGGTTCACAATGGTTGCTTTTCCCGGGTCGTACGCCACAACCTTAACCGGCTCCAGCCCTTTCTTGTATTCTATGAGCCCTGGAGTTGGCGTATGGTCCGAATGCAGCACCCCGTCCATGATGAAATTGCTATCGTTTGGCACATCGCCAAAGTCCCCGCCGTACGCGTAGAACTCATCCCCCGTCTCCTTATCCGTAGTCAGAAGGCCGTGGTTGGCCCACTCCCACACGAAGCCGCCCTGAAGCTTCGGGTACTCGTAAAAGGCGTCGATGTACTCTTTGATATTCCCCGGGCCGTTTCCCATCGCGTGGATAAACTCGCATAGAACGAGGGGCTTGGTCTTGGAGTCGTCCTGGGCAAAGTCCACGATAGTTTCGATCGGCGGGTACATTGTGGAATACATATCCATGGTCTCAGCATATATGTCAGCCTCGTAGTGGATGGGTCGACTATCATCGTACGACTTGATCCAGCTGTACATCGACTTGAAGTTTCGGCCGAAAAAGGCCTCGTTTCCTAAAGACCAAATGATAACGGAAGGGTGAAGTTGATCACGGAAAACCAGTTGCTTGGCGCGGTCTACGTAGGCATGCTCCCAGGCAGGGTTATCTGTCGTCCATTTGGCTGCCTCCACCCGAGTCAAGAGCTGCCGTTCGCGAAAGGGGAGGGCTCTATCCGTAGGGGACAGCGCGGCATCGCCTGTAGTTTGATTAGTATTATTCAAGCCAGCTCACCATGTCACATTTCAAGCTCACATATTGATTCGAACCCGTGGCATTCGAGATCTGCCTCATCCATGACCCAGAACTATGTGTGTTAGCACGCAGTAGACAATAACGAGACTGAACAAGCATACACCTAATTCATCGGCAAGGTCATACAGCCGAACATCACTCGGTTGATGGCAGGTTCGGATCGCGTTGATATTATGAGTTTTCATAAGCATCAGATCCCGCTTCATGAACTCGAATGGAACGGCTCGGCCATACTTGGGATGATGCTCATGCCGATTTGCCCCTTTGAGGACGATACGTTTCCCATTCACCTTTATGAGGCCATCTTTGACCTCCACCTGCCGAAAGCCTACCCGATGTGCAATGAAATATGTATCATTCACGGAGACGACAAGGTGATATAGAACTGGGGTCTCCGCCGTCCATTTTATGGGGTTGCTTATCGGCAGCAAAATTCCAGTAGACCCATCAGGAAAAGTTACCTCTTTTTCAGCGATAACTTGACTTTTTGAGGGTTCGAAGAGAAGAGCTCTAATCTTCCCATTTCCTGTAGTGACAATGCTCACCTTGAGGTTGGCGTCAACATACTGAGGGCAGAGTTTGGTCTGGACAAAGAGGTTATCGATGCGTGATTTCGCTGGAAATCCAAGAAGATAAACATCACGATAACTAGTGCAAAGGTTAGCATGGCCAGAGTTGTACTAGAACTGACAAGCTCACATTCCACTCATCCGCCATTGATCCTATTGATGAATTAATAAAATTGTACGGAATATATGATACCCAATGGAGGAAAGGAAATAAAGATTAGGTACTAGTACCTACGTGGGCTTCCAAAATTCAGCCAAAAGGCTAACGCGAAAAGGCTCACCTGGTCTTCAATGTATGTCCCATCGCAGTATTGATAGACACGAACGGCGACAGTATTTTCATCGCTCTCATCAACTGCATCGGTAACGTCAAACTCGGACGGGTTACGTGATCCTTGATGATATCCTATTTCCTTTCCATTGACCCACAGATGGAAAGCAGAGTCCACTCCTTCAAATCTCAACCGGAGCTGGGAGCCCCTGAGACCATCGGGTACCGTGAATCTCCGAACATAGGACCCCGTCTCGTTGTCTTCGAGGGGTACATTGGGTGGGTCTACAGGAATGGGGAAGTTGACGTTGGTGTAATGAGGACCCTTGCCGTAACCATTCAGCTGCCACATGCTGGGCACGGTAATGTCGGCCCATTTTGCGGTATCGAAAGACGGAGCCTCGAACCCTCTTGGAGCTTCAAAGGGGTTTTTAGCAAGGTTGAATTTCCAGGTCCCGGAAAGACAATGCGTGTTGGATTTGGTTATGTCGTACGTCAGGGCATCTTTGATAGAGTTATACACATAGAAGTTTGCCCGCGGCGAAAGGGTTCCCCTGTGAAGTATATCGAGATTGTTCCAGTCGGGCTGGAAAGCTGGATGAACTTTAGTCTGAGACATAGCATTCGGGAAAAAAGCACACAGAATCCAATCTCCAGAATTCAAAACGGGACTTTTTAGTTACCAAGGTATGTATAGAAGCACGGTAAGGTATTTACTTCCTTATAGTACGATACAAATTCTCGGTCGAACCGACAAGATGAGGGGAAACAACAGAAACGGGATAGTCGGGAAGAGATCCGATCTCGCGTATGTGTTGTAGATCAAACTGATGATTAGGCCGGGGCAACCTCCTACATGTTCGTTTCAAAATTAATCACTCTTCTATTGTTTACCTTAATAAGTAGGTAGTGTGTAGGTAGTGGGTGATATTATACTAGTTAAAGGGGAAAGCCAATCATGAATGTAGTGCTTTGGCCTTTGAGATTTTAGGGGTTCTGTGCGGGGAATCAACCTACATGAAGCGAATCATACATATTTCACAGTGACATTCATTTAACAGAAGTGTCAAAATGCACGGGTATGATGAGATCAGAATAGAAAACATATCCACCTGATAAACGTGCACCATCCACGACTTGTTGTATTCGGTTGAAGTTTGTGCCGAGTTGATACACAACAGATAGACCAGCGTGGAATGAATAAATCACACTTGAAAGTATAGAATCCAAGATAACGCGCCTTCAAAGCGACCATCGGGTATGAATACATAACATACATTTACTTTTATAGATTGAGATGGGGGGTATCTAAAGATCCGAAACGATCGGGGGACCGTATGCTCCAAGTCAACCATCGTTAGTCCAAGAGGTACCCAAGTCCATCTAACGGATTCCGAGTATTCGACCATATTGTATTGTACACCTAGAAATTAGTACATAGCATTTTTCCTATAGAGCTTTTGAAGGGCAAGGGGCCTATGCCCCAGAGTAGACGGCTGTCACAAACCGCCCACACTCCACCCGTTGCTCAACGCTAACTTTTCTGCCTGTGCCACCCTCCCCGAGTCTCACTGTCGTACGTGGGGTGATTTGGAATCGATGATGTTCATTACCTCTTCCCTTCTCCGCGTCAGCCTCCCCCCCGTCTAGAGGGTCAATGTAGGTCGGTATGGCAAGGTTGTTCCTTTTCCCCGTCCCCAACTGGTAATGCTCATTACCACCCCAGAATACGATATCCGCACCCCAGTTCGTGTCATTATCGGACGTACTACTCGATACGCCCACCTGAGTGACATTATCCATCACTGCAGCAGTATGTGTGCTACCAACACTCAATCTTGCTAGGCGGATGGGAATGATCGAATTTGTATTCTCGTCCCATTCATAGAGGCCCGATAGAGATTTGATCTTGGAAGGACCAAGTGAGACATGAGTCCACTTGCCCGTACCCAAGCTACCCCAGATGCCAGAGCCACAAGCAAATGTATCGGCTGTTACTCGCCCCAGGTCTTTGACAGCGTCCACATCATCTTTGAATCCAGCAATTCGCTTCGCATCGACAGTGAAGAACGAATTTGCCCCACCAGCAGCAATAGATGTCACACGAGGTTGCTTGCTAGAACCGCTGTATATCTTGTTGAACGGTAACGGGATCGGAGCATCGATGAATGGAATTTGGGGCTCTACCTCGAAGCCGAGTTGGCCAGAGGTATTGTCACCAAAGACAAAGACGCGTCCGTCGCTGTCAAGGGCTAGTGAATGGTAGTCGCCGGCAGCAATCTGTTCGATATTAAATCTCTTCAAGCCGGGGACTTCGTGTGGTTGATCGTACGGTCCTTCCGGTCGTGTCGTCCAGGTTAAACCTGGTATACCCAGCTGACCCTTGGATGGAAAATCAGATGAGCTAGAGGCGGCGGAGAAGAGGCGCCCCTTGGAGGTTAGGAGGAGAACATGCTCTAGACCACCAGAAATATCACTAATTTTCTCACCCCATCCTAGTTCCCGTGGCTTTAGCTCCCGATAGTTAACGGTCTCTGGACTGGACCATAATGAGAACCAGGACGATTTCTGGGACTTCTTGCTAGACGTTTGGTCCCCTGCTGATACTGGGACAGAGTAAACGGATCCACTCTTTCCGAGAGCAATGATGCGATCACGGGATATTTCAATCCTGACGAGATCCTTGCCCTTTAGCGTCTCGGCCGGAGATGGGTTTGCACTCGAGAAAGCCGTACCCCATTGCACGAGATTACCATTTTCGGTTATAGCAGCACCAAAATCACGATCTAACTTCAGATCTCGGAGTAGTTTGCCGTCAAAAAATGGTATCCTCCGCGGGGTTTTCACGACGGGGTCCGTAGAGTCGGGGGCGGCGACTCGTCCAGAGTTAGAGCCCCAAACATAAACACCTGGATTCTCCCAACTCTTCTTCACTTGGATATGCTGGCTGCTTATGATGTCTCGATTATCTTCCTTTGACTCGGGGACTGGGCGAGGCTTTTCATATTCAATTACTGCTTGGGGTGTCTTGGGTGGCTCCTTTGTCTGGTTCGAGTACAATACAACCGCGCCTCCAGCCAGGAGAGCAACTAGAAAGCCACCCAGGAATCTCCCAAGGCCTCCTTTTCTTGCTTCAGGCCCATCACCTCCACTAGATGTACTAGCTAATCTTGCCCATTGGTAATTAGCTGTATTCCTAAGTTGGACGGGGCGACATAGTCGGGACGTCTGGCGCAATGCGAGCCGACGGGCGATCATAGTGAAATGCACGGACGCAACGGATGTGGTTATATTTAAATGGTGATATATTGTAACCAGTTACCCGTTTGGTCATGCAGTTAAGTCATTGTCAACGATATTTTCCCAGCGAATGTATATAAGAGCGCATAGGAGAATAAGTTGAAAGGGTAAAATTGTTAAAATTGTTAAAATTGTTAAAATTGTTAAAATACCGAGCTTAATGTTTGATGTGATTGATGTGTAGAGCAGATGGTGAGGTCATCCAATCAAAGACAAGCTAAAATAATACACTATCGATAAACAGTTTAGTTATAACTACCCCACCTTGGACTCATAGCTGAGATCATGCACCTAGGGAGAGTGTATGTGCTGATTAGTTACATGCCAAGGGTATATGTAGCTAACAGGTACTTTCTGCACTTTATCCAGATTACTACTAGTACTGTAGTATGTATATGAGTAGAGACTCTACTAGGTAGAGAGAGCGGAGGCGAACACAACCTGTACAAGTACAATTCAGAAACACCAGTGACTGCATGATATTATCACGACTGTGATCACTTCCTGATCACAGAGGCCATGGCTCAATATATAGATAAGAGCACAATCCCGCTGAGTCTTTTTTAAATCTCACCCCTTATCCCCGAATAACTACGCATTCGAAAACACGATACTACTAGTATACACATGCTTCGCAGCTAGGTTAGCATGTTGAGCCTTGGCTCCTGTATGAATCTGATACAGTAAGCTTGTGGCAACTAATGGAATTTCTATTGTCAGTGAATTATATTGGTCAACACCATTAAACTGTCATGGCGAAATTGAAATTGAAGTCTTGGTCAGTAGAGAAGATTGATTAAGAGAAGTGCTGATAGAGTATCATTGACCTCCACCCGAGCCAAGGCGTCGAGTAAGGTATAACCTAGGTTAGCCAGTCAGTTAGGGAAAGCAATATGCCTTCGGCTACCTCGTTAAGACAGGCTTCTTCTACCAATCCTTTTGCTGGCAGTAGCTTGCAACCCCCCAACCTCAACGCTCTGAGTGTGTCTTTGACAATTTGGAGCACGCAAGAAGCACGCGATTCATCGTAGCCTTCGTGGTTTCTATTTGAGATATTATCCATGGTTTGCTTTTACCATTGTCGGATATTATAAACATTGCGTCTAATCGTGGCTTTCGCCAATCACAAATATGGCGAAGTATTATCTCAGGGGTTTCATGCAGGGACCTCGATGCAGCTAATACCTACCACAAGGAAGTGAATTAGGAAGCTTCGGGTTTTTTAGTTGAGATTGCTACCTAGACAGATGCTGTCTATCAACTGCCACCATAATCTTCATTAGGTTACTGACTTTCTACTTAGAGCTTGATTGATACCATATGCCTCCATCATCGTAAAATCTGCTTGTTGGGGATCATTACTATAAGTTTAATGTCGGCAGTGATCGCCAATAACGCCTTTAGTAATATGTCTACTACCAGACGTACTTCGGTCATAAGCAACCACCAACTCCGTGAATGGGGCCCTTCTGCCATAGGGCCGGTCTTAAAGTCGTTCACATTAGGTAGCTCGTAAAATATTCCCATTAGGTTAAAATAGTAATCTGGATGCTACACTTGGGAGTCTTTGGAGATAAAATATGTCCCGCGCCAATCAGGCAGTTAGCCTTACTCCCATCCCTCAGCCGTTGCTCACTTACTACTTCCAGACTGCCCTTACAACCATAACGCTGTCTCTTACTATGTCACTAGGTACCATCCAACAAGAAGTTTACTTACAACTTTTTTTCTCAGAGGCAACATGACAATTCCAATACTGAATTGGTCAACACCATCAACTCTCTAGATGAGCATGTGAGAGTTGCTGGGATGAGTTATCAAATCAGCAATGGGAGTTCGCGAGAAAATGCTTGCCCCATGGGGGACAACATATGCCATGCCGTCTTGAAATGTATATAAGGAAGCATAGTTCGTGTGGTTTTCAAAAACGAATCATCACCAGCTCAAATCAACTCGGATCAACACAGCCTCCAGCCTTAGAAACACTTGCCCATACTACCAACCTAGTCAATCAACATGTTTTTCTCCAAGAACATCGGCATGCTGCTTGCCAGCGCAGCCTTCTCAGATGCTGCCCCTTACTACAACTGGAAGCAGGTGGGCGTGCCCGTGCTGGGAAACGCGCCTTACCCCAACACCACCATTGCGGGTTTGACTGTCATCGACACCCCCATCGTCCGCGCCGCACGCGAGTTCACCCGTGCCCACGCCGACGACGCCACCTACAAGCACCAGGTGCGCTCCTGGCTCTTCGGATCCCAGATCATCGCCAACAACGAGACCCTCAAGAACACCATCGACATCGAGGTGCAGGCCGTGGCCGCGATCCTGCACGACCTCGGCTGGGACCAGACGCCGGGCTCCGACGTCATCACCCCGGACCACCGCTTCGAGGTGGACGGCGCCATCGCCTCGAGGAAGTTCATCGAGGACTTCGGCGACGACAACTGGGACCCGCGGCGCACGCAGCTCGTGTTCGACGCCATCGCGCTGCACACGACCCGCACGATCGGCTACTACAAGGAGCCCGAGGTGCGCATGACCAGCCTGGGCATCTCGGTCGACTACGACGGCCCGAAGGAGGGCGTCACGCCCGAGGTGTACGCCGCCATCCTCGCCGAGTTCCCCAACGACGACCTCGTCAAGGCCACCAACGAGACCTTCACCTGGGTCTGCGCCACCAAGCCCGACATCACCTACGGTAAGACATGCACACCTACACTACACTACCTACTACCTACCTACTGATCGAAGCCACACTTTATACTAACAAAATCGTACTCGCAGACACCCAGATCCAGGCGTGGGGTGACCGCTTCCTGCCCAACTACACCACCCAGGGCAACCTGAGAATCGACCACATCTTCGAGTACCTCCTATCCGACCGCAGCCCGACCAAGCAGCAGCTATAAGTACCTAAACAGCACCGGGGCCTTTTTGTATATAGACCACAGAAACTTTCCAATGGGTAGTGGAAGTATGTAGATACATGGATGTATGTGTGTGTGCGAAAGAGAATGTGTGTTTTTTTTTTTTTTTGGCAGGTGGTAGGCGCGCGTGTTGCTGTTGGCTGATTAAAGTTGCGGGCTGGTGAGCGAATGAGTGGTGTGTGGAAAAAGGGGGTGCGTGGGAAACAAGTATATAGCAGTTAGTTCGGGACGTTCGCTATTACGTCTACAGCATCTTGTGCTGTGGTCATTTAGTCAATACACGTTTCTCCTCTTTTTTTTTTTAGTTTGGGTTCTCTCTGCTCGACGATTCACAATTTAGTAAGTACTTAACTTAGGTACTTTTAGTTCTTGATTGTAGAAAGGGGTAAGAATAGATGTCTAGAGAAGACTTCTTGGGAGAGCCTCTCATTACTGAAGTAGCAAAGTGCACTTAGGTCGCAGCCATCCTTCAATTCTGATGTAGTAAAGTTGCAATAGGAGCTTTCTGCGAGCGTTATATTTTGTATATTGACCTAGGTTAGAATGTATTCTAGATCTGCCTAGGCACATATGTCTCATCCTACCAACCGTTGACTTACAGACGCCTGGACTCTAACAGGGGTTGGCAAGATCAGTGTGAGCTTGCTCGATTCTTGTTCTCCTTGTTGTATAACTCTCACCTACCTACCTAGTTACTAGCTTACCTACAAGCCAGCCTTTCAAAGCCTTTAGATATTGATGCGTTGCCGCAAAAAATAAGCCACTGAGTACTTGGATCATAAACCTCTTTGAATGAGGTTGTCATTGTTTAATGGTAGAGTGGTGGTCGACGTGCGAATTGAGTTATATCAGGGAATCACGAAGCTTCGATATATGGACCTAGGCGAAGACATTTCGATTTCATCGCGATACTCCTTTTATACAAATGTAATGACTTCATGATTGTCTCAAAAAGCCTACATAAGTTAGGCTAGTACGTTGCTGTGCGTGGGGTAGAGGCGATTGAGCTTCCCCCTCGTCATCTTTAAAGTCTCCCGTAATATCTGTATCGAGTTTCAGTTAGGTCTCTATGTACTAGGTAGGCAAGGTGAATCGTATTGCCCCTGAAGCTCTCAGAAAGGCTACAAGAAGTGTATAGAAAAGGGGGGAGGCTGGTGAAGCAGGATGATAAAGCTGAAATGATGCTATCATAATTTGCAGGTAACAATTATGGTCTATGGTTACCTAAACACCGATTTTAGTCACGACGTACAAGCCTCTACGTTCGAAGGGGGGACAAACAGCCCGAGTTGCCACAAAAGTCGATGATCGGAGCAATTCCACCAGGGTCCAAAATTGTGAACAGTTACTCGGTTGTCTCGCCTACGCTAAATTGCTACCTTCCAGGGCTTCGATGATCGGCTCCCAAATATCGTTAGTGGAGTTGTGACATTCAACTTGGACATTGACTAACTAGATATCGGCTTGAAGTGGCAAAACTCCGGGGGGTAAGATGTTGTATTTGCAATGGCGGTTGTTCCTGGCGCGATAGAGATTTGTAGATCACCACATGTAAATTGAGGGGCAGAAGGGGTCAGGAATAAGGATTCCTAAGTTCGCCACCGACTCATATTCAGGGTTCTGTTGTCTGTCGAAGAGGCTGAAAGGTTGAGTATTGTGGATAACAATGGCCAAAACAGCTAAATGTAGGTATATGCACCTAAGCACCCCAAGGCAGTATGTGGGTGGTGATATTCATCGTTTTCGAATAATCATTTGTGGGGTGTTGAAAATTTAACAAAATGTCAATCAAGCGAATTAGATCAATGCGACCGTCGCAAGCAAACAGATTGCGTCGAAAATGCATCATACTATGGTACATAGTAGAGAGACTTCGATGCCGGCACCCACGAATGCTGACATTGCTGAGATTGACCTTGTTACCCCTTACTTGAAAGAAAACGGTCCCCATTACTTTCTGCATACCGAACTCCAGAATTCTCATCGTCGATGAGTTTTGGTAATATCACAAAGTCTTGCCAGGGTCCCCCTCCCCTTTAATTCAATCGGGACGGGACTTACAAACGCCTCAGCAAACGGTGAGAGTAACGGATCGCATCGTGATTACATTGTGTTATCAGCTGACGACAGCTGAATCGTCATTGTGATCAATTTAAGACTGACTTATTAATGTAGGCTGGGTAGATGGGTAGATGGGTAGCTGCTTAGGTAGGTGCCCTAGGTATGTAAAGATAGATAGGGGTGGGTTTGCCGGAACCGTTGAGTTTTGATTATTAAGTGAAATAAAAAGTTGAATCGCGATGGCAGACGATGAATTTCGATGGATACGTGGAAATCTACGATCCGGGCGAGGTCACCAGACCACTATCACCCTTTATAATTGTACCCCCTAGGGTTGTTAGATTGACGCTTGCCCGTTCTTGTAGATTATCGTACGACAATTGAACATGTGGGGCAAACCGTTGTTACGTTTCGACTGCGTATTTAAAGTATTAGAGACTGTAGAATCTCGATATTAGACTCCAAGGTTGGCTTGAAATAATGTAAAAAAATTATCTATTGTGTTCTGTTATTCATACATATAGAAATATCTAGTCTATGGCCTAGTACCTATATATATCAAGTCAACTTGCATGGTATGATATCATGTAGATACTTGGCAGTACAAAATGATACAAGAAAGCTGGAAATTCATGGATACATGGTCTGGGCCCAAACCGAACTAGGGTTAGCTTGGACCCTTAAGGCTTATTGAAGATCGATTTTACCCAGCTTACACCGATCCATAGCTTCTTCGATTCTGCTAGAGATCTGGAAGCACTGCATCGCATCGGCGGCGAAGCCAGCAATTGCCCTTTATAGATTTTTAGAAGGTGGTTTCCGCTACCATACCTAAGGGTAAGAATGGCAACAATCTCCTCCTTCTTACTTTTTCATCTTCACATCCTGAATCTTTACATCCAAGATTCTTAGATATCTGTTTATGCACCTGCAACTTAACGTTATTTCCAATTTGCTGTTTCTAAATTTGTTGATCGGAACCGTTTTCCATTTTTCGTCCTTGCGAATTGAAGCCATTCGCATTAACTCACATCACCCCTACTCTGAACAAACAGAAAAACAAACAAACAACAAATTTGACACAGATTTAACCACCACTATTTCAAATTCATAATCAATTTCTCGTTTATTTTACAATCCTAAAAATATATCACGTTTGTGGACAGTGTTTTAAAAAGAACCAAGAAAAAAATAACGTCCACTACCACACACTTGACAGCGATCTGTTGGACCCTCCATTAGCCTGGCCAATCTTGTCAAAGAAGTACCTCCAGCTATTAATACGAATCAGGCCAGGTTACTACCTACAGCAGATCAAGGGTATTGTAGTGTAGAAAGGCTTTTTTCCCCTGTAGGTATGACGTTACATTATCGACATTCACGAGCCCAACCCCTTTTCGGCTACGATACCCCGAATGCACCTCAACCTCACCACGCAGCAGACATGTTGTTTCTATGGTTTTCTCGCACACTCCTCTTCTCATTCCTATCGAACCATTTTCTTCAACTCATACATATGCGCCTACACCTTCATATATGCAAGCAGCCACAGTGCGCTTTCATATACCTCTGAAATATCATCAATCAACTTCTCTATTCTTCATTTCTAGTGTTTCTGTTATTTCTATAAATCTTCAATTCGGACTTAACTCGATTTTGCTTGCCCCGCTAACTCAAGCTTAAGCGCTTTCACCTACCACAAATACTATGCTATGAATTGAACTTTTATCCTCGTCCCGCATTACTACCAAGTATACGAAAGGTATTAGCCAATGCGAGTTTCATCATGCCCGACCCAAAGAATATGCCAGCAGGCTCCGAGCCTCCGCCGAATGTTACTTTCACGAATCCGCGACGGACCACGGCTGAAAATTCTATAACTTTACGACACCACCACTTAGCGAGAGCCACAGCCGCTTCAGCCGCTCAACGTATTCCCGTCAAGTCGCCCCGAAGAAACTCATCCGGCGATAGCAACGAAACTGGTTTGAGTGACCCGATGAATTGGTTCGACGACTCAAACAAGAATGCTAAGGGCAACGTGGACATCCACTCTGCCGACCCACCATTCTACCAAAAAGAGACGGATGATTCTAACGAGGAAATGGCCAAATATGGATTCTCATCACAAAGTCCAACGTTCAAATTCCGTACACCAGGTGGTCGTCCTGGAATTGCTCACAGCAGCAGCGCCGAGGGTAGGTCCACAACATAAAAAACGGCTAGGAAGCTAGACTCACCCCGATCATTAATATGATAGCGCTCGGCTAACTGGGGCTTTATCGCAGATTATCGGTCTGTTATTGATGACCTGACCATTGAGAATAAACGTTTGAAGGAACAATTGAGAAAGTACAAGCAAATCGGCCCCGATTCTTTACGACAGGACAAATTGTTCGAAGTCAAAGTCCATGGCCTATCCAGTAGGAAAAAACGTGAGCTGGAGGCTACGCTACGAGATTTTACAACAAGTCTCGAAGGCTCGAGTACCGGAGCCTCTCCGAGTCGGAAGAAGACATCAAGTAAATCCAAAAACATACATTCGTCGGTATCCAAGCATGCATCATCGTCGTCAGGGTCTAATTCAAGGCCCATTGATTCAGCATACGCTTCTATGTCAACCGGGGCAAGTTTGTCCGCCCCGTTACTACCCGGGCAGGCAAAGGCTGCGCGACAACGATCAGAGCAGAAGATTCAGAGCTATCTACGAGACATACCCGAGGGTCTATGGCAACGACCTGCAGTCATGACGGAGAAGGACAAGAAGAAACTCGTAGTCAAGCGACTCGAACATCTTTTCACGGGCAAGATGGGTGACCTCGCTGAGCATGTGTCATTACCTTCAATGCCCTCCCCTATCATTGAGGATGTCCAGATGGAAGGGTTCGATGGTGGAGTTACGCCTGCCGTAATCCCTAGCGAGGCCATAAGAGAGGCCCCAATTCGACCGCAAACCCTAGGGCGGAAGGAGAGCTGTTTACGCGACAACGGTTCCGCGTCAAACTCTCATTCACATTCGCACTCATACTCGAATGGTGACCAAACCGATCCCAGGGATAACGGCAACGGTAGCGGCAGTGGTGGTGGAGGGCATACAGGCGGCGGCGGAGCAAGCGGTAACAACTTGTCACCGCACGTGTCCATGCCGCCTCCGGAGCAACGTCCGACACGGCCACGCGACTTGGACCCTGATCGCAAACAGGTGCCATCAGAAAACATGGATTACATACGTCATTTAGGGCTTGTAGCACCCGAATCTCACAAACAATACTCCGCACGGGATGTATCGCCAGATGCGGAAGGTTGGGTGTATCTCAACCTGTTATGTAATTTGGCACAGCTGCATATCCTTAATGTGACCCCCGCGTTTATTCGCAATGCGGTGTCGGAAAAGAGTACCAAATTTCAGTTGTCGCTGGATGGACGAAAAATCCGTTGGCGAGGTGGAGTAGAAGGTACAAGATTTAGTAGCGACAGTGGGAGCAATTCACAGCGCCAATCAGGTGACGACACGGACGGGTCAAACGATCAAGAGCAACGAAAAAAACAAAAGACGCAGACGCAGACGCAGATGCAAACGCAAGGATTTGGAAATACTGTCACAGCATGCAAACCATCAAAATTCGGGTTGGGCGTGCACGATTCGAATTCCTCGGAAAGTTTTCACTATAAACCGTTATTTGTGCACCATCAGACGTCGTCCTCGGATGAACAACCATCAGGCGGGGATGAGACGGGCTCTTCGTATGGACCACCTGAAGAAAGTAACCTGGGGTTGAATAACTCACGATGGGGACAAAGCGGTGTGTCGAGGGTCTCACAGCGTAAGCGCCGTCGCGACGGTGCAATCATTTATTATAGCGGGGCACCATTCTGCACGGACCTTTCTGGAGATTTTGGTGGTGGGGAAGTTTCTCCCGCAACTCACGATATGACGTCATCGGGAGACCAGGGTCCTATCAGCCTCGATATCCACCGCCCGCAATTCCGCCCGCAATTCAGCCGCTCCACGTCAGGATCATCACTTCCTTATAGGCCATTTAGCATTCTCCACACCAGAGACACGTTGATGGATCTCGATGATTCTGACCCACCAGAATTGATCGTAGGTGAGACTGAAGATGATATCGATGCCGAATTTCCATGGTCAGATAGGCAACAGCAACAACGTCGTGCTCCGTTGTTGAACCTTGAGGCTAGTGGCTTAGGGGGGGTGTCTCCTGAAGACCACTTCGTTGTGGCTGTGTTAACACGACGACCAAAAAGCCTGAAAACTGATTTCAACAATAGCTCCAAGCATGATGATGATAATGATGATGATGATCACGATGATAATATCCAAACGATGCGGCCAAGAGAACTCGAGCGCTTGAGTCGAGATACGACGGATTCTAAAGCTGCAACAGAAACAATTATTCACAAGTTGGCTACTATGACAACCGAGTCGCCTCTACCACTATACATGCCTGATGTTAGTGCACACCCAGTACAGATCGAATATATCACGAGCAGGACTCGTCATCTTCCCCCTGTACCTCTCCCTCCACCAACCTTCTACTTCCCCGCCTCCGACTCCGATCTCGATGACGAAGATGATGATAGTGGCGAAGATGCTTCTTCAGAAAGTCTGATGAGTCGCCGTGCTATTCTCGAGGATGATCCAAGCTCGGATGTTGACCTCTCTGGGAATGATGAGGAAGACGAGCATTCCGACGACGTTCACATCTACGATGATGGTAATGACAATATCTCGCCCGCAAATGCGAAGGTGTCTGGTATCAGCAATCTTGAACCAGGTCATGACGCTTTGGGTCTGTCCAAGGTTATTACTGGAAGTTCGGTGGCAACGGCGGGCGGGGCTGCCAGTGGTTATAATAGTAGTGTGGAGGAATTGTGAGATGTTGTAAATCTTGCCAGTGTGCCGTCGATGCTTCTCTCCTTTCCGAAAAGATAATATCTATTCAAAAGGAGAGTTATCAGGGTTATACTAGCCAGGGCTGTTATGATGATTGTACTTTTTGAACAGGCGCAAAAGCGAGCTAGGGTTTGCCTCTTTTTTTTTTTTTGCTTTTACATGATATCAACATACAGGGTGGTTTTTGGAGGATACCTACTTAGGTGTATATACTGGAATGACATGAAGTTCAACGAAAAGCCCATCTATATAGGGAGTTGGGGGAGCATATTAGCACCTAAGCATAGCGATGCGGGAGTCTTTGAAATGAGACGGTGAAATTTTAAGAAATTTACCTCCAACACATATCAGCAACAAGCTCAACTCATGTTCAGTCGGAATACCCGAAACAGTGTGTGCTAATTATCTAGGTACCTACGTGCCTATTCATTGACATATGGGATATTCGCCGGTTGGGTGATCTTGAGTTATACACCTTATTCACGTGTACAAGATATCGATTGGTAGACTTGGTGGCTATGGCAATTCAGTGCTGACGAGATACTTGGCATGAGTGATCGGCCGCATGCGGATACCAGGTAATTCTGCTCCACATGACATGACGCGGAATAAGAATGTCAAGATAAAGTTAAGACACCAACGTCGACTTTACGAATTACGCCAACTTCCTAAGCCAATATCCACATGCTTAGCTCAGTTGTAGGTAAATATAGGGATTTATTTACATATGGTAGGGCTGAGACAGGCTGAACGAATTGCCTTACATACAAGTACTATCTATCAACTATGTAGGTGGTAAGTACTAGTTAGTATGTAGTTACCTATGTATAAAAGGGGCTGCGTATAAGGAAGGATCTGCACCACACGGGATGTAACGCAGATACGGCGTATTCTTCTATTCGCCAAATGCCGTAACCTATATAAGTCAGCACAGTAATACGTCCCTGATTGGATCTTTACCTACTCGCCAGCCAATCAAATCAGATCGAATGCGCCGTAAAGAGCAACAGCTTTACCTAAAGAGACGACTTACCCTTTTTCAGCTCTTTGTTGCTTTTCAGTTGGGTACTAGGTACTGACCTAAGCAAATGAGGCTGTAATACAATGCGATGCAGCACCGTTGTTGTACGCCTAGTAGGTAGGTATGTATGATGTATAGGACTCGGCGGTATATCGTCTCGAGTATAAAGCATGTCTAAAGCCTCTACAATGAGTGCAGGCAGATCTTGCACTACCTACCTTCCTATTCATAGACAGTGACCGGTGACTTATCGAACATGTTACCTCGCAACAGACTCACTTCAGTCCTCCTCACACTCGCGATTCAAGCCAGTGCAGCAAGCATCCGTCAGACTTATAACACGACGGAACTTCAATGGGGCCCTTGCCAGCTGAACACCACGCTCCTAGTGCAATGCGCGAAGCTGCTCGTCCCGCTCGACTATACCGACAAGATTGGCAATCGGACACTTAGTCTGGATGTTATCAAGTACCCAGCCCAGAAAGAACCGAAACGAGGGAGCATCATCCTCAACTTCGGTGGTCCGGGACAGGATGGCCTTAATAGCATGTTGAGCTATGCGCCTATCATGGGGCCGTAAGTCGCAACGTCTTTGGGAGACTACTTTGTCTCTTCGTTCCTCTTTGTCTTTTCGTCCTTGATCTCTGAAGAGTATCGTTAAGTACCTAGCTAACCATCATATCATCTAGGGTAACTGGAGGCTACCATGATCTCATCAGTTTCGACCCCAGGTAAGAACCCCGTCGACCTTAACAAGTTTACCACGATTCTAATACTGCAGAAAAGGGGTACTGGCAACACTCTCCGTTTCTCCTGCTGGCCCGACGACCCTACCAACTACTATGCCGTACTTGGAAGCAAAATGGCCGGATCAGCAGACTCGGCTATAGGCACCATCTGGGCGGAGGGCCAGATAATCGCCGACAAGTGCTATAGCCAGCTAGGGGAGACGGGCGAGCTGGTCGGAATGGCGTTTGCGGCGAGGGATATCATGTCCATTGTTGACGCCCTCGGCGAAGATGGCTTGCTTCGATATTGGGGTAAGCTTGTGTTCTCCCGATCTCATACTTACTTTGTGTTAGACACCTTTTGTTTGTGGCACTTGGCTAACCTTTTGATCCCAGGTATCTCAGGGGGTACTACCATGGGAGCCACAGTCGCCGCCATGTTCCCTGACCGGGTCGATAAAATCGTGCTAGATGGCGTTATGAACGCCCATCAGTACTATAACTCCTAGTACGCATCTCTCCTTACACACTTACAAGCGCCTCTTAATATCTCAAAACTAACACATACCCACCTCTCCCCCAACAGCGGCGAACCAGAGATGACCGCTTCCACCGACGCAACCTGGGAGGCCTTCATGCGGGGCTGCATCGCGAACCCATCCAACTGCGCCCTAGCTCACAACCGCACATACGCCTCGCTCGAGGCCACCATGTGGGACCTCCTCACCACCATCCGCAACAGCCCGCCCGTCTTCGCAGGCACCTACGTGCTCGACTACTCGACCTTCAAGAGCTTCCTCTTCAACTCCCTGTACTCGCCCTCCCACTGGCCCTCTGTCGCCCTCGCCCTCGACGACCTCCTCAACGGCAACCTCACGACGCTCGCCACGCTCATCCTCGGCGGCGGCGGGATCCCGCAGCAGGACCAGGCGATCCTCGGCATCCGGTGCGGCGACAAAGCGCTCCGCACAGACGTGCTAGCGGACCTGGAGCCCGATTTTGCGGCGTACAAGAGCGAGAGTGGCTGGTTCTGGGATTGGGCGTGGGGCGCGTACGTGCTGCCGTGCGCGCAGTGGCGGACGCGGGCGCGCGAGCGGTACGAGGGCGGGTTCTGGGGCGTGAGGACGCGGAACCCGGTTTTGTTCGTGGGGAACACGTACGATCCCGTCACGCCGATCGTGTCGGCGAGGAATATGAGCGCGGGCTTTGAGGGCAGCGTGCTGCTGACGCATGATGCGTGTGGGGTGAGTTGGTCCCCGGTTCCCCTATTCACCTATCCCCGCCTCCATTACCCCTTCCCCCCCCTTTTTTTTTTCTTTCGTGTGCCCGCTTTGTGTTATCTATACTTTATACTCCAGTGACTACATGCTGATTTTGAAATGATGTAGCACACGAGTATACCACAGCCGTCGAACTGTACAAACGAGGCTATTCAACGTTACTTTCTCGAGGGCACGATGCCCGCGCCCGACACCAAGTGTCACCCTAATGTGCCGGTTTTTGACCCTAAATTATGAATAGTCTAAGGTTTAATAGATTAGTTTGCGGTGGCGGTCGTTTGATCACGTACGGCGTATTGGTTTTGGACATAGTTTGTGTGGTTACGAGGGGCTGTCTGTTTTATCATACATATGAATGTACTCCAGGGCTATGTAGGTATGTAGTATTTACATGTACGTGTATACCTACCAATAGTGCAATACATACATCTAGCAGTAGCAACCTGGGCACTTATAAGATAAGAAGTTGGGATAAATATAAAGAAGTTGGTATTTCACGCCAGCTCATCTTAGAATTTACATATATGCCTACCTAGTAGGTAAACTCTTCATATTGTGTCCTATTCATTACATACCATCTGCTTCAAGACTACCCTAGGTATATTGCTATATTATATTTGAAGCATGCTTTGAGGCACAGCGCAATAGATTCAAATCTACTCGACCAATCGAATTATAATGACTCAGGTAGTCCTGCAACGCCCCCAAATTCCTAGATTCAAGCAACATTCTACGCTTTCAAATTTCGTGAGAGCACTTTTACGATCCGTCCCGATAGTTCATTGATCGATTGGATGCGATGAAGCCATGCCATGGGGAGTTAGCGTGCACGTTATATCCATGTCTCCAGACATTTACAGCATCGGTCACCAACAGCAAGCTGTTGGCGGAGCTCGTGCAAAGTAGCCTGATGCTTCCGAAACTCGGTGGCCGAGACGAGTTATCTATTGATCGAGAAGATTGGATACTTGTGCATACACAATCAGACCGCGTTGGGGTATAATCGCCGTGTCGGATAAATGGGTACGGAATACACGATATCGAACATGTCTGAGATAGCTATTCCCACGACCAATCTTCTTCTCTATGATCCATACCGAGGAAATGATGACTCCACAAGTGCAATCATAAATTTGACTGCTCCCGAAGCTTGCATATATCGTGCCGAGGGGCAATTCGTCTTCTCTGTCAGCGACGCCCTCAGCAGACTCCTGAGTAACAAGTGCATTGTGGACTTACCATCATACAGCGGTCTAATGTGTGATGACGGCACCGCAGGCCTTATAAATTGTATGCAAAATCTGTACATAACGGCGGGAATGCTACTTTCGAGTCCATTGACGGCTACTTTTCTGGTGCTATGACAGCATTGACGAACCAGTATCGCACAAGATTCGGGAGTCAAACCTATTTCGGCAATGGCGTACTACCCTACAAAGATAGATTCGACCTCAAGCAAGACGGCCTTATGGAGAACAAGGCATATATATAGGCTATGGTCATGGTCAGGGTTCAGAGGTCGCGATCACCGAGGAGGAGGTGGGAGGAAAGCTGCTGGAGGCCCAGGAAATGGAGAAGATCAGCAATCAAATCCTCGTGACCTTCAACTGGTCCCAAACTGTCGACGAACCATCGGGGGCTGAGGAAAACATACAAACTAGAAAGTCGAAAGCAGCGAGAGGTGCAATACAATCATGGAACCAATGGTGGCTTAGACGGAGGAAGGATTGGCAACTCGATAGAGACTCGTCACATGAGGGGTGATCTGGTAATGCCTAGGGGTAGTAGGGCTCGTGAACTTGTTCTTTCATACTAGTAGAGAATAAATCCCAACTACGTACTAGGTACCTACATAGTTGAATGAGGCACTACCAGACTAGGCTTAGGCACCTAAGTATCTAGATTCTAGTCAGGTGATGACTATAATGGTAACTATTAGGTGATGCACAACACATCCATGGATGTCCTCACTCAACGACAACCTATCAGTAGGATAACCACTTATCGACTTCCTCCACGATACAATACGTTTTCCCATTCCACGTATGATCAGCTCCCTCGACCCTTACTTGGGTGAGCACTTTCCGAGCATTCTTACTGCCGAGAATCCCGGTCCACATGTCATAGAACAGCACGGCCTCCAGCTGGCCGGTGATGGTGATCACGGCTGCGACCTCGGGCTCCGCGCCGTGGAACTCGGAGGGCAGGTTCTCCCAGCCATGGCCCTGCACCAGGGCTTCGAGAGAGCGGAAGTGGGAGCCGGATTTAAATAGCCCTATCAGGGGGTTCAGGTCTACGGGGTAGGAGATGAAGATGTAGTACGCGGGGGCGAACTGGTAGAATGACGGGAGCGGGCGGGCGCAGCCGGCGTAGATGGCTCCGGCCGAGTAGCCCTTAGGTTGGATTGCTGTCAGCTTTCGCTATAGGTAGATAGGTAGGTACTGAATATTGGGTAGATGGAGAATAAATGTGGAAGACCATACACATATAAACAGCTGCGCCCCTTTCTTAAGAGGGAAATCTCGTGTGAAGTTGGTCATGGACTCACGAAGCATACGCTGGAAGATGCGAAGGTTTTTTTTTTTCGGTTAGCCAGCTTATACCCTCAACCATCTATCATATGTGGGTAGGCAGGTAGGTATACGTTGTAATCGTTAATCCCGGCATCTCCCACCCACACGCCGAAATCGTTCCACTCGGACTGGCCCCCACTATTGCCGACGCCACGGTTATTCCAAGTCACCACTCTCAGCCGTCTCTTGTCTCTGAGATACTCGGCGAGCAGACGGATGGGCGGCTGGTCGTAGCTGCCGCCTAGCCGGCCGTGGCTTAGCAGAGCGAGGCCTTGGGGATCTCCGTTGGGGGGGTCTTCTACTCTGGTTTCGAGGTACACGGCCTCGTGGGAAGTGTTCTGGCCCATGGCTGGTTACTCTAAGGTAGGTTATGTGGTAGTTCTTATACTAATCAAAGGGATATGAAAGATTTATTGTTGATAATAAAAAGTTGGGAGGGAAGTTGAGTTGATGGTGACATGTATGTCTTTCCTTTCACGGCCCTTTTTAACTTACACTGGCGCAGATGAGGGGTCTGCATGGTGAAGATATAAAAATGAGCAGTCATATATTCTAATAGGCAGTTATCACAGTGAAAGATGAAATTGGGGTTGATACAACTTATACTGAGTCTCCAGATGTCTGTTATCTCTCCTTGCTGCAAGCAATCGGATACAGTAAAAGTATACGACAATACTGTGCATATATACTGGTTATCCACAATAATATGCATTTTATACATTTACTAGGTAAATTCCAATATCGAGTGTGTCCCCTCCTTCACCTTAAGCCTCCCCCGCCTTTGATGGTCCATGCTCCCTGAACTTATTTTTCCTGTCGCACGCAGACGCAGCTCATTAAACTAAAAACATCCATCAAACATTACATTGAACACTAAAAAAATACCAAGCACATGACACTTTATCATTGTTAACTTTTATTTAAGCGTTGTTCAACAATAATGCTTCAAGTGGTAGCAACCGATACCCACAACAATGTCAGCTAAAGGCAAAGAGCCAGCTGCCCAGTATGCAACATTTCTTATTACCCAAACTACCTATCTAAGTACTTACCTAGGTATGTATATACGGCAAGTTGCTAACCTGGTTGATTTTCATTTACTTAGAAAGGATGCTGCCCCCACGAACCCTAGAGGCATCCCCTATGCGCCCTTCGTCGACAAGGTAGAGGACTACATCACATCCAGGGAAGATGTCCAATCCACGCTTCGGAGCTTCCAGGAAATGATCTCGTACGTCGACGCACACGCTACTAGTTCGAGCGATGGGAAATCCTAGCCACCGGAGATGATGATGCTCCTGAGGCGCTTGCAACTTCTACGTCAGACAGACAGTCACTGACGCCGGAACTCGTGCTTAGAAAATACCAATTCATGGAATTGAACCTTCAGAGGAGAGTAGCGGGGCTCAAGGACAAGATGCCCGATATTCAAAAGACTCTCGAGACAGTCAGGTTTCTCAAGACACGGACGGTATGCTCCATTCACAATAGACCTGGAGATCTGCAGTTGCGAAAAACATGAGGTTGACCCTAATCGTCGATATAGGAGGAATCGGACCCGATCGAGACGACCTTCGAGCTAAACGATACCTTATACGCGAAGGCGTCGATACCGCCTACCGATGAAGTTTACCTATGGCTGGGCGTACGTTGAAAGACATTTGAGTTATGGTCGAGGCACGTAAGGAGTATGGGCTAACGAGAATATTTTCGACGCAGGCGAATGTCATGTTGTCATATCCCATCGACGAAGCAGAGTCGCTTCTCACGGGAAAGCTATCAGCCGCGAAGCAAAGCTTTGCTAACTGTGAGGAAGACCTGGAATTCCTCAGAGAACAGATCACGGTAAGCGGCTGCTGAATTGCAAATTCGTTCTAGGCGTACCGTCCCTTGTTCGAGCTGACAGCTAACCTTTTTATTAGACTATGGAGGTCGCCATAGCACGTGTGTATAATTGGGATATTGTCCAGAAGAGAAAAGAGAAGGCCGACGAGGAAAGCAAAGGAAAGGGGGCTGAAGACGGCGAGCAACCTAAAGGATGAAGTATTACGCAGTCAACAACTTGCCCACCTACCAAGTAGGTAGATAAATAGATATCTGCGGCTCGTTTGTATGAGTTGTTTGTGTCGGTATCGTCTTTCTACCTGATGAGGCTTTCCAAGCCATCTGACAATACCCTATGGGCTATCTTAGTACGGTGAATTCAAAGAATAAGCCAATAGAGAAGGTCACGAGTTGCATGTGGATTGAACTCGGTCCCATGTCTGCAGCATCCGAGCAATGATGACGCAATGTTTAAGGGCTGTGCGCAGAAAATAGGCTACCTCTTAATTACCTCTTAATTACCTCTTAATTACCTCTTAATTACCTCTTATGAAGTTGAATAAGAAGAATAGGGATTTATTACTCATATTATTACTCATAAAAGTATTAATCTTTATCCACTGCCTAAGTCTCTTATGTAATTGAGCAGGTATTTATGTAGTAGTTTTTATTCGTTTTTATTTATTCGTTTTTATTCAAGTGAAATGGACATCTTCAAATACATCAATGATATTGTAGCAATGTGCAGCATAGCCAAGGGACCCCTGAATTATAAAAGTTGGCAGCAGACTGATTAAAGTTTGGGTCCCCCAGATCTCACCGCTGCGCACCAATGACAGGCGTCCCACTCGGAACATGCTTGCAAGCCAATAGCAGCTAGCTAATACCATTAGATACCATTGGATACCCTAGGTAGTAGGTACAATACGGCGTACATATGTAGTACATAATGTACAATACATTGGATCCCAGGTAGGTACGTAACCTTGAATGCGGCCAATTTTATTATTATAGACGGTATCATTTATCATCATTATCCATGGATTATTTCATACCGATGCGCATATCTTCAAATTTTGCAATCAATATTCTACTAGCGAAGTAGCCACCCCGACTTTTTCACCTTTTTTCACTTGCCCGCTTTGCTTTGCTAGGACAACAAGCCAACATTTGAACTTATCCACTTCATTTACCGACCTACCTAACTCTCTACTACTTTTCTCCTATCTACAACTTCTACCACTTCTACACCTCTTTTTTCTTACTTTCTTAGCTCCTAGGCCCAAAAACATATCCTACAGAGTAACTACTAAGGTACCTAACACATACATTCCACATACATTCCACGTACATTCCATCACTTCTTCCATCTAATACAATTACTAACTGATATACTGGATACTTGTATAGGAACTTGACAGTACCACCTAGTTGCCACCTATCTAGAAACCCCTACTCTCACCTGCTCGATTTCTCCTCGAAATCGACGCAAAGCATCTCTATCCACCATGGCCATGAAGCTAGATGAAAAGTACGATCACTATGATTACCCTACCACAGCTCCTGTGGCTAGGCCCGGTCACCCAGGCCACTTGACCAAGGACCAGGAGGCGCAAGTTCACCAGCTACGCATGCTGCTTGAGAGCGAAGGTTACACCAAGAGACTGGACACTCTAACGCTGGTATGTATCCAATAGATAAAGTTCTACTCTCGAAAAGAAATAAAAAAAAAGAAGAGAAGGACAAAAAGAAGGGGGAAAGGTGGAATGTCAGTGGATATGAAGAATTGGACACTGTTAACGCTTACCTTTTGGTAATCAATAGTTGCGTTTCCTCCGAGCCCGAAAGTTCGACGTCAACCTATCCAAGAAAATGTGAGCATCCCGAGCAAGGGTTGGGGAGAAGTTGAAGGAAAAAGAAATGTTGAGGACTGATTGACTAACTACTGGCAAATCAGGTTCGTCGACTGTGAAAAGTGGAGGAAGACTATCCTGTACGCTGGACAGCCCCTGAAGCTCGACGGCCGAATCATCAGCCTCGACGATGAAGTGAACCAGTGGGACAAGGATGGCTCCTTCAAGAAGAAGGTGTCCAAGTGGTACCCTCAATACTACCACAAGACGGATAAGGTATGAAGAGTATTTCCTTTTTTTTTCGTTTATTCTACAGATCTCCGTACTGACATGTGTTCCTAGGATGGACGACCCGTCTATATCGAACAGCTCGGCAAGATCGATATTCCTGCCATGAAGAACGAAGGCGTCGACTACGAACACATGTTGACCAACTTGGCCGTCGAGTACGAAAAGATGGCGGACCCAAGGCTGCCAGCCTGCTCGCGCAAGGCCGGTCACCTCCTCGAGACGTCTTGCACCATCATGGACTTCAACGGTGTCGGTTTCGGTAACGCGCGCCAGGTATTCGGGTACATTCAGGAGGCTTCTGGCATGAGCCAAAACTACTACCCCGAGCGTCTCGGTCGTATGTATCTGATCAACACCAACTGGCTGTTCACCGGTGTTTGGCGCATGGTTCGCCCTCTACTTGACCCTGTCACGGTGGAGAAGATTCACGTCCTCGGCGGCAACTACCAAAAAGAGCTACTATCCCAAATCCCTGCTGAGAACCTACCCAAGGAGTTCGGTGGTACTTGCCAGTGTGAGGGTGGTTGCGAGCTAAGCAATGCCGGCCCCTGGTGCGATCCCGAGTTCACAAAGCCTGCCTGGTGGGAGAAGGAGGGTAAGGATGACGGAGCGATCGAGAACAGGCCGTCGGAGATTGGTACAGGTGCGGGTGCTGGCGCTGCCGGTGCCGCTACGGAAGGGGCCGAAGCCACGGCACCCGCTCCGGCTGCTGCATAGAGAACACGGAAGAAGTACCTAGTTATCAACTATATACGAAAGTTAAGAACCAAAGTTCAGATGAAGAGGGGAGTTTAGTACGGGCAGTCAGATAGAAGTGATCCACAAGTGACAGCCAGTAGGAGGAGTAGAAGGGATCACTAGGAAGAAGAAGAGGAAGAGAAGGAAATAGAAGAAAGGCAGCGGTGGATAGTGGCGGCAGCAAAGAACTTCTTTATATCCGGACGAAAACTTTTTCTCTTTTTATTTTTTCATCTCGGACCAAATCTCTCATATAAAAAAAATTTGCTGCTCCCCTATTTTTTAATTTTTTTTTCTAACCCCCACCTCTCTAACCTACTTACCTACCTAATGTATGGGCAAAACGGATTTTTTTTGGTTTGTTCGTAGTAGGGTAGGGTAGTGTAGGGTAGGTAAAGGGTTAGTTTTTATCACATTTGGCCAAACCTTTTTTTTTTTTCTTCTTCTTTCTGCAAAGGAAGAGGAGAAAAAAAAAGAAAGATAGAAAGAAAAACAGAAACAGAAACAGAAACAGAAAAAGAAAAAGAATTTTTTTGTTAGAGGCATTTGCCCCCACCCCCCTTCCTCCTTCTTCCTTGTAGCCTTACCTTGTCTTGCCTTGCCTTGCCTTGCCTTGGGGTAGATCGCTTGTGGGTGACGGTGTGCGATGATGATGTTTTGGTAGCTATGATTGTTTGTGCTTGTGCTTGTGCTTGTGCTTGTGTGGTGGTTGTGTGGTGGTTGTAGATGTAAGTATAAGTGTAAGTAAGTAAGTAAGTATCTAGGGCTCAGGTATGTATGTACCTATCTATGTAGGAAGTAGGTAGTTATCGGGTGTAAATGGAGGGGGACGATCGTTCGTTAGTCGAATGACATTTTGTGTTTTTCCGGTTTGGTGTAGTTAGTTATACCTACCTACCTACCTAAGCTCGGTATGTACGGATATGGATATGTATGGGCTTGGGCTTGCCATGACCTGCGCTCTATACGGTAGGTAATCAACGTAGGTACATAGGTAGGCAATAGTTATAGACTTGCTATTTTCTCTACTTGTTCAGACAAGACAGCCTTAGGTAGTAGGTATACGACAGCTCTGGCCTGCTAATGGGGGTCGGTGACTTGCATAACCGCCTCCCCGACGCAACAAAAACCACCCGTTCCTTTTCAACCTCGTAGCATCCATCCATCCATCGTATCGCCGGTCATTTAGCACCTATGTAGGTAGGTAGGTATATGGCAATATTCTTCTCCCATGACCTCGTGCACGACCTCGATACTATGTATACAGCAAAACAGCACATCACCCCCTTTTTACTATCCCCAGCATTTTGCGGTTGATTGATTTCTTTTTCGAAACCCCCCCCCTCCTATTATAGCGTTGCTATAGCTGCTGCCATCGCGGCCGCCCTTTTTCACCGTTCCGTAACCACATACTCCCCCGCGTTCCTCGCCCTCTCCATCTTCGCCACAATCGACGGCATCTCGCGCTTCAGGCGAGCGAGGACCCTCACCGCGTCGTCGTAGCTGCCCTCGACCTCGTCCTGGCGCTCGAGACCCTCGCCCAGATGGCCAAGGAGGAGGAGGTCCTTTTTGTGGTTGTCGCCGCCCACCCCTTCGCCCTCACACTGGCCCTGACCATCGGCAGACGACGAGGAAGCCAAGGCTGAGGCTTTGGCGCGTTCGTTAGCAGCGGCTAGTGCGGCCTCGTCGTCGGCGACGGAGCGGCGCGCGGCTTCGGCCCAGGCTGCGGCGGCGGACTGCGGGACGCTCTTCTTGAGGGCCGCGATGTCCCGGAGCAGGTCCTCCTCTTCGCGGGTGAGGTCCTCGACGCGGGCGCGCTTGCGCGCGTCGAAGGGCTCGTAGACTTCTTCTGGTTTCAGGGGGTGCGAGGTAGGGTGGCCGCCATTGGAGAGGAAGTGGGCGGCGTCTACGGGCAGCCCATTGATGGAGAGGTTGGGGACTGCGAGGGTGAAGGTATTGGTGATGTACTAGTAGGTGACTTGGTTAGTTTGTGATTAAGGGGAGAGGAGGCAAAAAAGGGGGTTGGTGTTAGGTAACGATGAGCAAATAGATACAAAAATTAATTGGATGAAAAAAAAGAAAGAATGATTGTGAAACGGGGATGGTAAAAGGGGCAGTAGTCATGTGATTAAAAAAAAGACAAAGAAACATACAACACCAGGGATTCGCTGGTCGTCACCGACCCAACTACTGATCTGGCGGTATCTGGCTTATCTATGGGAGAGCGGACGGGATCCCGAGTTTTCCAGATCCTATGGTCGTATGTGCTAGTACAGTGTACTAATGTACCTTATATACCAACCTTCAACCATTGGTATACATTTTCCCTCGCATTTCATCCAAAACGATGTTTCTCGGCAACATGCAGGTTTCAATGCTACCCATCCCAAACTTTTGGTGCACGTGGGAATAATAACAAAACATAGATTCCGAAGAAACATATAAAAAGAGCGGATATGTTTTTAATAGAAAAAAAAAATAATGATACATACCTGATTGACCAGTTCCTCAATCCTCGTCCGTAGCTCGTCGCCCTCTCCGCCGCGAACTCCCGCGTCTGCTCCGTCGACGGGCGGGAACGCCTCGTCGATCCGCGCGGCGGCAGCGCGTCGCACGTTGGCTAGTAGATACGCCAGGTCCTCGTGAGCTTGGAGCTCGATCTTGCGGTGCGCCGCCGAGTCCCCCATGGCGGTACTATGTTTGTTGTGGTTTTGAAAGAGTCGCTTTTGAAAGAGTTGCTTTTGATAGAGTTGCTTTTGATTGGTGTAATAGGAGTATTGTATGTGGTAGAGACTTTTGACTAACGCGGCGAAGAGAGTTATCGTGTATTACATAAGTGCAGGTGCAAGTCGTTAGTTACTGTACCTCGCAGCAGTGCAGTATGATGTAATTGAACCTTCGCTTCCTTCAGTACCTTGCAGGTTGGATCAAGTTAGGTTAGTTGGCTGTAGCAATTAAGAATTTAAGCATCAACAAAACTGTTTATGTCAATGTTCTGAAGTTCTAAACAGCATTCCATGAATAATGTTTGACTTTTGGAGGGGCAAACTGCTTAATCGCATAGTTGCTTAGTACTTGGTTATATTATCCCAATATCCGAACTAAGCATGAGCTGATGAACCAACCCCAACAATTTCCAAGATACATATATAGGATCAAGGAATAGCAGTAATAGAAACTTGGTACAATAAAGCATCGGCTAGTTCTGTCTAATTCAGCTTGTCGAGGACATGGGACAACGGAATCATGGATCTCTGTTAATTTTTTATATACTACCACTTATCCTCCAAGTGGCCTCACCCTTTCTCAAGCAAGTATACATCAACCCTTTCATCCTCCTCCCCAAGCTTCGGCAGCGGAATCGACTTGAGCACACTATACCGCCACCCATCAGCTTCCAGCAGGCCAAACAAAGCCTTTTCGGAAGAATGGCGAGGCTTCGTAGCCAGCATAACCGTAGTCTTTGCGTCTCCTTCGGTTGTTTCCAAGCGTTGGTGCTGGGCATTCGACACATGCAGAGCAGTCAAAGTTCCGACCAGCGCCGGCAGGGAGTCGACGTTGTACGTGCAGTCGCTCAAGACGACGAGATCCCAGCGACGGGCGGAGACGAGGGGGCCGAAGCGCCCGTGTCTGCCCTCGTCCCAGTCGAGGTTCTCATACGCCGTAGCCACCACCACTTTGGACAAACCACGAGAGAGCGGTGGCGTGACTTTCGAGATGTTCGATCTGGCCCGCTCCTCCGCCTCCGCGAGGTCCGTTAGCAGCACGGTAGCCCCGCGAAGCGTCTGATCCTGCGCGGCCGCAGCTCTGTCTAGTATGCTTGCTATGGTGAGCCCCAGGATGCCAACACCGCAGCCAAGCTCAAGGACATTAAAATCATCACGGGTGATCGGAAGCACGGCGCGTGCGTCTTCAGCAGTACGACACGCATCGGCGAGAAAACAAGCCGTCACCACACCGGCATCCCATACATGGCGGGCAATGCTCTCGCCTATATCCTCCTCGAGATGGACATAGACGTCCTGCAGGCCGCCGCCGGTTTGCGCCCCAGTGGTGTTGAGCCGGAGCCTCCGGACGGAAACGGGGGAGCAAGTACCTGCCACCATCTCCACGGTAGCCGGCATGATCAACCCCCGCCTCGCAGACGACGAACCGCCACTGGGGACACGCCATGGAAGGACATACTCACTCCCCAGCGACGCTGCCCCCCCTCGTGGCGGTGATTGGTCAGACTGCAGAGCTGTAGCTGAGTATATGAAAATGGTGCACGTGACGTCCTCCCTTTTCACGTGCGGCTTCAGGGGCACTTTGAGGTCGAGAACCCGCATGCCTGCAGCCCACCTAGTGGGGGGCGGTGTCTCGGCCGCGGCCGCAACAGTGGTATCAACAGAAACGCCGTACTCCACCACGACAATCAGATCCACCGGCTCGTCCGGGTAGAGGAACGAGTCGCCGAGGTCCGTGGTGATGGTGACCAGAAGCGAGACGAACGGCCTCCTGCGACCGGACAGGTCGTGGCAGAGCCTGGCCGGGCGTAAGAGGCGGATGTAGTGCATCGCTGGATTTATGCAAGTCCTTTGCCCTCGGAATGTACTTGCTTACATTGCTTACTGCTGCTGCTGCTGCTGCTGGGCCGTTCGCATCTTGGCAATTTGATTGGTAATTACCATCTCAGGGCAGGTTACGGATCTAAAAGAACATTGAAGTATGTATGTACCTAACCTTAGTAGCTACTACTTAGGTACACACCGGCTCGAGGCCTTACAATACAATTTAGTGGCCATTCTGCCATCTCTCTCCGCCTTCCACAAGGGTGAAATCACATAAAAAGAATAAGTTCCTTGCCCTACTTTTCGCAAGCCACCCCCTTGTAGGGTAAGCAAGTACCATGTAGGAAAATGATGTCGTAGGCGCATTCGAAGATGAAGCAGGTCGGAGAATGCGAGCATCGGTCAATCGGAGGTTATGTATCTAATTGTATCATCACGCGAATTCAAGTAACTTTCTAACTTATAGTTAATATCAATACAGCTATTAACTACAACTCATACTATAACCCTCTAAACCTATAACAAAAACAGCAGTGATGAGTCCTCAAGTTCCCCCTTCTAAGGTTCTCTCCACCTCGATGAGCAGTACGACATTAAAAGAAGAAAAAAATGTGCATAGTAGGAGGTAGGTAGTAGGTAATAGTAAAGTGGAAAACAAACCTCCTGTACACGTGGCTATGAAACACCACCATCCCACGGCTGTCTTATCACAGACAGACAAACAGACGGAGATGCATGTGAATGTAGTCCGGTCTCTTCTCTAGAGACATGCAATAGATTAGGTACACAAACTAATGAGTACATGTAGTCATTAGAGCGTCGAGATATCTATTGACACCTAGGTGAGCTACATAGTAATTAAAAGCAGCATCATCCTCAACAGCTTAACCCCTTTATCACACACCTAGGTTAGACAGATAGAACACACTAACTAAAAGTAATAGTATGCCTTCCCTCCTCCCATCTACATACGTAACCACCTCCGCTCCCCTCATCTTAAATAACTAAAAGAAGGAAAAGAAAAAATTGTCACGACAGCCTCACTCACCACTAGTAACCCAACCCTCTCGAACAAGCTTAGCAAGATCAATAAATACCTAATACCTATAACTATGCACCAACTGAAACTCCTAATCTAGGCAAGTCAACACACTCACCTGACTAACTAGTGTAGTTACCTACCCGGCTACCGCCCGCACTGCACTATTTACTGCATAGGCCCAGGTCCACGATCCAATTCAAGGTCCATGGATTGATTGTAAGTTCGCTTTTTTGTAACCTAGAACCCAGCTGTAACCGCCCACGCCTCTAGCCGCAAGGGGCTTAAACAACACAGGGCGTCTTCCTACATAAGTAACATAACCACCTGCAACAAGCATTAGTTAATCGCGCTAAGCGTTTTCCCTTTTCCCTTTTCCTTTGTCCGCCGCCGCCCCTTTTTTTTCTTCTTCCCCTGTCGAGACTCTCAAGACTCACGGGGCTTCAATCTCATGTATGTACCCTAACCTAGGTAGTTAGTTATGTATGTAGGTCCTAGGAGATGGACCTCGAGATAGTGTATGTAGCCTGTGTAGGTACTAGGTACCTAGTAGTTAGAAGGTAGTCATGTACCAAAGTACTTCATAACTAACTACCTGTGATCCGATAGCGCAAATTGCAATTCGTGGGGTAAGCTGAGGTGGGATGCACTTAACTACTGGGTAACATTTCAGAATAGTTACATACCTGCGCCGTGCGAATATACATAACATATAACTCAACCAACATGTATATCCAACAACAACAACAACAACAACAACAACAGCCAACAGTAATAATAATATACACAAACCTGGTAATCCAAAAAAAAAAAAAAAAAAATTTAACGCGACCGTTTCGCCGTGTGTTAATCGGGTTCTAAAATAAGACGGGCCTAACACCAACTACGGCAGCCTACATGGTAGAAGCCCCCATCCACGTGTAATAGCATTTCTTGGGGGGGTCATTTCACTGGCCCGTTTCGACTATTTTTATATAATCCTTTGGTGGACACGGCGACATGTAATTCCCTACATACTAGGTACAAAACGTATATCAAATCCACGGCATTGGCTGTATTTACTTGGGTCCTTACTGGTTAGTTCGCAGACAGCTAGCATGTAGGCGATACGGCGAACGAATGGTAAGCATGGCACTCTCTATTATGTATGGAGTTGGGAGCAAAAAGGAAGCCCTGTCTACCCACAACAAGAAAATCCATGGCTCTCACTTCAAAAGGAAAATACGCACAAGCTGAAGCTGCAAATTTCAAGGACCCAAAAGTACACCAGAGCACCAGGGAATACCAACACCCATAACACCAAAGGTCAAACGATTCGTGTAATCATACAGAACCAGCCCCCACGAAATACCCATGAGAACTCCCTGGGTCCTCTAGGCGTTCACCATCCCATGTTAATAATAATAGCAATATCCGTCAAGTCGTAGCAATGCGCATCATCTTGGTTCCTCCAAGCCCGGCGCCGCGCAATAGGAAATGCCGAGATCGGTATCCACAATCCATCCAGGTAGTAGTGTCATACTCCGAATCCAGACTCCGAAGTAGTGTGTGAAAATGGCAAAGGTAATTCTCGCGAGGGTTATGTGTATCTTAGGTACGAAGGAAAAAGTCGCGGTTTTTTTTCTTTATTACGGCAGCATCTGCTTAATCTCCTCATCGCTGAGCCGAATCTCATGTACCGGCTCTCGGCGGTTCTCTAAAGGTACATAGTCGCAGTCGACGTAAGAAGGAACGAATAATTCGGGGTTCCAGGCAAAGCCTTGGCTCGAAGCGAGATAAGAGATCTGTGGTAAGGGAAAAACCCGATATTAGTAAAACGGTCTAACGGTCGGATGGATAGATGGCTATGAAATCATGACAATAGTAATAGCAACAAACAATAACAGCAATAGCAACTTACCAATCGAGGAACGCCATCGGGCTCTCCAATGTTAATAACGGTGCACTCGTCCTTGCTAAAGGCAGAGCCTAGACAACATGTGAGTCACCGAATCTAAAAAGAAAACACAGAAGATAGCGGAGATAGGCCAACTTGTAAAGCCAAAATCTAGAATCTATAATCTCAGGGGGTGGGGGGGAGAGAGAGATAACATACTAAGTAGACTGGGCCGACGGTGGTGGTGGTGGACCGACTTCGGCTTGTGTGATTGCACAGATGACGCTTCGCTCGGACTCGGGGTTGTCGGCGAGCTGGAACACGACGAAGAGGAGCTAGCTACAGCCTTCGGAGAGTGACCATAAGCCATAACCGACGACCGGGCTGCCGGGATAGCAATCGTAGTAGATGACATGGTTAGAGACATAGGATCCGATGTTCTCTTCTTTGCTCTGTAGAATATGTCGGGGTAGTTTGTTAGCAAAGCGGTGTAGCTTAGCAGAGGCGGCGACAAGGACGACGACTGTGTAATTGAAACACAAATATAAATAGCAGTGAAACGCCGGCAGAAGAAGATAGGCGATGATATCCAAAGACTTAAAGAAAGAGAGAAAGAGAGAGATAGAGACAAGAGAGAAATAGTATTGATCTTCACGCTTAGTCGGTCAACTCTTCACAACGACGAGGTAAGAAAAGATGTGATGTTTGAGAAGAGAAGTTTGGTGATATGCACAAGGTAAAAAGGGACAAAAAGTTGGTTAATTTGAAGTCAGGTGTCCAAAGCCTTGGAGAATATGTATGTATGTATGTAGGTACAGTAGGTATGTATGTAAGTATGAATGTATGAATGTATGAATGTATGAATGTATGAATGTATGAATGTACATAGAGCCTTACCCCATACAGTACAGATATCTATGCATGTATGTATTCAGGTAAAAGGAAAGATGGGAGCCCTGAAGATACATTGATAGCTGCTACATAGTAGATGTTGGACAGCGTCAAGCGCCAATCTTCATCGATACTAGGTACACTACCTACAGGCTACGAGCGGGAACGAGCCTGTGCTGACATCTGGATGCTGTGTAATGTAAGTACATATGTACGTACTTACTGCAACTGTACACTGTACGTATGTAGTATTCAATGTTGATGTAAGTTCAAAGTTGATGTACCTCAATAGTTTGGTAACGGTCAAAATGTACATAGGAAATTGGGAACATTGAATTCAATGTTTGTGATGCTGATGGTATGGATGGTAATGTAGACATGTAGGTACCTAGGGTCCTAGGTATGAATGTATGTACTAGGGGTGTGTATGCAGGTATGTATCATAGATGCAAGATGGCGGTGCGCTACATGGCACTTCAATGTTGAATCAATGTTATTAGAGGAGTTGCAACTTGAAGTCCTACCTACCATTGATGTAGGTATGGGTATCAGGTATGTACTGTAGGAGAGCCACCTGGGCAGTAAAATAGGGAAACCCAGTGCGAAGCCGCCGCCGTCGTCAAAGTTACATAGACGGACGAAGCAAAGAAGGTAGGATGGATATGTATGTGGATGTGGATGATGAATGATGGATGGATATGATGACACATCGGGAGTGAGGGACCTTATGGAGCATTGGATCGTTGAAAGAATGAGATTGGTCCAACAGGATGAGATATAATCCAATCTGGTTAGAGCATCAAACATTGCTGCTGAGTGTGCTGTTACTTGCCCCAATCCCATTTCGGTATCGTGGGAATCGGGTCTCTTTAACACCCACTTGGGTTTCCTTCACCCCCCATCTCCCCCCACCTATACATAGGCTAGCCTGGGATTTTTTTTGTCTTACCTTTTTAGATGTTCGTTCCCGTTCCATTTGTTCATTGTTGAAGTTGTAGTGGATGGGCTTCGTAGTTGTTCTGAAGGGTGTATTAGGTAACTAGGTGGACGAGATTCGAAAATTCAAATGTACCCCGATATGTATCGAGTTAGTATTGTATCATCGTCTTCAATGTTGATATCATATATCGAATTCGAGACAGCGTAGACTTAATTCGGGCGATGTCGGAACTTGTTTGTTCAGCGCGATAGTATGTAGGAGGCTTGGATGGCTTGGATGGCTGGCGGGAATGTGATGATTGATTGGTTCGCCTTTTAAAGATGAGTGGTTGGGAACAGCCATTAAATATGGAGTTCCTCGCCTTAAGTTTAACAGACCTAATTAATATGTATCTATGTACCCAGGTAGGAGTAACATTGAAAAGGTGTTTGATGAATAAAGAGCCAATCAACATAGAGCTCCTTCAAATGATCTAGGCTTTTGGATATCCTGCCTGCAGGTGTAACCTTAGTCTCTGGGTGGAGACTATGGGGCTTAACTTCTTATGCTTCCAGGGTTTGGTTCAAGGTTCTGAGATGATACAAGGTTCCGGATCCCAATTCCAATCAGGTGAGATAAGGTGAGCGGAAAATCTATTAATCCTATACTTGCCTAAAATAGGCTAGTCCATACGTATACCCCTGTAATGTCCGTGTGTGTACCTATGTACTGTGTACCTATGTACCTAGAATGTACACACGTACCGCCTCTCAAGGCTACAAGGCTGGCGTTAGCACCTGGATGATGTTACATACCTAGGGCACCTAGCTGTCAGTAAGCTGCGACTGGAAAACCGTTACTTCCATCATCAAACATCAACCTCAATATCCATAATTCATTGATTCTTCAATTTTCATCATCAACAAAAACTACTCGGCGCTTATCAGAATCAAAATCAACAAATATTTCCCACACACACACACACCTGACTACATCCGTCCGTTCTATCCTAAATCCTGGGTAGTAAATAAAGCTGCGAAAATGGCCGACGTTCTCGTAGATAACCCGGCCAACATCGTGGCGCCACACAACAAACCCATCCCTTCCAACATCCCAAATGTCGAGACCATTGACGGAATACCGGCGCAGGGTGGAGATGAATATGCCGTGCTGAAGAAATTGCAAAGACATCTAGAATACATCCAGCTTCAAGAAGAATACATCAAGGATGAGCAGAGGTAAGGAACCATTACCCTCTGCGTCGCAACAGTTTTCTCTAACGGAAAAATAACTATAGGAGCTTAAAACGCGAACTCGTCCGAGCCCAAGAAGAGATCAAGAGGATCCAAAGTGTTCCGCTGGTTATTGGCCAATTCATGGAAGCTATCGACCAAAAGTAAGTATTTATTCATGACACCAACACATGACCCAATCTAATCCATGACCAGCACTGGCATAGTTCAGTCAAGTACAGGATCTAACTACGTTGTTCGGATTCTATCTACCCTGGACCGCGAGAAGCTTAAACCCTCCTCTTCTGTTGCCCTACATCGTCACTCTAATGCTCTTGTCGATATTCTACCTCCAGAGGCCGATTCCTCCATCGCCATGCTTGGCGCTGACGAGAAGCCTGACGTAACATATGCCGAGGTCGGTGGTCTCGATATGCAGAAGCAAGAGATTCGTGAGGCCGTTGAACTGCCTCTCACCCACTTCGACCTCTACAAACAGATTGGTATCGATCCCCCGCGCGGTGTCCTACTGTACGGCCCTCCCGGTACGGGTAAGACTATGCTTGTCAAAGCCGTCGCCAACTCTACAACCGCCAACTTTATCCGTGTCGTCGGATCTGAATTCGTTCAAAAGTACTTGGGAGAAGGTCCCCGTATGGTCCGCGATGTCTTCCGCATGGCCCGCGAGAACTCCCCTGCTATCATCTTCATCGACGAAATCGACGCTATCGCTACCAAGCGTTTCGATGCCCAGACCGGCGCTGACCGCGAGGTCCAGCGTATCCTTCTCGAGCTGCTAAACCAGATGGATGGTTTTGATCAAACTGCCAACGTCAAGGTTATCATGGCAACGAATCGCGCCGACACACTCGACCCGGCCTTATTGCGTCCCGGCCGTCTCGACCGTAAGATCGAATTCCCCAACCTGCGCGACCGTCGCGAACGCCGTCTCATCTTTACCACCATTGCCTCGAAGATGAGCCTCGCTCCCGAGGTCGACCTCGACAGCCTCATTGTCCGCAACGATCCTCTCAGCGGCGCTGTCATCGCCGCGATTATGCAGGAAGCCGGCCTCCGCGCCGTCCGCAAGAACCGCTACAACATCATCCAGGTCGACCTCGAAGATGCCTACTCCAGCCAAGTCAAGGGCACAGCCGACGAGAACAAATTCGACTTCTACAAATAAACGAGAGGAACTCGTATTATGGTTTATGGCTTTGCGAGGAAGGGTAGTGAGAAAAAGGGGGGGCATGAAAAGGAATGGATACTATGCATCTTCCAGCAAGCATTGCTTAGGTAGTGGAAATGGAATATAGGGCGTGGGCTCTAACCCTCCCTTCCCCTTTTTACTACTGCTACTACTTGCTACTACAACACCGTAGAGGTTGACGGCACGGTTGTACAGTAAATCTGTATTATCAACACGCCTACCTAAAATACGTAGGTAGGCAGGCACTAGCTAGGCTATACACACACATACATACATAACTACGAAGGACATCCATCACGTTTGATATGAAATGCCATTCGCAGTAGGTAGTGACGGACTTTTTTCTGTGCCCCTGACTACTAGGTAGGTTACCTACATACATGATACCAGTATGTGCGTGCGTGCGTACTAACTTAGCAGGTAGGTAGGTAGGTATCTAGAAAAGACAAGACAAATGGGTAGATAGGTAAACAGTAAGACTTGAACGTTGGATGGACATTGGGCCTTCGACGTTGTACAGTATTAAAAGAATTAGGTACCTATCTAACGGATCATGATTCCTTCATCCACCCCATCCCATCCCATCCCCTCTCCTCTCCTCTCCTCTCCTCTCCTCTCCTCTCCTCTCCTCTCCTCTTACTAAGCTACCAAGGTAGGTAGGTGAGCTGGTAGACGGGCAGGTAACAGTATACACAAGTATTAAAAAAGGTAGGTATCTTCCATTACACACGGCTCGGCTCGGCACGGAAACAAGGTTATTTAGAATAGAAGTAGAATAGAAAAAGAATCGAGGTATCGTATTATCGTGAAATATAATAATACATTCCGTGGGACCAGAAGATACGTAGTGATTAAACCAACCAGCTCCCTCTTAACGCGAGAGTGATTTTAAGTTCCTCCTCTTTCTTGGTTCATCTCAGTTCGTATCTCCACCCCGTTCCATGCCCATCTCGACTCGTCCGAGTTGAGATGGATGTATGGAATATGGATGGCTTGAATTTCGAAAACCGGTTCGTTTCGTTCCATCCGCAAACCGTCTACCGTTTACTCCACTTTCTAAACTTCGGTTTATTGGCCTACTTACTCCCATCAACCCTAACTCCCTTTTTGTATGCAATACCTAGACCCTTTTTTTCCCGACTCTTTTGTTGCGCCTGGTTTTATTATTCTTCTTCTTCCTCTAAAGCATGCTCCCTTCCAATGCAAACGCAAGCAAAGGAAACAATACCATACGCCCAAGTGAAATTCCATAGCCGAAAAAAAAAAGGGGGGGAAGGAAGCAAAATACAGCAAAATCCCCCATAGCAGAGGTAGTAATACAAAGTGGGTATCTCCCTCTTGGAAGGGGTGGGGGGGAAATAAAAAAATGAGGTAACGCGATTTATTGGGCGTAAAGTAAAAACAGGGCACAAATCGACATGTGTGGGTATTATGCGCGCCAAGGGGCTCCATCTGCGAACGAATAACCCTGACTAACAACTCAAGCAAGTGCTTTGCAATCAATCGAAGGACGCTCGCGGGGGGGTATCTCCACTCAACACTCAGCAAACCTGGGTATATCCTCCTCTCCTAAGTATTCACCTCGTCTTTGGTGTGTGGTGAGTTGTTAACTCGGTCTCGTGTTAACCGGTCATAGGCAGGCCGTGATCAGGAAGAGAGCACAACGCCCAATTCCAGCAGCAACTGCACAAAACGAGAATGCAACTCGATGAAGAAATCGGGGAGCCCCACTAGTTCTGCAAGACCGCGAGCCTTAGGCGCAAACCCACCGGGGCCCATAGACCCGCCCATGCGCTGCATGAAGCCGCCGCGACCGCCGCCAGTTAGGAAGCTGCTCGTGTCGTTGGCTCTATCCCGTTCTCGATCGCGGTCCAAGTTGGTACCGAATCCACCTCCCAGACCTAGGCCGATGCCACTGTCACGCGGGCCCTCGCCAAATCCACCATTCCCATATGCAGCGTTCAGCGCAGCAATCGGACTATTGGCCTCCTCGCGTTCGCGGTCCCGCTCGGCTTCAGCTTCGGCTAACTCTTGGATCCAGTTTGCAAGGTCACGGAAGGCAGCAGATACGAAACTAAATGTCTTCATAGCGAGGCGCTCGCGGTGCGTACTAAGCGCCAAAAACGCGTAGACCCTCTTACGTCCACGGGCGTGCATATCGGGAATTCGGAATATGTACGCAGTTGTGTAGCCTGCGAGGGGGTCACCAAAGAATATCGGCCCGCCATTAGCAGCTGATTGAGGATTCGGTGTAGTCGTAATATAACCTGGGCCGTGACCGGTTGACGGAGATGGGAAGGGTGGGGGGATGCCCGGTAATTGGCCTGCCTGTGCAGTTTCAGGTCGCCGAGGGAGCGTCTCGAAAGATAATGTCCTTAAGCAGGAGGCGCGAACTATAGAAAAGGTAGTTGGAACGACAGATTCATGCGTGGAGGTGTAATCCAAGTAGTGTGTGTGCTGTGTGACACTAGACCGAGACGAGACACTCGAATGTGAAGTCGAGGTAGTCGGTCGGCGATACGTGGCTGGGCGCTTAGCAGTATCCGTAGACAATACCTCTTCTTCCGCATCCGAAGTATAGGAAGATTGTGGGTTGGAATTGGGTGGGCTAATTTCACCCTGGCCTCCATAGACGCGGGCGTAGGGTGCGCGGGTTCGTAATGTAGGTCCCCTATGACCAGACTTGGATTCCGCAGTTCCGGATGTGCTTCCATCTTTTCCCTTCTTTGGTTCCTGTCGCTTAGGGAGTGTGAGTGCACAGTTTTGGCATGGGTTTGCCCGCTTCGTGTCGGAGTCGTCGTAGGTTCGATGGAAACTTGGATCGCGGCGCATATTACCCTTGCCGTTCGCTTCGGGGAAGCCTTCGGGTACATTTCGGGGACTCTGGGGGGGCGTCTGAATTGCCGAGCCTGCAATAGGAGATGCTACGGAAGCTGGGTGAGCCGTACCATTGGGACCAAGTTTCGACGCTCGTAGTAATGATGTACGGTGCATTTGCATATCTTGATCGGATGCAGGGATAGAGGAACTACGGGAGGCTCCAAGTGTCATTTTTCGCAGAGCATCTGTAACGACTGCTGGCGAACCAGGCGACGCAGCACTTGTTTGCGGGCGTGCAGGTTCGGTACTCTCATCACAACATTGTGCGCATGGTACTGGCAGGCCTTCAGTGACCATGAGAGGTGTTGGTCCATGAAGATCGCAGTAGTGCGCTAGACATAGCTGGATATGAGTTAGCAGAGGCAATATCGCCGGCTTTTGAGAAATGGTCATGGCTGGCCGAAATATTGAGGCGCAAGATGTGATTTGATAAGATTCATATGCTAAAACAGCATGTTGAAAGAAGAATTGAGGAATGGAACCACACTCTCAACGGCTAAGATGGCCGTAATAAGTTGAACAGAAAGCCAAAGAGTGGGGGTTCAAACGCGAGAGACAAGACAGAGAATAAGTCGGTCAGGGGGGAAAGCAAGGTGTGTGTGAGTTGGGCGGAAAACAAGTCAAGCCATTGAGGACAAACACGAAGGAAGGATAGTTGGGAAGGAAAACGTCACTGTCGCGCAAGGGGGGAAATAAGGTGAGTACAAATTACCAGTTGGTGACTTGGGCATCTGCGACAATCACAGTCCCGTACCAATCAAGCTTAACACTTGGCTGACTTGGGGGCGTAGCGGCACATCGCTTCGCTCCGTGCCGTTGTGGTGGGAATAGGGGGGAGCTTCTAACATAAGCAGTCAAAGCAAGTAAGACCCGGGGGTAAAGAGGACAGACTCATAGAGAGAGGATAGCTGGACTCTGCTGGACTCTGCTGGACTCTGTTGAAGGGTAGGGGTTAGGGGGCTGACGAGATGAGTGTGAGTGTGGGGGGACACGAGGCTTCGGGTTTGGTCTAGAAAAAGAACGAGGCGGTGAAGGAATACATCTGATTAAGTATGTACCTAGTAATTAGGTACATAATAAAAGAGGTGCTATGTAGGTGTTATGTAGGGTAGGTCAATGGAAAGATGGGGGATAATTCATGTATCATTGATGATGAAAAGGGTGGGTGGGAATGGAAATGGGATGGGATGGGATGGGATCATGGTTGAGAGATACAGGATGTATGCATGTATGCATGTATACATGATACAAGTTGCATGTGTTCAATGTTCAAAGAAAGAAAAACCAGAGTTTCGCAAAAGTGTCAGGGGGTTTGGGGAAGGAGTGCTCCAGGGTAAGGTTAAGGTATGCAGGTCAGCACTAGTGTACGACGTACTACACATGTAGGTAGGTACATTCTATAGCGCAAAGTATAAAAAATAAATAAGATGAAAGTGAATTCAACAACGGTCGATTGTCGATTGACTTTTGACAAAGATAAGATGAGACGCGTGACGCGATCATGAAGTCAGAGTTTAGAGTTAGAAGCATTAGGTAGGTAGGTAAGTAAACAAAACATTCAATGTTAGGTTGAACCTGAATATCGGGCAGCCATCAAATGGAAGCAAAAAAAATAATACATTTGTAGAACTTGGAAGAAGAAAATTGGAAGAGTTGAGAAATGACAGAGTACTTACTATAGACGTCATGATGCTTCTTCAAAACACCCAAGTAACCCAAGCAAAGCCAAGTACCCAGCACCGGCTCTGTGGAGCGTCGCACCTTGCAGGTTGCAGGTTGCAGGTTGCACGGCGGGGTTGTCGAATTTAGACAGTAGGAGGTAGTTAACCTGCAACCGAAAGCGACCTGATTAGAAAGGAAAAAAAAAAAGATAACCCCGAACGCGACCTGAAAATCGATTCGAAAAAAGATGACCCCCAAATGTTCCAATCTCCCTCCCACACCCGTCCCGCGTCCTGCCCTTGCTCCCGTCGCTTATCCAACCCGGTTCAAGTCAGTCCCGAGCAAGGCCAAGCAGAGTCCTTTTGTAACAAATACTCAAAAGTATTATCTCATGAATGCAACAATAGAGCATACAGGGAATATACTGAGAACACTGGGGACCACAGGGTTATTCCAAGGTTTCTTGCCGCGGATGAGAAAGGCAACAGAGCACATGCGCTCGCGACTATGTCTCCGTATGCGTCTCCGTATGCGTCTCCGTCTGCGTATGCGTCTCCGTCCGTGGTTACGGCTAGGTCGGTATAGGTCGGTATTTCCTAGTTCCAGAAAAGCGATGCGATAATACGAAACGGGAAATAAAGCACCACTTTCTTGTGCTCTCGACTTGGGGCCCAGTATACGTGTGTGTATATGGTGTATATGTGCAGTGCAATCACGAGCCACAATCCAAGCAAATGCGGCACAGGATTACAGAACACAGCGACAGGCCACCAATCGGCTCTTGGTCCAGTAAGACTGATCCTTGTGGTTCGTTCTGGTTGGTTCGCTATCCAGGGCAGTCTCAAATCGAAGTCGTTGATGGATTGGATGAGGAGATCAAAAGTAGTGCTGACCTCCAACTCACAACTCTTCTTTTTTCTGTCTCTTTTTTGTGATGCGATCCAGCGACACAAGCTAAAGCGTGAGGGTCATGCGCTTCGGAATTAGGGCCTTCAGCTGTTGCAGATTGCAGGTTGCGATGCGTTTGGGTAGGTAAGGTAAGGTAAGTGAGGTTCACTAGAGACGCAAGAAGAATCAAGTGTATTAGTAAATAGATTCCTAACCCAGATAGTACAGTATGGTAGAGTATGTACTGCCAGGTAGCGTCACTAGTAGTAGTAGATAAATAAGTAGAATCGGAGTAGGACGTAGACAGGGACGCCTTCAATGAAAAACGTTGAATAAAAAAATAAAAGGGAAATAAGTCAAGTAAGTACGGTACCTAAGGGGAATAAAAGAAAAAGGAATTGGGGGGAATCCACTCGAGTATCATGTATCGAATAAGAGGTAATTTGTATAAACATTGTATGTACTTACATGCACATGCGTGTTTTCAATTTTGGAAGTAAGTCGACGTTGCTAGCTAGCTGAACTGACTGACTGAGCTTCCTTCCTTCCTTCAATGTTCGGAATAGTTAACGTAGGAAAGAAATAAAACTTGAAGTAGATCAGAAGCTGGAGGCAAGTATGACCGCCGTACCTTTGGGTACTACTACTAGTACTATGTAGATTAACAAAGTACCAGTTGACCTGTTAACTTTTTCAAGAAAAGACTTTTTGCTTTTTCTTCTTCTTTTTTTCTTCTTTTTTTTTCTTCCTTTCAACTTTTCTTCAGCTTAATGATTCATTTCACCAGTACCTCAAGTACTAAAGAAAAAAAAGAAGAAGATATCAAGTTAGTCAAAACTGAGGTATCTCATAAAAGTGTTGGTGGTTTTGTGCAACCCCGACAACATCAAGTCAGTCCAGTCGACGGTCGTGTGTGAAAGTGAGTGAGGTCAGCTTTCGGTTTTTATCACCAAATTATGGCATTAATAACGGCACATCTGCTGGCGCCCTTGGAAACTGGTCTACACTAGTCTAGGTCGACTACTGTATGTGTGCCACTGTACCAAGAGGGGACCACTGGCACTACGACGTATGTAGTATTTTGGTATTTTAGTATTTACTAATGTATAATACTAATACGTACTGCCGGGTCCTGGAACGCTTGGGTGCGGAGGGAAAGATGGGAAGATGGGAAGATTTGCTTGCTTGCTTGCTTGCAACTTGGTAGCGCTGGCTTGGGTAGTCGATATGGTAATGGTAATTATGGACGATACCACCACAATCGTATTAGCTCGCTGTTTGTCGGATACCCTAGCCGGTAAGGGTGGTCTTCTAGAAGGACCACTAGAATCGCATGCAGAGCCTAGGGCCGACTGCGCAGCAACCACCCAACTTGACCCAAGTAACTAACCTAGATGCTAGTTTAAATAGCATGCAGATGTGGGACTGCCTAGAGGGGGGACTACCACACCGACGAGACGATGCTTGCCTATTATTAACCAGGTTAGATGGCCCACTTTATCGCGTGTCGGCCTGGGTCGGGGTTACGACTTGGTACGTATTGGTGTTAGTTAATTAGAAGGATTTATCGTGCGATGGATGGATACATATAGCTAGCTATACTGGATCATGAATGGATGAAATCTGGATGGGTCCCCAAAGTCTCTTTAGCCTGCGGCGTTTCTGTTCTCAGAAGGGTAGGTAAAGTAACCGGTTCGAGGTAAAGCCGTTGTGAAATGTCTAAAAACGTCGTCATTAGAGAGGTACACACGCACTAACTGCTAGGTATAAAATACCTAACTACCCAGATGTGGTATGTACCTATTCATGTAGTATTTATTTCGGTATCACGGGTGAAACATGGAAGACATATGTATATAATTAGGGAACATACAATTGCCGTACATGTGTAGTTAAAAGTTTGCCGAAGCAACGGTAGACGAGCCGGGGATCTCGGCCGAACTCTGGAGTCGTATGTATGTGTAGGTAGATATGTATGTAGGTATTAGGTGGGTAGTAGGTAGTTATGGGTATGAGGTATGGATGTATGTAATGGATTATACACAAAGATTTTCTAATAAGATGGAGGGGCGAAGGAGTTTGCCCACATTTGCCCACAATATCCTATGCTAGGTATCGTTAGGGGCAATGTCTGAGAAAATCTAGGAGGGGCATACGAACAATGTGAAGAGAGCAAACTCGAATGGGTCGGGTTTCATAGACGTATTATACTGTCCATACGGCGTACACATCATCTAGGTCACGCTGTCACGCTGTCACGCTGCCTTGCTCAGAAGCTAAGAGACGGGTAGTAGCTTGAAGAGGCTTCGGCAAAGGATTTATAGATGCAAGTACAGCTGTTGTAATCCACTTGCGTATGATACGTAGGTATACAAAGTAGGTACCTACCTATGAGAAAAGAGCATTGAAGGGGAACCATCGTCGGATATCAATTATTAGTCAATTGCCTAGTAGTAATTAAATATCATGATTGTCAACGGAGTGCATTTATGTAATTGGCCAATTTGTTCCGTTGTCGAATATCGTGCCTGCGTTTTTCAGCTAACCATTCAGCGTCATTGACATTGACATTGCCTTCTAAAGGAAAGTATGTGTATGCCTACCTAGTACTTACAGGTAGGTGCCAGCATAAGTAGGTATGTAGTATAAGGTATACAGTCAGCTATGGTGAAGAAAGTTAGGGATGTCGGAAGATCTACCTATCCACGACAGGGAATTCGGAGTCAAGGTCAAGTATCAAGCCCCTCGATCAGGAAGCCAGCCAACCAACTCCGAATCGTGGCTAGAACCAT